TTGCTAAAGGGTTGTATTCTGAATATGAATATGAAATTTGTTTCAAGAAGGAGGTTGTGTTTGAGTTTTAAAAAGGTTTGTTTGAAGGTGGAAGTGGTTTTTTTTTCTGTATTTGAGTTAATAAAGTTGAAAATTTTTATATTTTAAAGGTTTTTTAAAGGTTTATAGGGTTATAGATTAAAAGAAAGGATTTGAAATTTTAATAAAAAGGAATAAAAAAGATTTAACAGCAATAAGCTTTATGTATTGAATATTTAGTTAAAGCTTCTCATCGAATATAAAATTTCTATTCTAAAATCTAATATATAACTTCATTTAAGTAAATATTTCTTCAGGGTTCGTTTTAGCTTTAAAGCATTTTAATATAACATTAATTAATAGCAAAAAATTATAGAAATTACCTTAGATTCCATATTATTTGTGTGGGTGTTTGAATTCAACCTGAAAATATATAGAAAAAAGAAGACATTTTTCATTTAATTTTTATAAAAATCATTATCTCTTGACCTTAAACTAAAACCCCAAGCCTTAAAATATCTTATAATACTAACTTTTTTTATTAAATAAATTTCAAAGAGCAACTACAAGTCTTCCTAAAAATTTAACAGCTTCTGACATGCTTTTCCTTTTTTTTATATATATTTTCTTTTTGTGAGTGAGAAGACTTTTGGCAATTGTTATCCTTGAAATGTGCGGCGTATTCTCCATTTGCCAACCTGCCACATCCCCCAAACCTGCCACACCCACACACCAACACCCCTCCACCCTTTCCCATTTCACTCTGCATATTTACAGATTTTGGTTTTTTTTTTTGGATTTTTATTCGTTTCATTTTATTGGCAATTCCATTGTTAAACATCCAGCTCATCCACAAATCCCTCCCAGGCGACTCCTTCATCCAGATCGTGTGCCAAATCGATTTCTTGCGGCTGTCAAGAAAAGTGCTTTCTTGTTCACTCATTAGCCGGCTTAACGTACTACGAGTATTACGAGTTAGAACCACCCACTAAACCCCAACATCCCAAAACCAAAATGAAATTAAATGTCATAAATCTATTGGTAGTTCTTTTATGGTCTGGCCCTTGACCTTTTCCCGATCGGAGTGCGGGGGTTCTTGAAGGTAAAAATAAATATACAACATTAAGGACATAAAAACCAATCGAATGGAAGTAAAGTGGCCATGCCAAGGGGACCCTGGCACCCCCCCTGGTCATGAGGGGGTCCCCAACTGCCACCTGCCACCAAAAATAGTCGCAACAATAAAATGCCAACTGCCAATAAGCGTCAATAAATCAAACAATTGAGCGCGGCCAAGTTTGTGACGGCATTCGCCAAATAAGTCCCCTGTTCCACGTCCACTGTCCAGTGTATCGGATGTCCCCTGTCCAATGTCCCAGGTCCCATGCCCCAATGGACCCCCTGTGTGCCTCGTCGATTCTCCTTTTTCGAACTGACCCCGCCGAACAAAAAAGCAACTACTTTTCGCATCAGACAGCCGGTGAGGCGCACAAAGAAAATCAAGAACAGCCTCCGCACCTGAGAAATTGAGATGAAAATGGTGCAACATAGTGTTGCATGTTGCAGGTGGATATAAATGGGATAAAGACAAAGAATAATCAGAGATATAGACATCGGAAGGGGCCATATCCCGAAATCCTGGATTTTGCAGGGGTCCCCCCACAAAAATTGGAAAAAAATCGAAAAAATATTTTCTTCTCAGATTTTGATGCAGATTGGCGGGGAATCCATACACAAATCGTTTAAGGTATTCCCCTTGAGAATCAGATGAGAATTGCCAGAGATATAGACATCGGAAGGGGCCATATCCCGAAATCCTGGATTTTGCAGGGGTCACCCCACAAAAATTAGAAAAAAATCGAAAAAATATTTTCTTCTCAGATTTTGATGCAGATTGGCGGGGAATCCATCCACAAATCGTTTAAGGTCTTCCTCTTGAGAATCGGATGAGAATTGCCAGAGATATAGACTTTGGAAGGGGCCATATACCGAAATCCTGGATTTTGCAGGGGTCCCCCCACAAAAATTCGAAAAAAATCGAAAAAATATGTTCTTCTCAGATTTTGAAGCAGATTGGCGGGGAATCCATCCACAAATCGTTTAAGGTATTCCCCTTGAGAATCGGATAAGAATTGGCAGAGATATAGACATCGGAAGCGGCCATATACCGAAATCCTGGATTTTGCAGGGGTCCCCCCACAAAAATTGGAAAAAAATCGAAAAAATATTTTCTTCTCAGATTTTGATGCAGATTGGCGGGGAATCCATCCACAAATCGTTTAAGGTACTCCTCTTGAGAATCGGATGAGAATTGGCAAAGATATAGACATCCTTAGGAGCCATATCCCGAAATCCTTGATTTTGCAGGGGTCCCCCCACAAAAATTGGAAAAAATTCGAAAAAATAATTCATTCTCAGATTTTGATGCAGATTGGCGGGGAATCCATCCACAAATCGTTTAAGGTATTCCCCTTGAGAATCAGATAAGAATTGGCAGAGATATAGACATCTTAGTGGGCCATATCCCGAAATCCTGGATTTTGCAGGGGTCCCCCCACAAAAAGTGGAAAAAAATCGAAAAAATATTTTATTCTCAGATTTTGATGCAGATTGGTGGGGAATCCATCCACAAATCGATAAAGGTATTCCTCTTGAGAATCTGATGAGAATTGGCAGACATATAGACATCGGAAGGGGCCATATCCCGAAATCCTGGATTTTGCAGGGGTCCCCCCCCCAAAAAATTGGAAAAAAATCGAAAAAATATTTTCTTCTCAGATTTTGATGCAGATTGGCGGGGAATCCATTCACAAATCGTTTAAGGTACTCCTCTTGAGAATCGGATGAGAATTGGCAAAGATATAGACATCCTTAGGAGCCATATCCCGAAATCCTTGATTTTGCAGGGGTCCCCCCACAAAAATTGGAAAAAATTCGAAAAAATAATTCATTCTCAGATTTTGATGCAGATTGGCGGGGAATCCATCCACAAATCGTTTAAGGTATTCCCCTTGAGAATCAGATAAGAATTGGCAGAGATATAGACATCTTAGTGGGCCATATCCCGAAATCCTGGATTTTGCAGGGGTCCCCCCCCAAAAAATTGGAAAAAAATCGAAAAAATATTTTCTTCTCAGATTTTGATGCAGATTGGCGGGGAATCCATTCACAAATCGTTTAAGGTACTCCTCTTGAGAATCGGATGAGAATTGGCAAAGATATAGACATCCTTAGGAGCCATATCCCGAAATCCTTGATTTTGCAGGGGTCCCCCACAAAAATTGGAAAAATTCGAAAAAATAATTCATTCTCAGATTTTGATGCAGATTGGCGGGGAATCCATCCACAAATCGTTTAAGGTATTCCCCTTGAGAATCAGATAAGAATTGGCAGAGATATAGACATCTTAGTGGGCCATATCCCGAAATCCTGGATTTTGCAGGGGTCCCCCCACAAAAAGTGGAAAAAAATCGAAAAAATATTTTATTCTCAGATTTTGATGCAGAATGGTGGGGAATCCATCCACAAATCGTTTAAGGTATTCCCCTTGAGAATCGGATGAGAATTGGCAGAGATATAGACATCGGAAGGGGCCATATCCCGAAATCCAGGATTTTGCGTGGGGTCCCCCCCACAAAAATTGGAAAAAAATCGAAAAAATATTTTCTTCTCAGATTTTGATGCAGATTGGTGGGGAATCCATCCACAAATCGTTTAAGGTATTCCCCTTAAGAATCGGTTGAGAATTGGCAAAGATATAGACATCCTTAGGAGCCATATCCCGAAATCCTTGATTTTGCAGGGGTCCCCCCCACAGAAATTGGAAAAAAATCGAAAAAATATTTCATTCTCAGATTTTGATGCAGATTGGCGGGGAATCCATCCACAAATCGTTTAAGGTATTCCCCTTGAGAATCAGATAAGAATTGGCAGAGATATAGACATCTTAGTGGGCCATATCCCGAAATCCTGGATTTTGCAGGGGTCCCCCCACAAAAACTGGAAAAAAATCGAAAAAATATTTTCTTCTCAGATTTTGATGCAGGATGGTGGGGAATCCATCCACAAAGCGTTTAAGGTATTCCCCTTGAGGATCGGATAAGAATTGGCAGAGATATAGACATCGGAAGGGGCCATATCCTGAAATCCAGGATTTTGCAGAGGTCTCCCCACAGAAATTGGAAAAAATTCGAAAAAATATTTTGTTCTCAGATTTTGATGCAGATTGGTGGGGAATCCATCCCTTGAGGATCAGATGAGAATTGCCAGAGATATAGACATCGGAAGGGGCCATATCCCGAAATCCTGGATTTTGCAGGGGTCCCCCCACAAAAATTGAAAAAAAAATCTAAAAAATATTTCATTCTCAGATTTTGATGCAGATGTGCGGGGAATCCATCCACAAATCGTTTAAGGTATTCCCCTTGAGAATCAGATGAGAATTGCCAGAGATATAGACATCGGAAGGGGCCATATCCCGAAATCCTGGATTTTGCAGGGGGACCACCACAAAAATTGGACAAAAATCGAAAAAATATTTTCTTCTCAGATTTTGATGCAGATTTGCGGGGAATCCATCCACAAATCGTTTAAGGTATTCCTCTTGAGAATCGGATGAGAATTGGCAGAGATATAGACATCGGAAGGGGCCATATCCCGAAATCCTGGATTTTGCAGGGGGACCCCCACAAAAATTGGAAAAAAATCGAAAATATATTTTCTTCTCAGATTTTGATGCAGATTTGCGGGGAATCCATCCACAAATCGTTTAAGGTATTCCCCTTGAGAATCGGATGAGAATTGGCAGAGATATGGACATCGTTAGATAAAGATATAAAGATATAGCCTTTTTTGCACAACCTTCTATTGTAGAAGATATATAATTAGCATACATTACCAAGAAGTTATTATAATCCCCCTTAAGAAGTAAAACCAATAGGTTATATACCCCCAATACCCTTAAAAAAAAACACAAGTCGATCTTAAGGTTAAACACTTTACACATTCATCTGATATATATTATTCTCATCGCGATAGTAACAACTTTAAAATTTATATTGTGATTATGTGTATGACAGGATAGTGGTAGACGAACTTCGAATTTGGACATCCAAACGAGTAAAACGGGGATGTGGTGTTAACGTGGCCGAAAATGGAATAGTGATTAAAATAAGTTCTGGTGTAAAAAATACCGAAAATATCTAATCTGGCGATGGATATGGTTTGACCTTGCACAAGGCATAGCTTGACATTAATTGTGTGTGAGGGGGGGCGTTGATTAAAGGGGAAGGGGGGGCTTGATAAATCATTGTAAACTTTATGTAATTCATTGCTAATGTGACTATGCTATGGCTTTGAGTGTCCTGTACTGATTGATGAGTCCTTATATGCTGCCTTATTGAAATCGTATCGATTACATGGTATAGATCGACTTGACCGTGGATCCTTGCTTGACCATGGTGTCCTTGTGGAGTTGATACTGCAACACATAGGCACTTTCCATGCGCAATCCTTCGCGTAGTTTCCTTCCAATCTCCAAAGCGGCTGCCTCATTGTTACCATCAGCTGTCCAAATGGATATCTTGTTGGACTTGGCACGAATATTGACAACGGCGCCGCACAATTCGTGGGAATATTCACAGGACTCGCCGATCAAACAGAGCATAGTGTCCAACCAAAAGTTATCCAGATCAGATTTGGTATTTTTGTTCAGAGTGATTACCCAGCGACCGCCATGAACGTTCGCCTCGTCCTCCCACATCGGACGGATGCCCTTCTTGAATAGACAGTAGTCGCTGCCCATCTTAATCTCCGACGGTGGCTTAATATGATTCACCAGGCTCCAGAAGTTCTCCACGGTGTCAAAGCTGGTGACCTCGTGTAGCATATCCTCCCAGGTTTTAGTGCGATCGTTCTCCAAATACCACAGCGTCCAACGGCTATTGAGTGGATGATGCGGTTCACGCTGCTCATTGATTGGCATCAGACATGATTCCGGCATTGGAACCATATCACCCAGATCGCCGACAGCGTCGCTTGGTGGCACCATTTCGGTCATCTCAAAGGGCATCATATCGTCGTCCTGCACGGCCACATCTCTGGTGTTCACCTTGGGTATAATGATATCCTTGTCGATCGCCTGGGCCACTTCCTGGGAAATATCCTGACTAGTCATAATAATGGTCTTCTTGGTCGGTGATGGCATCATCTTTGTGTTTGGCGGCACTGGCGATGTCGCCTTCTTCTGGGCTGCCATCATCTCTGGCATCATCACTTTCTTCTCGGGAACAATTTTGTTGTTATCCTTTGGTTTGGCGGCAGTCTTCTTACTATTTAGTTTGCTGTTATCCTTTGAGTCAACACTGGCATCACTCGAAACACTGGGTGTGCGTGGCGGTGGTGGCGGCGATGGAGCCGATTGATTCTTGAATAGCTTCTTGGTGAGCTTGTTCTTCTTATTCTTACCCTGCTGCTTGGTGTTGGTCGATTTCTCTGGCGTGGCTGGAGCTGAAGCCGATGGTGATCCCACCACCTTGGCTGCGTTCTTTCCATTCTTGGCATTCACATTCTTTTCTTTTGGGGCAACAGCAGTAGCGCCACCAGCAGCAGCGGCTGCAGCGGCGGCGTCAATATCACTTCCTGCCACACCAGTACCATCTTGAACAGCCAGACCATTCATGGATTCGGTGGCCACCTCATCCTTATCATCGTTGTCATTGTTAGCGGATGAACAGCTTCGGAACATTGTCTTTGGGTTGGCAAAGTTCTTCATTTTGTAAAAATTGTTTGGAAACATTGCGACTGCTATTGGTTTACAAAAAAAAACAAAAATAAATTTTAAATATTAGCCACGAAAAAATAATACGAATTGAGAAACAAATTTTGTTTGAATGAAAACACAAACGAACCTCAATTCCTGGAAAACTTTTACACTAAAATCTAAAAACTGGTATAGCCGTGATAATTTCTCGAAACGAGTCGAAGTTTTGTGTTCTTTTTGAGGCGAAAGCAAAAATCGAAATAAGACTAAACGTTCATATTCCCAGGAATATAGATTCTAAGCTAACTAGATGCTTACTTAGTTTTACAATATTGTTTGTAACTTTTCTAGTGTTGTACAAAGGCATACAAGTTTCATAATATAGGTTATGAAAGGTTTGCAAGTTCTTTGATTTTTATAGGATAAAGATATACCCTCTGGACAGGACATTCTATTTATAAGATTTTATGATATTTTTGTTGGGTTTTCGTCTGAAACTTTTATAAAAGCGGTATTATATCTTATAGTGTTGAAAGGAACATATTTACCACTATTTTTTACCAGAATAATTATCGATGAGATCTATTCGAATTAGTCCACTTTAAGTGCCTTTTTGTGGAGCCTTGAAATGTCTTTTAAAATCATAATTTTTCTTTAAAACCCTCCTTTTAAACAATGTATTTGCAAGTGTTGTACAAATATCGTAAGTGGGGGCATGCCACTAATGAGATCCACTCGAATTTTACCAACACTGCCATAGATAGAGGGACATACATAGATGGACATCGACGTGAGCTTTTTTTTGTTGAAACGTGAGAGAAATTTGGTGGAAATTTTCACTTTACACGAGGACCACTAGAATGAGGAGGTGGACATGGTCGAAAGGAAGCAAATCATTCGAAAGCACGAACCCAAGAAACGTGTACCAAGAAGTTGGCCAACTCTGGAAACAAATATTTACACACACCCACGGTCCTGGATGATTTGAGTAGTGAGTGGGTGGGTGTGTTGTTCTTGTTATTGTGTGCGACACCCGAAAAATGGAAGGAATCTAGACCAAGGGGGCAACACATCACGCATTTCTTATTAGCCTGCACTTTTGGGTCAAGAAAGCCAAGTTTCTTGAAACTTATTACGATTCGATGAAATGGAAAAGCACAAACCGGAAAGAATTTAGGACTAATCTAAGAAATACCCTTTAAAAATATTTATTTAAATTATTTTATAAAAATGTCTAAAGGCTTGTAAACAATTCTCTAAAAAGCTTATATTATTTTCTTTAAATTTTAAAATTTCTTTAAATTTTTCTCTCAATATATCCCTTTATTGGAAGGAGACCTCTTGGTAAGCAGAACTCTAACTAATGGCAACATTTTTCCTCTTTTTTTGTTTGCTCGTATCGAATGTTATTGAGGCAGGACCAGTAGCAAAAGCAAACTTTAATTTGGCTTTGGCTGTCATAAGTTTAAATGAAGGCCAAAAGCGGTCGCATTGAATGAAAAATATCACCCGAGTCCTGCATCCAGAATTGAAATCTCTGTAGTTGAGACGAGGGTAAATATTTGTCCGAGCCGAGGCCCCCGTAAAGACCTTTGACCGGACATTCCACTAAGGAATTTATGACAGTTTCTATATGACCTAGATTTTTTGTTTTGCTTTTAATGGGGAATCTGTGTCTTAATCCATACACTTAACACTTGGCTTTGAGCTACCAAGGGAGTGGTGTTGGTCGGAGGGACTTTCAATAAAAAAAATGCTAAAAAATTGCACAACAAAACGCAGAAAGCAGCTTGTGCCAGATTTGACTTTAAAAGGCGCTCGGGGATCTCGGCCAAGGGAAGCTACTATGTATATCCACCCACTTTGTACATTTACAAATGCGCTTTTAACTTAAATGACAGGCCATTGGGGTGCTGGGCTCTATGGGGTATTCTAGAAGAAGCCAAAACTGAAACAGAAACTGAAGCCGAGAAGGGTAAGCACTTAAAGAAACTTGGACTAAGAATATATTTACAAGGTATATGAAACCTGGTACTTCTTTCTAATTCTTATAACTGTCTTTTATTAAAATCTTACTATTTCTTATTAAAATATTTATATTTTTAAAATTTAATCTTTTCTAGAACCTTTTTCTAACAGTGTCCTTTCTCAGTTCTTCATTCCTTTGGCTTGAAAGGAAAAACGCATTGCCATTTTTTATTTGAAAGCCCAACCCCCCCTTAACCCTCCCACCAATTTGATGTAAATATTGTATTAGTCGGAGGGCCAAAGTGTTGAGTAAATTTATTGGCAGAACATAAATCGAGAACTCCGCCCCTCAATGGGTTGTCATCCATTGAAAAATTAAGCACTCGAAAGGTAAATACACACTTGAAGTGTAACAGAAGGAGAGTATATATATACATATATATGAAGGTACTTGACGATATAAATCGTGGCCTTCACTGCCATTCATTTTCTGGTTTGAAAAAAGTTGAGAGTTCAAAGTTGAGAATGGAAAATGTTGAATGGTAAATTGAAGGTTTTTCAAGAACAGTTTGAAGAGTTGAGAGTTTCAAGTTTTCCTTTTGTGGCCAAAAAGTCTTTTTACTTCCTGTATGTTTTTCAAAAAAAAAAAGGAAAAACCTAGAAGCCTGATGTAAATGCAAAAATGCTGTAGCGTTTTCCCCCCTTTTTTGGGAGCTATGCCAATTTTAATTAACAAAAAACATGGTCAGTTCCCTGTTGCGTTTCATTGTGTATGTTCGAGTGAGTGTGTATTTTGTACGCCTCTGTTCTGTGTTCTCTATTGTTTTGTTTTGTTTTGTTTGGCTAGTTTGAACTTTGTTCTCCTGTATTCTTGCATTTTGAAAGAGGAGCTTGGTATATGGCATAGGGTTTTGTCAGCCCACTTGCCCACTTTCGATCCGCTCAATTAACTGCAATTCGCAGCATACTTTCAGGGTCCACTGAAATGGCCAAGAAGCCACACATACTTATGCAGTTGACTCGACAAAATTAATAGACCATCTAATTGGCCAAGTTTATACTTAAAAGTCACTTACGTTCTTTTAGTTCTGTGTGGTTTTTAGAAAAACTTTTTAAATTTTTGTTATTTTTTTTACCAAAATATATATTTTTTTAAAACACGCGATTAATTTACTTACTCATCAGTAATTTATACATTATTTTTTTATACACTTTTGGTAAGGCGCATTCTATGCTTGACGGACTCTCGATGTGATCTGTTTGTTACTTTGGGAGAACTGTAGAAGAGCCTATGACTTCTAGTGAGACAATAAGCAAAGGTAACTGGTTAGAAATTTTAGGCACTAGTAGATGCTATGTTGATTGATAAAAAAGTTATGTTTTAGGGCTCTTATAAAAAAAAATAGATGGGATTTTAAGAATAAGAAGGAAAATATCTACAACAAAGCAAATAGTTTAAAACCTTAACTCGACTATTTTATTTAATAAAATCAACTTTATTTCGCAGAAAAATTTAAGAATTTTAACTAAAAAAAGGACAAAAAGAGTTGAAATTAAACCAAGAAAGAGAAAAGAAAGTACACAATAATTTTCCTTAATTTTTTTTTAAGGAAACTACTATTATTTATAAAATTTTATTTCTTGAAACAGCATCCCCTAGTCGTTTTAGCATCCTAGTCATTTCTGTATTTTGAAAAAAAGCCTGCATTTGGTGACAGTTCTCTGACACGGCGCCATTGTCGCTGGCTGTCGTTTCCGGTTCCGGTTTACCCCATTCTACCCCACCACCACCACATTCTATTCCTATCTTATCCTTCTTTTTTGGTCTGTTTTTATTTCCCTTTACCGCTCTCTCTCTCTTTATGGTACTACCCACTGGGCTTCTTTGTTTTCCGCGTGACTTTTCAAATATTTTACCTAATCCCTTGGATTCCTGGCTGCCAGGATTTGACTAAAAAACATTTAATTAAAAAATAGCACAGTTTTTATTGGACGATTGGTATTGTTTTCGTTTTTGGCATAATTTAAATGCCACCAACAGGGTTTTCTGATATCATTAATTCGCCATTTGGTCGTATAATAATGAATATTTTCATCTTCTCTTCGTATTTTTTTTCTCCCAGAATGTTGTTTGTTTTTCAACATTTTTTTTGTAGTTGTTTGTTGCCTTATTTTTAGCCATATTTGTTTCATATTTGCATTTGGTTTTATAGTCGGGTTGCTTTTGTGTTTTTCTGTCATGCAATTAATTAGAAGTGGATAAAATGTGCAACGGTGTGTATGCCCAACTCTGGCATACAAATTAAATTAAATTTCTATGTGCATTTTTATTGAACTGCTGGCTGTTCAAAAACTGCAAAAAAAAAAAAGGAAATCACTCCAAAGTGCTAAAGCAAACTCTGCATTCGACATTTGGTTATTCTGGGCTAAAAATGCATTATGAAAATGCATAAACTGAAAAACGTGGAAAATGAAAATGAAACTCAACTGCATCGAAATATAAACGTCAATTAAAATTGCTAAATCATGTTAAATATTTAAAGAGTTGTTAACAGCTGCTTCTACACAAAAAAAATATATATACAGCACATATATAATGATTGTATAAATATTTGCATATATGGCTTGTTTTTACATATATTTTTAAGCCTTTTTAAAAAGGCATTTAAATTTGAAAGAACTATTTTATTTCTAAGAATTCTTTTGCTGAAATTTGAAAAAGGAAAAAGGGGGCTTAGGGTTTTTACCTTTACTTCGGTTTTCATTGGAAATTTTACTAAAAAACATTCTATTTCCAGCATTTTCCTTAATTTTTTTTCATATTCTAGTTTTCAAATCAAAATGTAAAACCTTAAAGTTGGATGAAAATAAGATTTGGTTTGGCATATGGGTCGTATACGTAATATTAAGAATTTCATTTCATTTGCCCAAAAGAATCATTTTTTTGCCCAAAAATTTATGTTTTTGTAAAAAACTCTGGTAAAAGTCTTAATAACAAATTATTAGCTAAGAGAAAAAAGTTAAATTTTATTAAAAATTTATGAAAATTTTCAAAAATAAACAAAAAATCCTAAGAAACCCAAAAGAATTCAAGAAGTAATTGCTCCCAAAGCCATATTATTTGATGAAAACTCCATTTATTTCTCCATCCACCCCCACATATGTGCCCCTCTAACGGCTTTTCGGCAACTAACTGTGAAAACCGAAAAGCAACAGCCGTTAACTGGCCAAAAAGACTTGCAACCTGTTTGATGCTTCCGTTCGAACAACAGTTAGGTGGCTCAAACAACAGGTCTGTGCTGTCTTAACAGAATTTTCCCGAAAAACGTAAGAATTAAATAATCAAATTTAATTAGGTCTTAATTATAACAAATAAGACCAGAACTGTATTTATTTTTAAGACACTATTTACCCGCTTTATAGGGAAACATACGTAGTTTTCTTTCGGTATTGAAAGATTATAACGAACTGTTCAAATAGCCGGCCATTCATTGCATTGGAGGGGGCTTTTCAAAAGAAAACTTGCGTCACAACGAAAGCACAATGACTGGTCTTTAGTCAATATATGTATAAACGTAATTCTTAAAATAAAATTTACAATAAAACGGACATGCTATCCATTGAAGTAGGGTAGTATGAAGGGTATATAGGGTTTTTGGTAGAGGTTGTAACTGGAGGTAGGTGGTTTTTTAAAAATATAAGAATATATTTTAGTCGCAAGAACTGGGTTTTATGAGCTGTTTTCTTAATTTTTTCATTTAAAGACACTTTAAACAAGTTTTATAAAGGTTTCTTAATCTCCAACCTTTATGATTTTATTTTAAATTAAATCATTTAATTACAAAAATTGATAGCTACCTAAAAATACAAATATTAGGCTACTTAAAGTTTATCCAAAAAAAAATATGTATAATCTATAATCAGACCCCACCCACTGCCTCCTTTAGTTGCCTCTCATCACTTCGCCTTCGTTGCTCCAGGGTATCAGCCAGTTGTTTCTCATTCGGAAGAAAGCCCAATCGCTGATATCGCTCCTCCACTCTGGCCTGGAGCTCCGGCTGGAAACGCCAGATGCTGGCATCCACCACCGGATCGATCAGCAGCGCCTTGGTGTCCGGTTCCCGGTAATGCTGCATCTGGGCATACTCTATGGGGATCGATTTGGCCGGACAGGCCTCCTCCTCTGTGTGGAAAAAGGTGAAATGGTTGTGCAATCCCACGGCATATCGAGTATCATGCAGGCACTTGGTGGCATCACCGCGCCCGCAATGACGCTGCACCCGTTCCACGTGCTGGAGCATATAGAAGGAACTGGACAGATTCCGGTAGACTTTGGGACGTTCCGGATACCGGGGATAGTAGACATTGCGGAAACAGAAGCTCACCCATTCGGTGCAGTCTTCTGGAATGCGATTCCCATCATCCGGCACGGTTCGCGATAGTTTCACCAACTCGGACCACTTGGTGATGTTACCCAGCGGCATGATCACCTCATCGATGTCGAACACACCCACATAGTCGTACTTGTACATGTTCCGGTAGAAGCAGTCGTTGTAGGGTATCATCTCGTTGAGAATACGATTGAAACCGTCCGATGCCATGGCATAGTGATGGAAATGGGGACGAGCATGTGGTTCCCCTCGACCCAAGGACATGGGACGGAGCTCCACGAAACCGGGACTATTCGTCACATAGTCCTTCACAACCCTCGTCATATTTGGATGCATTTGTCCGTCGTAGAGCACCACCTTGCTGGCACCCAGTAAACGCATCAGTTCCAGCCACTCGATCAGTCGCCAGGACTTGTCCTCGTAAAGGAAGTCCATGGTCTTGACACAAACCATAAATCGGGGATCCTTTGAGGCGGTCTTGGGCTCATCCTCACGCGGTTCGTACACCACCCTCAGGAGATTCCTCGCCCTGTCACACTTCTGGCCCACCAACGACACCATTTCGGGTATTTCCCATTTGAAGCGACCCTCGGGCAGGGGGCAGCTCAAAAAAGTCGGATAATACCGCCGCGGGGCATGCCCAAAGGGCCACATTACCCGATGCTCGGAAACGGGCACAATCACCGGCTTGGCTCGATTCTTCAGCCAAAACTGACAAAAGATTTCGGGATACTTAAAGGACTTGTCGTCGTGCTGGTTCACCATGGTCAGGAGTCGTACCAGAGGCCCCTCCGCTACTGTCTCCCTGTCATCGTAGTATGCTCCATAGATGTAATAATTGAGTTTCCCATTAATGGCCCTCTGCCAGTAGGTGTTGTGGAAATCGATGTTCATCATGTCAGGTATGGGTCCACATTCAGGGGTCTTGAGAGAAAGCTTTTCCCGATCAGACATCTCCTGCAAAGGGAATGAAGGCATTTCCTCACGAATCCACTGTAAACGTTGCTCCCAAGTGGGTTCTAGAATTGTCGAAAGGATTTTAAGAGTATTTTCGATTATATTTTGAAGGAATATATGATCTAGTAAGAGGACTTACGATTTCTACGATCCACTAGAATTTCATCAAAAACATCCACTTTATAGGTCGTTGAGAACCTTGATAGTCTCGACAAACCATCATAGGTTCTCAAATACAATGCCACTAAGAACAGTAATTTCAGAAATACAATTATGAATAAAATGCGGAACAGTCGCGTGTAACTGGATAACATTTCGGCGATCAACTGATCCGGAATTAAGAAATCGTCGAAGGCCCCAGCAGTCGAAACGGCCCAGCAGTGCCAGCAATACCAATTTTTCGTCATTATGTTGCAATATTTGATAAAGCTGTTTCAGTTAAAGCGTCAGTAGCAGGCACTGACCTTTTTTTTTTTAAATACTTTTCATTCTTTTCTTTGTGGAAATTAAGAATAATTAACATAAAGCTTTAATAAAGTTAAGTTAAGCTATAAGAACAGAAATCCTTTCTTTAAACAAAAATATGTCTCAACTAGTCGGAGAGAAAAAACCAAAACATCAACAGAAACAGAAACAGACAGAGAGACACAGGGAAAGGCATCCAAGCGGAATCCAGAACAAGTTCTAAGAATAACAAACAAGGATCCAGGATTCAGTTCACAAGGAGCCGCGGAATGGCGGAGACGCCGCCAGGTATGCAACAGATACCGCGAAGAAAAACCCCAAAAACCCCAAAAACCAAATACAAACTAAGCGGCATGGGGCAAGCTTGGGAGACTCGCACACAAGCAGCTTGCAACGTGCAACCGGCAACCTGAGCTGGGCTGGGCTGGGGCGGAAGAGCAGAGTGCACACGAAAACGCACCTGGGCGCAAATGAATGATGATGATGTTGCCACAACAGCCGCTGGCAAAAGCAGCAAACCAAACAAAACTTCTTTGCCACACTTGGCACAGTGGGTGTGATGGGATTTGTAGGGGATAAAAAATTATATAAGAATTTTATGAATTTTTTACTGGTTTCTAAAATAAATAACTCCAAACTTGTAAGATTTGGTATCATCTTTTCTAGAAATTTAATGATTTGGTCATATATGACACATATTTTCGTTAAAAGGTAATATAAGCTTGTCCGCGTGTCCGCTTGTCCGTGAAATAGTTTCTGTAAGAATTGCTAACTAAGTTTTTAAGCTAATAACTCCAAACTAGTTAAATATTCATCTTATCTTTATTAGAAATGGTATGAATTAGTTATATATGTCCAATTATTTCGAAAATGGATGACATAAGCATGTCCGCGTGTCCGTTTGTCCGCATAATATTTAAAACTTGAACTAGTCTCTCTATTTTTAAGCTAATAACTTCAAACTTGGTAGGCATACTTTACATCTTCATAGGAACCCTATAACTAAAAATGATCAAGATCGGGCTACTATAACATATAGCTATCATATAACTAAACAATCAGTAATATCCTAACTAGAGGGGTTTCAGAAATATAAGCTTAGGTCTTACTTTTAAAATAATTTCCAAAGAAACTTTGTACATTTCTATAAGGTTTGATTAAAATATTATAATTCCTTAGAGAATCTGGCCCTAAAAACCCTTTATTTTTTAACCAAAACTTTGCTTTTTGAACCCACTGTCTGTGGGCCAAAAGTTGAGTGCCTTGGCACTTCTTGGCTCATATGTGCTACAGCCTTCTTTCGCTTAAGCAAATTGCCAGACCGAATGAGGCAATGAGGCAACGCCTCCAGCCACGCCCTGCCCAAGACCTGCCACGTCCTGACCTCCGACCTGCTCGTCCTTTTGCAACATTTTTCGTCCTTTTGTTTTCGCCATTGCAGTGCAAGCAGTGTCGTATCTCCGCCCTGTTGCATTTCACTTAGAATGCTTTTAACCAAAACATTAAGCAGCTGGTGTCACATTATATCAGCGCCAAGGAGGCAGGTCTTAGTTGGCCCGGTTGGGTCTGCAGCATGCAACTACCAAATAGCAACAGTAGCAGCACCCAGTCAGCTAAATTTATGGCCCGAATTAACCCCACAGCCCAACTTTACCTAACCACTGGAGTGGAGACACTCCTCATCTAGCCTCCTCATCATCATCATCATCAGCATGGAGGCTGGAGACTGAAAAGAAGCCACTTCAGAGTCTAGAGTTGACTGGCAAGATGATGGAGTCTAAGCCCAGGCCATGTCCTGGCCAAAGGAGCCTGCCTCTAATGAGCTAAATTATTCCACGTGGAGAGATGCTGCAGCATCACAAAAATGCCACCAAAGGGTGAAGTTAACTTGGTAATTCTTAGATAAAACATTTTCCAGATCATTGCACCTTAAAGGGTTAAGCTTGAAGGTGATTTTCGTAATTTAATTAGGAGTAGGATTAATTAGTAAATTATGCTAGATTATGTTATAAGATGTTAAAAGTTTAATCCTTAAACTTTACGGCTTTTTTCCTTTGGTATCTATAACCAGTACTTCTTTCAGTTTTTCTAGAGAACGCTAACAAAGATCATTCTACTTGAGGTATTTTTTTCTATTTATACCCGGTACTTCTTAGAAGACCTTTTACTATGAATACCCAGTACTTAAAGACTGGCATCTCTTACTATCTATACCCGGTACTTGAAGGCTTAGAAGCTTTTCTTCTATAAGAAGTAGCTTTCAATACCCATTACTACCAATAAAGGTTACCATCTCTTACTATATATACCCGGTACTTGCAGGATTATACGATTTTTAAATAGCTTTTACAAACTCAAAGTTCTTTTAAAGCTTTAACTATCAATATCCGGTACTTCAAGACTAAAAACTTCTAGTACTTTAATGACTGAATCCCCTAGAGTTTAAGCCTATTTCCAAATAAATAATCAACCCTTTACCACTTCCATTTAAGCCCTATCAATAACAGCTTAGTTCAAAGCCAATCAAAACAGACTTAAAGCACTTGAGACTCTTTGGAATTGATTTTCTTATTAATGAAATCATCTCTTCACTTCCTAATAGTCGATGTTTGCTTGGCCACTTATTAATTCCGAAGCTAATCTGTATGCATCGAGAGCCACAACAAATTGGTTATCTCCATTCTGTTGACCCTTTAAGCTCTCGGGCAAGTGCACAAATCGCATTAACTCGAACTTTTTGGCAAAGAAAAGACCAAAGAGCTCAAAACTGAAATCTCAAAACCGAAAATTGGCAATAATATGGCCATATACCAAGTACCAGACAGGAAATAATCCTTTAGCCTTTGATATTTTGCCAAAAAAAAAAACACAAGAAAAAAGTACAATTTACATGAACAAATATTTGAGCATCGGTCAGTGAGTCAATCAATCAATCAATCAATCAATCAATCAAGTAGTCAATCAATCAGGCCTAGCCATTGCAATGGTTGAAATCTGATACGAAATGGCCTTTTAACCAGCTGCCTAATGGCTGGCACCTTCATTTGGCCTATTTGTTTATTAAAATTAAATTTTGCATAATAAACTATTTGAAAAAGTGCTCCGCTCGATATATTCGATGGCTTTGGCTACGTTGCCAGGCAATAATTTAGCTTAACTTAGCCAGGTCGGGCAGTAGGGCTTTGAATAATTGATGAAATCGTCCATGAAATGGCCATTCATGCACTTTAAGCTGATTTACTTGCCAACGAATTAAAATGCCCCAGTCTGAGAGTCAAGAGGGAGTGCATTGACTGGCTAGGATATAGGTACATATATTGAGGACATAGTAGTAAGGAGGCAGCACCTCCATAGTACTCCATAAATCACACAGGACATGGACACAAGGCATTCGAAGTCAGTAGGGCCAAGGCCACCAATAGTGGTTACTACTACTGGCTTTAATATTAAATTATTTTAGGTTTATGGTTGGTTTTAAAAAATATTAAGATTAGGACTAAGTTAGGACCTCCATTTGTATTCAATTACCTGCCATCTTGAACGCTTTCTGTTATTTATGTTGATTAATATGCACTGGAAGAAAAAAGAATCTAGTCATCTTGACCTTAGGTTAAACCTGTTTTTGGACTAATTTATCAGTTTTTGTGGCTCAAGGTATTTTTTTTTTTGCTCAACCTCTGCATAACGGACAGGCAGACAAGCGGACACGCGGACAGTTGGACAACGTACTGCGTGCTGTTGTTGGGGGAATCCGAATCAGTGCCAGTATAGTAGCTGTATTAGTGTTGTCTACTAGCTGCAGCAGCACCATCATCAGCATGATTAATTGATGAAAATCCTTTTTGCCATGCAGGATAATAAATTACAATACACGGCCCAACAAGCCAGCCAGCCAGCTAGCCAGCCAGCCTGGCAGGATAGCGGATGGACAGGTAACTGTTAGGAAAAAGAGGGTAGGAGTTTTTATATACATATGTACATATGTATGTAAAGGTATGTAAGAGTGGGTGGAAGTTCAACCCGATGTGTAGCATGTGCTGCAAATAGCACAAAACAGGCCACATATGGGGCAACTTTGATTTGCCACGCAGCAAGGGGCTCTTCTTGCATATGCATGAGGCTGTGGTTATGGGTTTTCCTAAGCAAAGTACATTGGAATCAGAGGAAAAATTAAATGAAGAATTATTAAAAAAAAGATTAAGAATTTTTAGAAGTGGCCTGAAAGGTATACATATATAAGGTTGTCAAATATCTCCCTTCCGCTTTTTTGCTCTTTATTCAATGCTTTATAAAAAGTGTTACAGTGATCCGATTTAGTTGAAATATGCGCCGTTTTGTTCGATAATCCGTTTCCATCTAGACGGCAACTTCATAATACCTCCCTCGTAGAAGCCCCCCTCCTTATTTGCGAAGAACTCGGACAGCCACTTTTCACAAGCCTCTTTTGAGTTCAACTTTACACCACCAAGGGCGTTCGTCATGGACAGGAACAGGTGGTAATCACTTGGCGCTATGTCCGGGCTATATGGTGGATGCGATAAAACCTCCCATCCGAGCTCCCGTAGCTTCTGACGAGTCATCAACGAAGTGTGTGGTCTGGCGTTGTCCTGGTGGAACACTACACCCTTCCTGTTGGCCAATTCTGGACGCTTCTGGTCGATCGCCTGCTTCAAGCGGTCCAATTGTTCGCAGTAGATGGTAGAATTAAGCGTCTGGCCATATGGGAGCAGCTCATAGTGGATGATTCCCTTCCAATCCCACCAAACACACAGCAAAACCTTCCTGGCCGTCAATCCCGGCTTGGCCACTGTTTGGGACGATTCACCGGCCTTCGACCACGACCGTTTTCGTTTGATATTGTCGTATGTGATCCATTTTTCGTCGCCAGTCACCATCCGCTTCAAGAATGGGTCGAGTTCGTTCCGTTTCCGCAGCATATCGCAGGCGTTGATTCGGTCCACAAGGTTTTTTTGCGTCAAATCATGCGGCACCCAAACATCAAGCTTTTTTTGTATCCAGCCTTCTGCAGATGGTTTAAAATGGTTTGGTGACTAACTCCCATCTCCTGGGCGATGTCACGAGAAGCCACATGCCGGTCTAACTCGATGTATTCCATGATTTGATCGGTATTTGTCGTCACAGGTCTTCCGCCGGCTGGCTTATCCATGGTGTCGTTTTCACCGGCTCTGAATCGTCGAAACCATTCCTCCGCGGTTCGAAGTGATAGAGTACCATCCCCCAAAACCCCATTAATCTCACGGAACGTTTCTCTAGCGGATTTGCCTTTAACGAAGGAAAACTTTAAAATAGCGCGAATTTCGGCGTTAGTGAACTCCATGTTTACACGTCTATAACTGGTGAACGCAATATCCAAACTAATCATGCATAGCGTCGTTTTGTAGGTTATGTCAAGACCTTTTAAATTATGTATAGTGTTGCCAGATACGAGCTCTGTAGCGCTTTGTACATAGCCGCGAAATTCAAAAGACAAAAAGGCGGAAGGGAGATATTTGACAACCTTATATTTAAAAGCTTATATAATTTTAGAATAAAATCTTATCAAATTTTTACCAATGTACTTAGTCCTACACTCTCTCTCAGGCCATATCCAGGACCTGGTACGACGATGACGCGTTGCTGCCTGTTTCCCCAAATTAGCTTAATTTCATTTAAAAGGATACACAGCGCACTGCATCCTGGTGCTGCTAGAGGACCTCGGATGTGGCGTCGTCATCCACCAAAACTTTCCCATCACCCCACCGCCAGCTAACGAAGAGGAAAGTTAACTGGTTCACTATGGAATCTGAATTATTTAACTATGTATAGAGTAGTTGGGGAAACAACAGGGTTTTGTGAATTTTTACCAGCAGATCGGTTACGTTGGTAGAGAGGTAGAGTTAGTGGGGCTTTCGTGATTAACTCAATACCGTGGAACTAGATTCCATACCATAGTATGATCACAAATATATGTATGTATAAGGGGACAAAGCATGCTTATGCCTTGCTTTTCTCATGCTTTTTGGGTGTGGGTGTATGTTTATAATTCATTAGTTTGCTAAATGTATTTCCTGGCTTAATTGGGTAGTAAAGCACACGGACTAAGCTCATAAAACAGCCAGCAAAGCAAACAGCAAACGTTCCTCCTGGTATGTATAGTATGTCTGGGTCTGATTAGGGCGGTGGAAAAGAAAAGCACCAGCATCCAGAGTAACAGTCTGGAAAATCGGCTCCTTCTTCAATGGGGTTTTAATGCTACCCTATAATAGTATGTAAGTTAAGATCTATTAAGCTTTCAAACATTATGTATTTTTTTCTTAAATATGTTAGTTAATTTAAAAAAAAATCCAAACTAAAGATTACTAGTACCGGGTATTTATAGTCTGTAGATTTTGCTATATCCTACCTTTCTTTGAGCTTTGTGTGTATATGCCTTTTGCCGCAAATTACTAAACGGATTGGCACAGGGATTGCCGGAGCAACCAATCCTGGCCAGAGTTGAAAAGGTCAGCTCATTTGTTTGGCTTCAAAGGCAGCTTGAGCGCTGGCTACGTGGCGTATGCGTAATATTGGAAATAGCATTTCAAAGATAATGGTTCCACTGTCCATTATCTTTATTTATTAAATGCAAGTTTTAAATATAAACGCACGCCTGAAAGTATACCACCTTTTGAGTAATCATTAAAGTTTATAAATAAACGCTTTAAGTAGTTCTTTGGTTGTTTATTTTCTCAAGTGTTTAAGTGAAAGTTTTGACACTCTTTTTTTTTTTTAACAGAAAGATTACAAGAGATTGATTAATTTGAAAAAAAAAAGAACTCGTTATACTACATTGTTCGCTTGGAAACCCCGTTTGTGGTTGTGGCTGATAAGGCCCATTAAAGCTTATCACCATGTTACGTCGACTTTTCAAACGACCTTTGGTCTAGTTCTTATGGGAATTATAGCCCACACAAGTCAGTGAGTAATTAAAGCAGGTCCAAGCTTAAGTGTTCTCCAGATTGCCGTCTTTGTAAGAGATTTCCCCATAATAATATTTCTCAATTCGGAAAACGAAATCTGAAGAAATTATTATTAAATTACACAAACAAGCTGACTCACGTAAACAAAGAGCTCGACCTGAAAACGAGCTCATCTCAAAATAATAAATAAAAAAAAAAAACACACAATTGCAATCGATCCAAGATCCAGCCAGCAAACGCTTTGTTCTTAATTTATACGATCGTTTTTGTTTGCTTTTTCTGGGTTGCTGTGCGGTGAATAATTCTAGACTCGAGAACACTTGATAGAAACACAAATACACAGCTTAAGGGGCATTTCCCAATCTCTCAGATACCTGAGACTGGGGCCACTCAGCTTTCGCGCCTCTGTACACGCTTCTCAATATGTTGGCCTAAGAGGAAAAATAAATTATGATGAAATGTATGATTTTCTTTAAATGATTTTTAACTATTGTTTTATTAAGTAATGATATGACTTATTTCTTTTTTGATACATATAGTATGTATTTCTTGAATCGGTTACCCAATACACTGCACACTTGGCCAGGTGATGGGGGCATAATAAAAAGCAGAAACCACTGGCATTTGCGATAGTGAGTACATAAATATTGGTTTATTTCTGATAAGATATCCGAGGACACAATCCCATAATATCGATGCATGAAATTGTTGTTTTATTTTTTTGGCGAAAAATTTATAATATGTCGGCAACATTGGACATCGATTTGAATTCCCATTTAAAAATTCAAGTCCAATAGTATATATATTTTTTTTGATGAATCATTTCACCTTTATCTGGTGAAGAATAGGCGAAATTGTAACTTCCGGAGTGGGAAAGAAACTTTGAACTTCGTCTAGAAAAAAAAAAAGCATACAAAGGCATGTACGAATGCCAGTAATGGACGAAGCTAAGACGACATTCGTCGCGTGAATGATGTCACTATATCATGATCGGCTGATTAGACAAAGCAGAGCCGCAATACAACAGTGGTTATAGATCTTATAAAACTTTAAGATATACAAGTAATATATTTAAAATTTTAAAACTATAAAGTAGTTTAAATAAAGATCAAATTCTTAAAGAAAAATGATTTTCATTTCTTTAAATAATTTTTGTTTTTAAGAAATGCAACTCTTTAGAGGGAATTATGGATTATTCAGCCGAAATCCCAAGAAAACAAATGTTTATGCATTTCCAGTTGGCAAGCCATATGCCGATAAGATATCGATATTACTCAACCCATCAGTCAGTCTGCAAATATATAAAATGACTCGAATGGGGCATTTTCAGGTGCATTTGATTGGGTTTCGGCCCACCGTTGTGTCAATTGTTACGCCTTACTTAGTGGCCGGTAACCGGTGATTTTCATTCACTTGCCAGTCGCCACCGCCGACCGACGTATCGCAGACCACATCATACGACCGGATAGCTCTTCCTTCCTCTGGATAACTGCACCGCCATGCACAAGTACACTATGATGGGCCTCTGCCTGATGGCAGCTTTGGGAGCCGTACTCCTGGAGGTGAATGCCAGTCCAGCTGGTGTCGCTATCCCCTCGAAGTTGGATCCCAGTCAGTTGGGCGGTCTCTCAGCGCAATTCTTGCCGCCCGAATATCGCAACACCAACGTCAGTGTGGGTAGGTCTTTCGATTATATGGAGCTTATGGAGTGAACTTTAATGATAATTCTTTCTTAAAGATGACATCAAACGTCTGTATCGCGAGAAATGCAAAAAGGTCACGGGCACCGACAACTCCACCTTCTACGAGGACATCGAACGGGCTGCCACCAAGATGAGCACCTGCATCAGTGGCGTCGCCAATCTGACGGCCATCCAGGAGGAGATGGAACAGGCCAAGCCCCAGGGTGAACTGGATACTGTTTTCCACAAGTACTGTACAAAGGCGCCCGAGGCCGAGGCCTGTGTCAAGGAATTCAACACCAAAATGCAAGTCTGCCTCACCGCCGAGGAGAAGCGCCACCAGGAGACGATCGCCCGGATCGGGGCATCGCTATTGGGATTCGCCTGCACTAAGGGCGGGGATCAGATCGCTTTGTTCGTGGCCGAACAGGGGCCAGAGTGTCTGGAGGCCAACAAGGAGGCCATTGCCAATTGCCTCAACCAGTCGTTCCACAACTACATTCCCAAGGACGGACAGGTGCCCGATCTGATGAGCGCCCCCGAGCTGCTGTTCTCGCCCACCCACTGCGTGGACCTGGAACGGTTCGAGCACTGTGTCCTCCACCACTTGGAACGGTGCTCCGAGATCACCCCCGCCAACATTGTCCAGTCGATCTTTAAGTTTGTGAAGAACGAAACCGACTGCCAGGCGTACATGAATGCCCGGGCCAACGAGAAACCCATTTTGATGGCCGCTGCCGGCAATAGTACTGGCGGAGGTGCCACTGGACTGACGGCCTATTCCGGTTCCCTATTAGCTGGACTCTTTGCCGGATTCTTGATCCTCAATCGCTACTAAAAAAAAACCGACAAAGAAGGTCGGTCCAAAAAAAACTGGATAGGAAAAGGAAAAATACTGCCCCCCACATTATCAAAGACTGCGGCAAACTCGTTAGTTCTTTTAGAATTTATATTCTTTTGTTTTTTTTTTTCTTCCAAGTGTTTGACCATCGAAATAGCCCCCGATAGCGATAACGAAAGCTTATATATTACCTCTACTTTATAAGCTTCTTTTTTTTTTGTTTTTTTTCTTCGGTCTATTAGCTACATACATAGATCCATATAATTTAATGTCTCATAGGGAATTGCTCGTAATAACCAAGATTATGGGATGGTAGAAGGTAGCGAGTTTGAGTTTGCCGATCATGTTTTGACAAAAAAAAATTAAATTATAATGTATTCTCTATAAAATATATTTATTTCATACGCCCTATTATAAAAATAAACGATACATTTTATTTCAAAACTATTGGAACTGAACCATAATATGAAGAAGGCTTGAGCTTAAGCCTTAGCTTTTTATCTTTAGTACCAGGGGTTAGAAGAATTATGGCCAATGGCTTCTGGTTGCTTTCATTCATTATTCCTTGAAATAAACTTTAAAATATATATCTCAAATCTAAGCTTGGAAATTCTATTTCCAAATCAGAGACCACGCGCCCAGAAAATTCCGGATAAGTCTTAATCAGAACCCAATCCCAGTGGAAGGTTTCTGCCAAAATACTATGATGTGGGGGTTTTAAATCGGGCCTTACTCGAACGTCATAGAGACCTATTAGATTGCGAACCTTGGACTGGAAGAAAACAAGAATCGAAAGCTGAAAGCTAAATAATGCCCCTGCACGGGTATAGTATTAATCAGTTCTTTTTAAATGTGTTATTTTATTAACACGCCTTATCTCACAAAATAACTAAATTATGCCTTTTTTTGGATAAAAATTCAGTTAAACTATTCCAATAAAGTCTAGGCTTTATTCTAAAAAAAACGATAAAAATATATTTCCGCCTCATGCCACTTTTAACGAGAATTCCCCAGATTGCTAATCGACTACCTCGGATATAAATCCCAGTGGTCCAGACTGGTCATAGGTTTCTTGGTGTCGAGGCTGAGGGGTTTCTTTCATTCGCTTCATAGCCTCCAACACTAAAGGATCGGAGACCATCTCATAGCTATTCCTCTGGATAAGTGAAGCGCCATGCACAAGGGCACTATGATGGGCCTCTGCCTGATGGCAGTTTTGGGAGCTGTTGTCCTGGAGGTTAATGCTAGTCCAGATACTGATCCCATCTCCATGTTGCCGAATTTTGGTGAGTTGGGCAGTCGGTCTGCGAAATTCTTGCCGCTCGAATATTTTAAACTTTCTTTTAACTGTAAGTTTTCAATATTAGTGCCACAAAGTTCACCTTTTTTGTTCTATCGTTAGGTGACCCGATATTTGAAGAGCAATGCATGAAAAAAACCGAAAATTTATTTCTGCTCATGGAAGTGAAAATAGTATCATTTAAATTGGAAATGGGCTTCACCAAACTGGACAATATCTGGCAAAATATGATAAAGGCCAATGATGAAAAGTCGTGGGACGTACTGGACGCCTACATCGATGAAAGCTGCAAGAAGGCAACCGAGGTCCACGACTACTTCAAGGAGTTAACCAACACAGCACAAGTCTGCCTTACCTCCAAATGGAAACACAGTTTGGAGACGTTGTCCCGAATTCTGGAATCGCTAGCGAGATTTCAATGTTCCTTGAGCCGTAATGAGGTCGCTCCGTACTTGGACACAATGGGTATGTGTCCGAATTTCACCAGGAAAATGATTGACAATTGTGACCAGTTTCTCCCCAATTACCCTTCCGTGAACAACTTCACATTCACAAAAACCTTCATGCTGTTCTTCTCGCCCACTTCCTGCGCCCACCTGCACCGGTACGAGTCGTGTGTCCTCCACCTTCTTGAAATTTGTTCTGATAACCCGGCCGTCAAAATGGTCCAGTCGATCTTTAATATTATAAAGAATGAAACGGACTGTCAGGAGCTGAACGCCATCAATGTGACCGACTCTTCAAAGGCAATTGCTAATAATAACACCTTGACTACCCCCGATGCTACCGCCTCTGGAAATACTACGATCGGAGGCTCGGCCAATGTTGGCCAGAACACAACTGCTTCCGGCAATTAACCAAGCCAACCAAGGCTTTCCTGTGGCAGTGTGGGTTGGCATCGGACTTCTAATCGGGATAGTCGTTATAGTCGGTGTGTACCTTTCATACCCGACACTCAAGAAGTAGAAAGATAGATGGTGCAACAGCATGTAACATGGAGAAGAAATCCTCCCCGATGTCACAAAGTGGAATATACAGCTTAATTCAACAAAACTTTTTTTTAATTTTAAAATGTTACATAATCGATAAAAACTTAATTCAAATGCAATTTAATAAAGCAGACACAAAATTTAAATTTGGGGTCTAAATGTCCGTGGAATGCCTGATTTCAGAGTCCACGTGCTACTAAAAATTATTCTTAGCCCAAAGCTGATACCTTTTGCGTGGGTTTAGAATAAATCAGTTTTTTTTTAAACGTTTTATTTTATTTTTTTTTATAATATGCCTTATCTTATATAAGCCCACAAACAGATAATCAAACATTTCAAAACTATTCACTTTTGAATGACATTCATCCGCTCCAAAATAAAAACACAGAATAAAACATTAAAAACTTTATAATAATGTTTATTCTGGATGCAGATGAAACCGGGTGATCAGTTTATGATAGACCAGTTCATGGTGCTAAGGAGTGACTGTATCGTAGACATTCCGACTAGACATTCCGAAGCGATAACGGAGAGGGCGGCCCTAGCTAGACATTACAGAGCCAAAACTATCTAAAGATAGGCCCGTTGAAGCCTTATAAATTAACCTTATAAAATAGCGGACGTTGCCTGAGCTGACACCCATTTTTGGATAAAAATTCTGTTAAACTATTCCAATAAAGTCTAGGCTTTATTCTAAAAAAGTTTTGGCAGTATTAAAGCCTAGGTAATGTGCTAATAATCTGAAATAAACATCAATGGAAATATATATGCATAGTTTCTGGCTGGACTGACAATAGCAGAGCATACTTCTGGGCCTTCTGGATTGTTATAGCTCTTCTAATTTTAGTCCGATTGGAGTTATAGTATTAGCTTAATCGCTCGTTTAGGGCTTTTCTAAAATATTGTTTCAAATTTTCCTGAAATATTTATTTCAAGGCGTTCCTTTTAAAATATATATTTGGTATAGCTCCTGCCAGAATCCTATACAATATATGTATGTATATACTTCATGGGGTCAGAGATACTTTTTGGGATCAGACACGAATACAATACACCCTTGTACTGTACCCAACTCTTGCTGTTCTACACTTAAAATTAAAACGTATTATTACAAAATTAAAAAAAATAAATTAAATAAAAATATGTATATTTATAAATATTTATATTTATATTATATTAAAATATTTATATAAGGTATTTATCTCAATTCTAAACTGAAAACCATTTCGATTTCATTCTTAATCAGAGTCCACGTGCCCCAAAAAATTCCATACGAGTCTTAAGCTGTTATCCGGAATTAAATCCCAAAGGAAGGTTTTGCGCAATATCCTATGATGTGAGTATTGCCTAATCGGACTTAACTCCAACGTCATAGAGACCTTATTGTATTTTATTTTTTTTTGTCGAACAAAACGATAAAAATATATTTCTGCTAATCCACTACCTCGGAAATAAAACCCAATGGACCAGACTGGCCAAAGGTTTCATGGTGTCGAGGCTGAGGGGTTTCTTTCATTCGCTTCATAGCCTCCACCGCCGACAGGTTGCAGTATTCGCCTTCCAAAAGTCACAACATCCACAGGATACGATAGCCGCCATGAAGAACTACTCGTTGGTGTCCTTTCTTATTATAGCAACCTTTGGTATCGGCCTGATCCTTGGAGTCGATGCAAACGGGAACAACACTGGAGTTCACAAAACTGAGGCTATTGCAAAAAATAGTCCGATTAAAAGTAGTCCGATTAGCAAGCCCGCGGCTTCTATCGCAAATGGCAAGGGCGTAGGTGCCCCTCCGGCCCCTCCTGCCACAGAAAGTAATACCAATGGAACTGCCTCCGCTGCGACTGCCACTGTAACCAACAACAATAATGGGACCGCCACTTCAGCACCAATTGCTAACAACACCTTGGCTTCAAACGGAACTGCCACGATCGAACATCCCACCAATGTGTCTGCCTCTTCAGGGACAAATGTAAACATTACGGTTACACCCGGAAATTCTACAGAAGGAGTTACCACCAATGTGATCGACCCTTCAAAGCCAAATGCTAACAACACCTTGGCTTCAAACGGAAATGCAACGAGCGAACGTCCCACTAATGTAACTGCCTCTTCGGGGTCAAATGTTAACAATACTATGGTTACACCCGGAAATTCTACAGGAGGAACTGCACCCAATCCTTCCGAAAATCCTGCAAGCGGAGGCACCACCATTAAGACCACCTCTTCAGGACCAAATGTTAACCAAACCACTTCCGGAAATAAACCAAGCCAAGGTGGCATTCCAGTGGCAGCGTGGGTTGGCATCGGACTTCTAATCGGGATAGTCGTTATAGTGGTTGTGTACCTTTCATACCCAAAACTCGTGGAGTACAAGGATAGATGGTGCAACGGCATGTAACATGGAGAAGGAATCCTCCCCGATGCCATAAAGGATATACAGTGGAATATATTCTCAACCAATTCAAGCAACATTTTTTTTTTATTATTATTTTAAAATGCTATATATACGATAACCACTTAATTTTAATTCAATTTAATAAAGCGGGTACCAAATTAAAATTATGATTATTCATTTATTTTACAAAATGCCTGATTTCAGAGTACACGAGTGATTCGGGTATGGTATGAATCAGTTCTTTTTAAATGGTTTTAAATAATTTTTAATATCTAATTAAAATTCAGTTAAATTATTCATAGTAGAAGTATTGCGAATAAAATTCCGATGAGTATATATCTCTGCCTCATGACACTATTTACGAGAATTCCCCAGATTGCTAATCCACTACCTCGGAAATAAATCCTACTGGTCCAGACTGGTCATAGGTTTCTTGGTGTCGAGACTGAGGGGTTTCTGTCATTCACTTCACAGCCTCCATCGCCGAAGGATAGGAGTCAACCTCATACGACCGAATAGCTCTTCCTTCCTTTGGAAAATTGCAGCGCCATGCACAAGGACACTATGATGGGCCTCTTCATGATGGCAGCCTTGGGAGCCGTTCTTCTGGAGGTTAATGCCAGTCCAGATACTGATGCCATCTTCTTGTTTACGGATCGTAACAAGTTAATAGGTCAGTTTCTATAAACGACACGTATTCAGTATTAATTCCATAAAGTTAACCTTTTTTCGTTTTATTTTCAGATAATATCGGGAAATTAGAAGAGCAATGCATAAAAATAACAGGAGAGAACAAAAGCGAGGTCATGGATCGGGCCAAGGAAACATTTCAATCCTTTACAATGTGCTTGTACGATCTGGACCTCAACAGGCTACAGATGCAATCGGACAGAAACTGCACGATGGCAACCGAGGTCCTGAAGTACTTCAATGAGTTCACCAACAGAGTCCAAGTCTGCCTAACCGCCGAGGGGAAACAAACTTTACAGACGCAGTCGCGAATTATGGAATCGATCGCTTTGTTCGTGGACGAAATGGGTTCTTACCCGAATGTCACCAAGAATGCTATTGACAATTGCATATACCAGTCGTTTCCCAATCACCATCCCGGGAACGATTACGAAAATCCAAAATTCCTCAAGCTGTTCTTTTTGCCCACTTCCTGCGTGTACCTGCAACGGTTCGAGTCGTGTGTCCTCCATCTCTTAGAAAGTTGTCCTGAGGTTTCCCCACGCATCATGGTCCAGTCGATCTTGAAGACTTTGAAGAATGAAACCGACTGTCAGGAGCTGAACGCCATCAATGTGACCGACTCTTCAGGACTAATTTCTAACAACTCCTTGCATTTAAACGGAAATGCAACAAGCGAAGGTCCCACCAATGTGACTGCCTCTTCGGGGTTAAATGCTAACAATACCATAGTTACACCCGGAAATTCTACAGGAGGAGGTGCTCCCAATCCTTCCGACGATACTGCAGGCGGAGGTACCATCAATGTGATCGACTCTTCAAAGCCAAATGCTAACAACACCTTGACTACAACCGGAAATGCCACGAGCGAACGTCCCACCAATGTGGCTGACTCTTCGGGGTCAAATGTTAACAATACTATGGTTATACCCGGAAATTCTACAGGAGGAGAAACTAGTTCCGGAAATACACCAAGCCAAAGTGGCTTTCCAGTGGCAGGGTGGGTTGGCATCGGACTTCTAATCGGTACCTTTTATAACCGGCACTCGTGAAGCACAAGGAAAGATGATTGAAGGACATGTAACATCGAGGAGAAATCCTCCCCGATGCCTTCAAGGATATACAGTTTAACTTTTTTGTTTGTTTTTTTTTTTTTTGTAATCACCATTTTTTTTAGATTTAAGCAACCGGCAGGGTTTCGCATAAAGGAAACCCCTTTAATGGCGGAATCAGAAAGGGATTAGGTTTAAGTTTTTATTTTGCTTATATATTATATATTTGGAGTAATAAATGACCGAAATGCTGTCAAACTTCTTCATCTTTGTTCTCAAGTTCAAAATTCTAATTCTTTTTGAAATCTATCATCGGATGAGGAAGACCTTCTATAGCGCCTCCATCGCTTAATAGCATTTTAATACCTTGCTTCTGAATGTGTCTATATATGAGTCTATAACCTTTATACAATTATAAAGTCTGCTTTAAAGTACCTTTACATGAGAGTATTTGAAAGTGACATTTCTGATCATATACAATCGAAAAATAGTTAATTACTCTACGACGTACTATAGGTTTCAAGGTTGGACTAGGCTTCAATTTCTACATTTTTTTAAAAACGAGATTTTCATTCAAAAATTTTCCAGGCACTGTTGAGACGTTATACTTCAACATACAACTATAAAGACACCACAAGACACCCAGTTTTTTGGACAATAATTTTTGGAGACATTATGCAGCCTTTTACTCTTTCATTTCTGCACTTATCTTTAAAATAAACTATAAAATATATACTCCATTTCATGTGCCACAAAAAAATTCCAGATGAGTCTTAAGCGATTATCCATTTGGAAATATTGCGAAAAAAACCAAGATGTGGGGGTTTTAAATCGGACCGCACTCGAACGTCATAGAGACCTATTAGATTGGACCTTGGACTGGAAGAAAACAAGAATCGAAAGCTGAAAGCTAAATAATGCCCCTGCACGGGTATAGTATTAATCAGTTCTTTTTAAATATGTTTTTTTATTAACCTTATCATACAAATAGACGATAAAATATTTCAAAATATTTAAAATAAGTCCATTTTTGGATAAAAATTCAGTTAAACTTTTCCAATAAAGTCTAGGCTTCATTCTAAAAAAAAACGATAAAAATATATTTCTGCCTCATGGCACTTTTAACGAAAATTCCCCAGATTGCTAATCCACTACCTCGGATATAATTCCCAGTGGTCCAGACTGGTCATATGTTTCTTGGTGTCGAGGCTGAGGGGTTTCTTTCATTCGCTTCATAGCCTCCAACATTAAAGTATCGGAGACCATCTCATACGACCGGATAGCTCTTCCTCTGGATAAGTGAAGCGCCATGCACAAGGGCACTATGATGGACCTCTGCCTGATGGCAGTTTTGGGAGCTGTTGTCGTGGAGGTTAATGCCAGTCCAGATACTGATGCTCTCCCTGCGCAATTGCTTCTCAACGAGGTGTACAAAAGAAGTGACTTTATTATCGGCAAGTTTTCCTTTCAAGTTTAATTCCTTAGAGTTCAGCTTTAATCTTTTTTTTTTTCGTCAGTGTGGAAAAAAAATTTACAACATCATTGCGAGGAAGTATCAGGGGAGGCCCACTCCATGGTCATCGAAGAGGCCATGAACAAGTTGATTGACTGCGCTGGGGAGACCATGAAAAATTTGCATCAGCACAAGACGTGGGACACGTTTATCCCCTCATTATTCAAGAAGGCACCCGAGTTCGGGGCCTGTGTCATGGAGCTTAGCACCAAAATTCAAGTCTGCCTCACCGACGAGGAGAAGCGCCAATCGGAATTCCACTTCTCGAGGGTTGGAGATCAGATCGCTCATTTCGTGGCCAATCAGGGCCCGCAGTGTCTGGCGGTCAAGATGGACAGCATTATCAATTGCGGCAACAAGTACTCTTGCGTTGACCTGGAACAGTTCGAGTCGTGTGTCCTCCACCTCCTTGAAAGTTTTTCCGATAACACCCCAGTCAAAGTGGTCCAGTCGATATTTAAGGTTGTGAAGAATGAAACGAACTGTCCTTCCGGAAATAAACCAAGCCAAGGTGGCATTCCAGTGGCAGCGTGGGTTGGCATCGGACTTCTAATCGGGATAGTCGTTATTGTCGGTGTGTACCTTTCATACTCAAAACTCGTGAAGTAAAATGATAGATGGTTGAACGGCATGTAACATGGAGAAGAAATCCTCCAATGCCATAAAGAATATACAATGAAAAATGCAGCTTAATTCAACAAAACTTTTTTTTAATTTTAAAATGTTACATAATCGATAAAAACTTAATACAAATGCAATTTAATAAAGCAGACACAAAATTTAAATTTGGGTTCTAAATGTCCGTGGAATGCCGGATTTTAGAGTCCACGTGCTACTAAAAATTATTCTTAGCCCAAAGCTGATACCTTTTGCGTGGGTTTAGAATAAATCAGTTTTTTTTTAAATGTTTTATTTTATTTTTTTTTATAATATGCCTTATCTTATATAAGCCCACAAACAGATGATCAAACATTTCAAAACTATTCACTTTTGAATGACATTCATCCGCTCCAAAATAAAAACACAGAATAAAACATTAAAAACTTTATAATAATGTTTATTCTGGATGCAGATGAAACCGGGTGATCAGTTTATGATAGACCAGTTCATGGTGCTAAGCAGTGACTGTATCGTAGACATTCCGACTAGACATTCCGAAGCGATAACGGAGAGGACGGCCCTAGCTAGACATTTCAGAGCCAAAACTATCTAAAGATAGGCCCGATGAAGCCTTATAAATTAACCTTTTAAAATAGCGGACGCTGCCTGAGCTGACACCCATTTTTGGATAAAAATTCTGTTAAACTATTCATAATAGAAATAAAATAAAATTGCGAATAAAATTTCGATAAGAATATATCTCTGTTCATGACACATTTAACGAGAATTCTTGTGGTTGCAAACCCACTACAAGCAGTGGACATAAATCCCGAAAATAATTCCCACTGGTCCAGACTGGTCATAGGTTTCTTGGTGTCGAGGCTGAGGGGTTTCTGTCATTCGCTTCATAGCCACCACCACCGACGGATTGGAGACCACCCCATACGACCGGATAGCTCTTCCTCTGGATAACTGCAGCGCTATGCACAAGGGCACTATGATGGGCCTCTGCCTGATGGCAGTTTTGGGAGCTGTTGTCCTGGAGGTTAATGCTAGTCCAGATACTGATCCCATCTCCATGTTGCCGGATTTTGGTGAGTTGGGCAGTCGGTCTGCAAAATTCTTGCCGCTCGAATATCTTAAACTTACTTTTAACTACAATTATTCAATATTAATTCTATAACGTTGTTCTTTTTCGTTTTAGCTTTAGATGGCTTTTCGATATTTGAAGAGCAATGCATGAAAAAAACAGAAAAGGAAAAAAACGAGATCAAGGATCGGGTCATGGATATAAATTCAAACATCCGAAGAGGCATCACCGAGCAGAAGATCATCCGGGAAAAGATGATAAGGGCCAATGATGAAAAGTCGTGGGAAGAACTAAACGCCTACATCGATGAAAACTGCAAGAAGGCAACCGAGGTCCAGAACTACTCCAAGGAGTTGACCAACACAGCACAAGTCTGCCTTACCCCCAAATGGAAACAACATTTAGAGACGTCGTCCCGAATTCTGGCATCGCTAGCGAAATTCCAGTGTTCCTTGAGCCGAGATGAGATCGCTCCGTACGTGGAATTAAAGGATATGTGTCCGAACTTCAAAAGGGAGACTACTGACACTTGCCTATACATGTCGTTCCCCAGTTACCCTTCCGGGAACAACTCCGAACCCCTCATGCTGTTCTTCTCGCCCACTTTCTGCGTCGACCTGCAACGGTTCGAGTCGTGTGTCCTCCACTTCATAAATAGATGTATTGCTAACACCCCAGTCAACATTGCCAAGTCGATCTTTGAGATTTTGAAGAATGAAACGAACTGTCAGGCGATTGTTGGCCAGAACACAACTGCTTCTGGAAATAAACCAAGCCAAGATGGCTTTTTAGTGGCAGTGTGGGTTGGCATCGGACTTCTAATCGGTACCTTTTATAACCGGCACTCGTAAAGCACAAGGAAAGATGATTGAACGGCATGTTACATAGAGAATGAATCCTCCCCAATGCCATAAAGAACATACAGTGGTTTACAGATTGTTTCAGTCAATCGGACTTAAAATCCGGGAAATATCTATATTAATTATGCAATGTACTACATATTTTTAAAATAAACTCTTAATGCTTGTATTACTTTAAACAGCTTTTATTATATTCGAAATAAAATAAATAACACCAATACTAAACCCCAATGAATAAATGTATGTATGTAGGCCTTAAAATATGTGGCATAGTTTCCGGCTAGATAGCGAAAAGCAGAGTATACTTCTAGGACTTCTTTAGACCTCGACACCCACTGATAAACTTTAATAAGAGAAAAATAATCTTAATAGCACCAACATAACCATCAAGCTTATCATAGACAATTACTAACTTTTAGTTAGATACACTCACTTTCTTGTTTTTATTTTGTTTACTTTTTTTCTGTTTTTTTCGACAAATTACCTTTTTTGGGTTTTTCGACAGTTCTGTGATGGATTTTCCAAATACCAACGTCAGAAATAAATTGGCTTTATAGATAAGATTCAAATGATAGAGTGGCCAAGGTAAAGGCTCTATCTGTATAATTATTGATTAATAATTATAACCCAATCAAGGCTTCAAAGTTCTGCCATCGTTATGGATAATAATGAATCAGTATTATAGATTACTACAAAAAATTCTTGCCTCTTAAAAGATTTTCTTTCAAGTCTTGGTTTTCGAGTTTACTTTTTTTTAGTTTCTATTTTTGGAATAGTAATTTCTCCTATCGATACTGCAATTGACTAATGAACTGTGTTCTGAGCTAATGAGATTGAAATGTTCCTGGCCGCCGGGGGGGAAATTGAAGTCCCGCCAATGAAATGACGTCTTCCCCGACTTTGCCCGATAAGATTATGGCCCAAGACTATCATCGTACAACCGAGTAGATGAATATATAAATACTATACATTCCCCTATGAGCTATCACAGCTATGAAATGACACCAAGAAGTATGATGAATGGGTTCTATATCCATTACTTTTGCGTGAAAGTAAATAAATAAAGTTTCCTACTGATTATCATTATTTTTTCCTATCAAGATTCAGCTACTCAACGCCTTTTGTTTTTATTGTCACAAGAGTAAATATTTGGATTTCTCCAAAGAAGTGTTAGTAATCATGAGATTACATAAAACAGTAAGTAATTGTCAAGCAAACAATGCAATAAAATTATAAATTAAATGAGTAACGGAGTCAAGACTTTTAAATTAGTGAGTATATTTGTTTCAATAAATATTTTCAACAAAAAAAAATGCTTCTATAGACTAATTTTATAATCGATGTGACGATTATTAAGTGCTTGGTACTTGAGCGGTTTTATTCTTGTACAGTTTGAGATATTGGTTTATCAGGAAGGATACTAAATGGAGAAATAAACCTTATACGAAAATAAACAGTTGAAGAACCCACGGAGAAATGAACCTTTTTCGAAGAAAACGAACATTTAGGCCACCTTTTAAAGGAAAAAATAAACTCATTACAGACAAGGTGAATTTTCAAAAGAAAACCGACCAAATAAACCTATAAAATACCACAATCTTAGGAAAAATCTCCATCATAAAAGTACCAAACCTCACTACAACTAATACAAAATAATACATAACCTAAGGGCCTTGAACCGGAACTGGTGGTGGCATATCGACATCCGATTCGCCCTCCTGATCGAGAGGAACATCCATCTCTGGTTGCTCCTCGGGATCACTGACCTGGGCCAGGACATCGTCCATATGCAGCCACACCTGTTCCACCGCAGCCTTCAATTCGCTGGCAAACTGCCAAGCGCTGCGATCCTCCACCAGATCCTCTTCCTTATATTTGGCATCCGGTTCCCGATAGTGATGCATCTGGGCCACGGAGGTGTCAATGGTGCGGGGATTACAGCCTCCAGGAAGCCATTTGAGAGTAAAGTGATTGTGCAGCGTGAGCGATAGGCGAGCGTTGTGGAAACATTTGGTGGCACGACCGGGCAGTGAATAGTTGCGATGCCGCAACGTATGCTGCAACATGTATAGCTCTCCGGTGGTGGCCTGCTCCTCGTGGTTGCGCAGCTCGGGCACCACCTTGGTGAAGTACGTATTGATGAAGCACAAGGACGGGAACCGACCGGCACACTTGCCACCTTTCTCCTCCTCCATCTTGTAGGCGGTCTGGACCAGTTGATCCCAGTTCCGGTTGCCGTTGACCGGCATTATCACCTCGTCCACGTCCACGTTGACGAGGAAGTCGTGCCTGTACAGATTTCGATAGAAGCAATCGTTGTAGGGTATCAGTTCATTGAGACGCTTCTCCAGCCTTCGGTTCTGTAGCAACATGTGCTGGTAGTGCCTCAACCGTGGCATGCCATTGGCCAGGGTCAGGGGTCGCAGTTCCAGGTAACCAGTGCGCTGATAATAATCCAAGACTCGCTGCACTGCCGGATGGACATCGTACATATAGGCATAGATCTTGGAGGCGCCCAGTATCCTCTGCATCTCGAACCATTCGATGAGGCGCTCCGACAGATCCACATACGGAAAATCGAAACCCTTGACACAAACTCCAAAGTTCAGAGGTACTCTAGTGAGGGTTTTATTTGTTGAGGTTGCATTGCCAGCCACGACATCCTCTTGACTTGCTGGCTTTTTTGGAGGATCACTTTGCTTCTCCTGTTTGTTAATCCTCAAGGAGTTACTAGCCCGATCACATTCATTCGCCACCAAGGAAACAGTTCTGGGCAGCAATGTCATAAGCGGGGGCGGCAATTCCTTGGGCACGGGACAGCTGAGCAGGTGGGGGTAGTTCAGTTGGGGCTTGTTGCCCCAGGCCTTCACCCAAACACTCACGTACTCGGTGACATTAACGTAGATCGGCTGTTTGTAGCCCTCGAACCACAATTGGCATTTGGTGGCCGGGAATTCGTTGCCTATTTGATTGGCCGTGGCCAAAATTCTTACCGTTCGCAGCTTAACCGCATCCCGGCGATCCAAATAGGCGGCGTACAGGCGAAAGGTCACATTCGAATTGACGAACGTCTGCCAGTAGATGTTGTGGAGTTGCAGATCCAATGGATCTGGATACAAGCCACATGTGGCGTTCACCCGGTAGCTCTTCGGCTTGGCTGTGTAATACCAGAAGGCATAGTCCACCTCTGGTAGTTCCTGTTCCAATTGCAGCACCAATTCCTCATTGATCGGTTCCTCCAGATGGTGGACTGGTGGCGGTGTAAGTTTCACAGGATGTGCTTGAGATAGGTGTGATGGTGGTGGAGGTGCCAGGGAATTTGATTTATCCTCCAAGATGTTGGTGATCCGCAACTGATCCGTATGCTGGAGGGCGGTCAGTAGCAGCAGAAAGGCAAACAGGGAGGAGACCACCAGTAGAGCCAGGCGGTAAAAGCCACCTCTCATTGTCATTATGTTTCGATGCGAACTAACGTCAAAGTATAGTTGGCAAAACGTCTCACTACATATTCCACCTGACAATCTAATCACTCCCGAGTGGCTGCGATAAACGCTGAATTATCTATGTACGACCCATGTGCGGCAGCGGCTCTCACTTCAACGGAACGGGCTTTATCAATTACCCGTAATTACCTTTCGGCCCAATCGGATCGCCAGTCACCCACAAACGGTCCTTCGATCGATTTCGTAGAATACTGGAAATCCACTTTGCTGGTCAACTGTTCAAGGGCCATAAGCAGTTCCAAGGCTTTTAATTAAAGCGATTGGTCATCAAGAAAACACATAATAGAGGGGAATAGGGGGACTTCCAAGATTTTGAAGCTTAAATTGAACATAGTCTCAATAAAAGACTGATTTCACAATTGAAATGTTATAGCTCTTTCTATTTTTTTTATCAAAAAAGAAAGATAAAGAGAGCCATTAAATTTTAATCAGCATTGTTTTTTAATCATAATAGCAAATCTAAGATAAAGCTGTGTAGTAATTTAGGGTTTTAATAATCAAGATATGCTGGGAAGTGGTTTTTTTCTAAAGATTGGAACTTGTTTAAGGGCCTTAAAAGGGAACTATTTTGATTTGGTGACCCCGATAGCTATGTTTTAAAAGCAAGTCACTTATTAATAATAAAGTGTAAGCATTTAAAGACTCTGAAGGTGACTTCAAAAATGAACTACTCCTATTTGGTGACCCCGAATACTATTTCTTAACTTTACTTTACTTACAAGGAGATTTAAGGTTAAAAAGCAAACCATTTCTTAACAAAATAAAACCATCTTAAACATAAAACTCCTAAACATCTTTAAGTTCAAAAGGCAAGCTAGTCCTTGATAAATAAAAAAATTTAAAGCTAAACATTCTATGGAAGTAAAGCTGACCCCATCGAGAAACTAAGCCTTTTTGGTGACACCGAACACAGAAACAGAATAAAATATTTCCAACATACATAATTTATTTAAAGAACTGCTTAAAATATAAAAATCTATTCAAAATCTTAACAAAACAATTTAAAGCTAAAGAAAACCTCTATCTCCAACAACTTTAAATTAATATACAATTCCCATACCTTCTTACTTGTATTAGCCCAAAAAAAAAGATGGTAATTAAAACCACACACACAACCATTAAATCTCTTTTATTTGCACATTTTCCCTGTACGATTGTCCGAGAAGGATACTTATTTTAGTCCGGGTTTCTGGCCAGGAACCATTTGCATTTCCATTTCGCATTCGTAGTTTTTGGCTAATGAAATGCTCAAATATTCATGAGTTGAATAGTTGGTAACAACAACAGAAACAGAAAACAAAAAAAAAAAGCCCCAAAAAAACAGGTCACAAACAATGTGCTCCTTCGTCCTGGGAGAGTTTAATTTCTGTGGAAATTGTTTTCACCAACATACCACCATACATACATACACATACCCACTTTTATAAAACTATAATTCAGAGTTTTTTTTTATTATTTATTTTGTTCACCCTGAGCTTCTGCTTTTGTCACCATTTTTGTATTATTATTATTTCTTTTTCGCTGCTATTTTTACAAGTAATTTAAAAATAATTTGATGTGGGTGATGGGTGATGGGTGGTACGTGTCCGCCTGTAGGGCATTTTTGCCCAGTTCCGGTTCATGGTGGGTGGAGGAAGTTTGCTTTATTGACATTGTCACCCCAGTTGAGCTCAACTGAGCTCGTGACAATGAGCCTTGCACCTGGAGGACACAAACGCCAACAACGACAACGACAACGAAAACGACAGGATAATAAAATTGTGAAACAACTTTTTAATGAGAAACACTTTTTGCACATTGCAGTGGCCGTCGGGGAATAACCGGATAAGTTGGTAAATTGTTGGGCCCCAATGAAGCTGATGATGGAAATTCTTCTGCCTTCTGCCCGCCCTTCGACACTCGACGGATAAAATTATCTCAAGTCTCACTAACTAACCTGTTGTCCTCAAAAAAAAAAAAATCTTAGTATTCTTAGAAAAGTGGAAAAGGAAACTTTTTATGCCGCATTGAAAAACTGGAAAACTTTTCTGCCGTAATTGCCCAGAAAAGTAACACAAATGAAACGCATCGAAGCTTAATTACTTTTGCTAAATGGCTTGAGGTAAGTCAGGCTTTAGGATATGGATATAGTTTTGAAGAAAGTTTAGTTTGGATTTTATGCAGATTTTAAAATAAAGACCTAAAAATATTTCTAAAAGTTTATTATTAAATAAAAGTACTGGGTATCTGATAGATTGTTACTTTTGTTTTCAAACTCCTTAATTGGAATCCTGCAAGTTTCAAAACCAATGAATCCAAGGGTGCTGGCTGTCGGCACGATTTTGACTTTTGTCGACGTCACAATTTGCACAAGTTTCCACACTTCTGTTGCCTTCTGAAACCCAGAAACTTGCACATAGTCCTTCCTTCTGCCAAAAAAAAAAAAAAAAGTTACCCTTGCCACTTCGCAAATGCAAGTTTTTGATTAAAAGCCTCCCTCTAGCTCCAACCTCCTTCGCCAGATGGATTGCCAGAAAAGTTTTATGCCCAGGACCGGAGCGGAGGAAATTGTTAATTGAATGCATTTGGTGGAGGTCCCTGCAGTGTTTGGCTGTGCGTGATATGGGGCACTTTGCCAGGAGGCAGCACAAATGAAGCATCCACAGGAACGGAGGCGAATGGCTACGTCTATCGTTAGAATGGGTGAAAAGGATGACTTCCACTTAACCAGAGTGCTTGCCAATTTGAAAACACACTCACACAAACAGACACTTTGAAACTCAAAAATATTAGCTATCCAACACTGTCAGGGAATAGTCAGGGTTTTATTTTCGGTTAAATATTGGTTAGAAATTTACTTAAAATCAATTTCCTAAAAAGGAATGTATAATATTTACTATCAAAATATCTAAAGCTTAAAATACTTTTATTAAACTATTGTTAGTATTGGTTAAGGCTATTTGAAGCAGCTCATTATCAGAAATAGTGTTGATAAAGGTACAGTAAAGCACATACTTATTATTCGTTAAAGAAAAAGTTCCACAATCAATATCCATTTATTTCAATACCTTTAAAGTAATATAACTAAATTTAATACAATATTCACGACATTATCTTTTCTCTCAAAAAATAGTCCCCCCCTAAGAATACGTTTAGTGTTGGTCAACGCACTTCCAATGACAAAGAATAGTGTGCTTGCAATATTTATGAGGAAACTGAACAACCTGGACTGCATTCAAGTGGGTGTAGCCTTTTGGGTGGTATGGTCTTCCAATGGTGGCATTAAAAATGCATTGGCCACCTCGTTCATTGTTGTTCCTTGCTGCGTTTGGTTTCGTTTATGTGAGCATCTAGCATCCAGCAGTTAGAAGTCAGTAGAAATGGAAGTTTGCCCGGCTTGCAACTTCAAGGATTCCACATTATTCCAAGAGAGACACACACTTTTCATTAACCTCACAAAGGAACTCACAAATGCTGCAACTGCGAATGCGACTGGGACTGCGAGTGCGACTGACTGGATACTTCACTGCATTGAAGCCTTTAAAGCTAAGCGGATGGGTAAGCGAATGAAAAAAGAACGTTGCCTTAAAGACAACACCCACCTTTTTCAACTCCAACTTTTCTTCTATGGGTTAGTCAATGGATAGGAGACCGCCCACTTCGTGTCCTCGGTGGGTTGTGGGTGTGGCAGCTGAATGCGAGCAGTGAGCAGCCAAAGCCCCGAAAATAAAAGCAAAGCCACCAAAAGCAGAAGCATCGCAGTAGAAGCAAAAGCAGCTGCAGATTTTCTATAAAAGCCGAGGCTAACGAGATTTGATGAATTGCAAGTCTTTGTGAATGAAGCTACAAGAAAGCTGCAGCATGAATAGCCCCTAGGCGTCCCATCCCATCCCGACCTACCTACCTACCTCCCACTCCTAGACGTACTATACCCGCCTTCATTTCTCGATTTTTCCGTCTAAGCCAGGTCCGCATAAAAAAAAACCCATTAAGTGGTTTAAAGCAGTGAAAAAGCGCACACAACAAGCAGCAAAGCAAAAGAAAAATGCAGTTGACATGAAAGGCAGCCGGAGAGCGGGGGGAAAAGGGAAGATTACACTGAAGAAAATGTGGTCTTCTTTCAGGATTATATAGTTATAATTATGGTAGAACTTATTATATAAGTTTTAGTTAAAATAAAGCTAGTGTGTCTTATTATAACTCTCACATCTCTCAAGAAAGGCATCTTTTTGAAACATTCATGAACTGGTCACACTTTCTAACCTCAAGTTAGGAGCTGGTCACATTGTCTAATCGGAAAAAAAACCTAAAAAAATCGACTAAAAAGAAAAACAGACATTTTTTAAGATTATTTTAAGATTATAATCATAATACACTCTACAATATACATAAGTCTAATTTCCAACAACCTCATTATATCATAATTTAACTCTGTTCTTTTCAAAGTGGCGTAATAATCTAGAACCTGGTCACACTGCCAAACCTCAAAATAACCTTAAAATGGCGAATAAGTAGAAAAACACCCATCTTTTAACCTAATTTACAGTCAAAACTATACAATTTTTAGAAGTGTAACAAAGACAGACATTTGAACATGGCCAGAAAAGGAGAAAAAGGCAAGGATCTGAAGGAAAAGAGCCAACAATGCTCACCCAAAGATGAGATAAGGACGTTGAAGCTGCCGCTGGTGGAGGACAAAGCAGCAGCTTGACGAATTACTTGGCAGCTGCTGCTGCTGCTGCTCGACGAGAAAGGCGCAAGAAATTTAATTTGACCAACATTTTGATGTATCAAGTTCAGTCGGAGCCGAAGATTTATGACTTGCTGACAGAGCAGCAGCACCAGATTGGGATGTCAGGACACTTGCGTTTTCGCTTTGCTATGCTGTGCATCCAGTTGCATGCCACGGATTATAGGATCATTTTCAGCTTTTTTACTTCCTTTCTTTTTTTTCTGACTTCTCTTTTATGACAGGATTTTGTAATTAATTCTTTGGCTAAGATTTAATTAAGAAAGCTTAGTAACCCAAAACTTTATGTGATCGTATGAATAAAGCTTGACTTTTAAAGCTTTCAAGTCTTGAAGTCTTAAGCTCAGCAAAGAAAAATGAAAGTAAGCGGACAACTTTGAGCGCATTTCCCATTTCCACTTGCCACTCACGTAATGAGCCCAATGGAAATGAGGAAAACAAGGCCTTGACATCAAAGCCAGTTTGACTTGTGGCGATAATTACAGCAGTGACTGTGACTCCAACTGTGACGGGGACAGTGACTGCGATTACACGATAAAAAATGTGAGTTAATAAAATGGTAAATAATTGACAAATTTTATTAGAAAAAGCTTACGATTTAAGTGTTCTTTTTATAGTTTTTAAGATTTATATTTTATTAGCTTTTTAGTTAAAACTTTTCAGCTTATAAAGGCTTGTCTGCTTCTATTTTTTAAACTCTTTCACTCAAGCTGGTTTTTAAAGACTTTAAGCAATAAAACTTTATTAAAATTTTAACAAAACAAGCATTTATTAAATTTTTTATTCAAATATCTAATAAAACAAAAGCTTTTCTCAAGACCATTTCTTTCAAGATATCCCCTATGTATAGTACTCTCTACTCCCACACTCCAATCTACCACATTTTTTTGTAAAATTTCCACTTGGCATGACTTTGAAATTCCTAAATGCAGATTGATTGCTTTCTGTCTTTGCCAGAAGCATCAACAAAAATATATAAGAAAACTGACAGAAACCGAAAGTTTAACAACAAAATTCAAAAGGCTTCCGGTTGAGCTCGAAACCGGAACTGGTTGCTAGCGGATTCCCAAAAAATACACGCACAGAGGAAAAAAATGGCTCGCCTCTCAGCTCTGGGCCTTGCGGTGCTGTTCCATTCGGTTCTGGGAATATCATACTACCACTACTTCCGCCAGACACCCGCCGGAGTACCCCTGATCGGAGCCTGGCTGTTCTCCGCCTGTATAGTGGCTCTCCTTCAGGCCATTCACATATTTCCCGCCTCGACGCCGGCCACTCAGCTGCGAGGCAGAAACCGCGGAGGCGGCGGTCCCCTTAATCCGCCGGAATCCTCGTGGGGTGCCCTCTTCCTGGAGGCTGGGATCTGTTGCCTCGTCCTGGACATCACCCTGACCAAGCTGTGGAGGCGCGTGGAGTCGTTGTGCCAGTGCGCCATTGTGGGCGTCCTCCAAACGCTGGGCGTCGAGGATCAGACCTTCTTGTTCTGCGAATACTGGACCCTGGGCCTGACCACGGGCCTCATTGGAGCCTGCCTGCTGTGGCTCACCCTCTGGGCCACCGCCCTGCCCCGCAAGGTGCACTGCGGCCTCCTCGACCTGCGACGCAACCTCTACCGCCGCGGCATGGCCTTCATCTTCGGTCCGCCCCTCAAGCACTCAACCCGCTCAGCCTATTCCCACCTCCGTTCCACCCAGAGCTTCACCGCCTGACTAAATTCGAAACGGAAGCGCCCAATCCTACCCACTATCCTGGCCACTACATCTCCAAACAAGTAACACTTGATATGCATATCAGTTCGGCCCAATCAATAGCGAAATTTATGGGTTAAGTAATGCCATCTGGTTTTTTATTTTTTAATCTACAGTGGGCGGTGTGGAGATAAACGGGACTTACTTGGGTAAAAATGGGTAGCCACCTAGGAAGGACATATCTTAGCCGATTCCTATCCGATTCTTGCGAGGAATACCCCAAACGATTTGTGGTTGAAATCTCCACCATTCTGCATCAAAACCTGACAACAAAATATTTTTTCGATTTTTTTCAAAATTTTCCTGCGGAGACCCCTTCAAAAAGTGGGATTTTGGCTTCCAGCCCCCTGGGAAGGCCATATCTTGGCCAATTCTTATCCGATTCTTGCGAGGAATGCCTCAATCGATTTGTGGTTGGATTCTCCATCATTCTACATCAAAACCTGACAACAAAATATTTTTTCAATTTTTTTCAAAATTTTCCTGGGGAGACCCCTTCAAAAAGTGGGTTTTTGGCTTATAGCCCCCTAGGGAGGCCATATCTTGGCCATTTCTCATCCGATTCTCGTGAGAAATACCTTAAACGATTTGTGGTTGAATTCTCCATTATTCTGCATCAAAACCTGACAACAAAATATTTTTTCGATTTTTTTCAAAATTTTCCTGGGGAGACCCCTTCAAAAAGTGGGTTTTTGGCTTCCAGCCCCCTGGGAAGGCCATATCTTGCCCAATTCTCATCCGATTCTTGCGAGGAATGCCTCAATCGATTTGTGGTTGAAATCTCCATCATTCTGCATCACAACCTGACAACAAAATATTTTTTCGATTTTTTTCCAAATTTTCCTGGGGAGACCCCTTCAAAAAGTGCGTTTTTGGCTTATAGCCCCCCTGGGAAGGCCATATCTTGGCCAGTAAATCTAACAAATGAATCATTTACCTTCCGTTTTAGTGGCACAGCCCATTAGCTTAACCCGTATGAGGTGGCGGGTTAACAAATGAGCCGCCTTTAATCCCATTGTGCCAGCTTGAGTGCAAAAACCAATAAAACAAACGGCAACGGCAACCACTGCTGGACGCAAATACATAAAAAGAAACGAAATGAAACCCGTTTAAGCATATCATGGCCATGTGGCAATGCGGAAGATGCAAGTGGCAAGAGGCGATACGAGCATACTACACAGCCTAATTGTGGCACGCCCCCCAAAGCCGAAAGCAAAGCCATTTCGGAAGACCGGAACCGGATTAGAGACGAAATACACTAGCTGTTTTGATGCCTGATCGATGGCTAAACTTGAACTTGAACAACATGCAACATGCAACAATGCAGCAACAACCAAACAGCCTTCCACAGAATTGCAAAAGTGAAAAACTCGATGTGCCTCAATATGTACGGCTGGCTGGCAGGCAGGCTGGCTGGCAGGCAAGACTGATTTGCCTCTGGAAGTTGTTTTGTTGTTTGTTGTTTGTTGTTCAGTGTTGCTGCGGCAATTGCAACGGAATTGGCCACAATCAGGGGAGATATAAAAGCGTGGCATGCAACACAGTCGAGTTAATCAAAGCGCGTCGCTGGCCACGAAAAGTGCAAGTCTTAACTTTTTTGTTTTGCAACCAAAACCGAAATCCCAACAACGGCGAGGTGAAAAGTGTTTCCATTTTTTTTTTCAGTGTGGATTTATTATAAAAGAAATGCTCCAAAAAGTGATGAATATTTAAAGAATATTTAGTGTTTCAACTGAAAAGAATACCTCTGTTTTTTTTTGTAGATGTTGTGCCATCTTATCTTGTGGCAACTAATGATGATGCTGCCACACCTGCTGCTGGCCAATCCAGTCTCCAGTCCTGAGATCTCCAGCAAAGGCTCCAAATCTCCCAACAGCGTGCAACACCAGCAAGTGCAACAGCAACAAGTGCAGCAGCAGCAGCAGCAACAAGTCCAACAACAGCAGCAACAACAGCAGTTGCAGTTGCAACAACAGGAGGCCGTTCATTTGAATTCCCTCAGTGCCTATGCCAGTGGCTACGACATGACCCAAGCCTCGGCCCAGAATCAAATGGGTGGCGAGGGTGCCTTCAAGCCATCCTACAAAATGCCGGAAATGGAAACCAACTTCACGCCGATGCAAACGGCCGGAACACCGAGTGTGGCAAGTCTGCCCTCCACCCCCATGCTGATGCAGTACCTTCCAGCCCAGACCCTGCAGGACGGCACCGGGAATACGGTTCAGTATCTTCAGCTAATACCCACCCGGCCGATCATTGTGCCCATCAGTCCTTATCTCTCCGGTGGAGGATCACCCACCCTTGCCGCCGGCGGACAGCCGGACTTCTCCGGCCGGACAGCCACCGTGTTGAGTGCCCTGCCACCGAATTACGGAGCTCTCCAGGGCTATGCCGCTGCCGGAGCTCTCAATCCCCAAGCAGCCGTTGCCGCTGGAGCTTTCCGGGGTTACAGAATCAATCGTGAGGCCAAGGACAAGCACTTTCCTCCGGCCTTCTCCTTAAACCTTAATGAATACATTCCCGCCTCGTCGATGGGTCACGAGGCATCAGGATCCAGTGCCAGTCATCTGTACTTAAGGGCCCGGTCATAGATCACCCATTCCAGAATCAAGCCATGGTCTCACATTTTCTTACACAACTCTAACTCTTCTACAAAGACATCCAAATAAAAGTTTTAACAAAATAATAGTATAATAGTCTTTATTATATTTAGAATTTGAAGAGTCTTGACTCAGTTTTTTTTAACTCATTCATGGTTCGTTTGCATAATGCCACATGAGTTGACACAATTGAGGGCGTCGTTCTTCAAAAAGTACCATTTTCACCTTTCGTTTTCACAGCCATAGATGACCCAACCGAACGCAACCCGGTTACCGAATCTAGATTGTTTATTTGCATGGCGGGAAAATAAAAAAAAAAATAAAAAACAAGAAAATACATAAAGTAAACACACATTTTGGTAACCAACAAGGTCGCGTACCAACTGGCGGACACAGAATGCAGTGCCATTGTTTAGATTTTACCTTTTTGTCTATTTAGTTTTTTTTTTTTTTTTTGGCGTGAAAGTCCAACCGGAACAGAGAAAGACTTAGTACATAAACATATAACACATAACACATGGCTAGGGTTACAGCTGGGGCTTAGACTTCATCGGACATGCGGCCACCTTGGACAAAGTGTTCACTTAAAAGCGAAAAAGTAACCCACCAACAACCTTGGTGGTTGCGTCAGAGTGCTGCAAGCCATTTCATCTCTCTTGTCTACACCTAATTGTCACAATTTGACAAATTCATTTGGCATTAACTGGCTTTAATCGAAATCGGAGCTTTCATTACCTTCACTTGATAGGGAGGGGCCTTTCGGTCGGCATTTCGGTCTCAACTCTACACATCTTTCACTTGCCGCACTTAAGTGGAGCAAATGGCCAAAGGGCTTTTGATCTTTGTGGGTTTGGAAGATAAGATTAACGAAGCTTAAATACTCTTTTTAGGTTTGAAGGATTTTGTTTTCTGTTGGTGTTTTTTAAAATTTTAATATATTATAGATATTTATCAATTTGTGCGATTTTATAGATGTTTTCGTTGGTTTAAATTATAGTTTCTTGTATATTATTGGAATTATTTATAAATCAAGATAATATAACAAATAAAGGTTTAGTTTTCTTATAATTTTTATTATATTATCGATATTTATCGATTTATTTGCTTTTACACTAGCTTTTCAAGGTTTTCCTGTTGATATGTTATATACTTAATAAAAAAGGGGAGTTTCTTTTAATTTCTATTATACCGACATTTATCGATTTACTCTTTTTCCACAAGATTTGTATGGGGTTTCTTCGATTATGGTATCGATATTAATCGATATACATATCAATAAAATGTAATAAATAAAGGTAGTATAATGTTAAGTGACTTACCCCAAAAGTCTATAAGCATATAGAAGACTTTATATACATATAACATCATACATATCTTGATCTTGACTAAACTTAAGTTTTCCTGAAAACATATAAAAAATATTAGATAAGGTATGTATATATATGTAGATGGTATATAAGATTGAAAATTACAAAACATATATAAACCTTAAAGGGTTTATATACAACTTTTTATGGGAGATATGAGAACCTTTCCTACAAGACAAGCCTTTCAAGCCCAAAACATTCTAAACTACCAAATTAGATCCATTAGATCCCCAGTAACCTAGCCAATATACTCTTAATCTTTTAAAGAGTATCTATCAAGAGGGCCAATACCATTGGGGCACTAGTACACTGGCACTGGCACAAGCACCGGCACAAGCACAGGCACTGAGTGCCACAATTCACTTTCAATCAGAGTCGATGCACTGCCAATGCCGATGATGATGACTCCCCAGATATGCTGTACATATGTGTGGCATGATCATAATGATGCTGGCCGAACGAAGACGCCCCATGGCGGTGAATCCCTAGTAATGGGATTTGGATGACGGTCAGTCTGGGCACTTGCCATGAATTTCTGTTTCTTAGGAGCAACAACGGAAATGAGCGGTTATCGATGCTCGAAATTTAAACACAAAAAATTCACTAGAAAAACTACAACTCGATTAATGGTCATGTTTTTTTTTTCATTTTTGGTTTTATTTCTTACATTTTTTACTTGAACTTCACTTGTTTCGATGTTGTTATAACACTTTAAAGCGCGTAAATTAGCCTTTTGTTGGTTTGGCTTTTGGGCGGTGCTGATTGAGTTTGAAATGATTTCAATTTAGAGTTTTACTTTCCTTTTTCAATTAATTGCCATAGCTCTAAACGGATTCAATCCAATCCAAACGTAACGAATCGACGCTGCTTTGTCTACTTCGAGCGATCCTCGCTCATCTGCATCTCTTGGTTACCGAAATCTTGTATCTTTCAGATAGACAGAGTCCATGTCTGTTGCTGGGCCTCGTTTAGAGAGAATTTCGATGGCCAACCTCCAGTATAAAACACCGTGTCAGAGCTTCGCGCCATTGCATTCGCCTTACAGCTCGTCACACGCTCGGTTCGGTTTAGTTTTTCCATTTATCTTTTTATTTTGGTTTTTGTTTTTCACCTTTTTTAGTTTCGGACTTTAAACTATTTGGGTGTTTAACTATTATTATTTTTTTTTTGGTTTATTTTTTGTGTATTTTTTTGACAAAAAATTATATATATTTTCCGCGTAAAACCAAAAAATCAAGTGAATGTTGTCGGTGCTGATTGGTGGCTCGAAGGAGTGATCAGATCAAGGCGGTCTAGCAGGCTCATCATCATCAATTTCGGCGCTTTTTTACTATCATCATCAACGGAGGAGACCATAAACGGGATACTAGCCCACTAACGAAAATAAAAACAAAAAACTCACGAGTCATGGTGCGTATGCCAGATGGCCAAAAGGAAAGCAACATTTAAATGGAATATAAATTGTGGACATAACAGGGGAATTGTGGAGAGAGGGTTGAGTGGTTTTAGATCTTAATATAATTAGGTTTTACTTACAAAACTATTAAATAGTAATTTTGAGAAAGGATTATTAATGGAATTTTAAGGAAAAAGGTATGCTATTGAAACTAAAGTTCTTACAAGAGAGGAAGCAGGAAATCTTAAATATTTTAATATTAGGCTTCAAATTCATAATTCATAAATTTTAAATATTTCCTAGTTACTTTGCTTTTAAATTCTTTGATTCTAAATAGACTTCCTTGCTTTATTTTAAGAAACATTTGAAAGATATATTTCTTATGAAAACTTCAAAGCAAAGACCAAAATCAATCAACTCTAAAAGCCTATCGGAAATATATTAAAGACTCACTCTATATAAAAATTAAAAAATTAGTTTAAAAACAACTTATTAAATATCTCAAATATCTAATTAAAAAACCATTTTAAAAAACCTTGATCTAATCAAAAAAACTAAACCTAAAGATGCTCTAATTTAATCAACAATTTCCATGCCATTGAACTAAATATTTCTTGAAGAAAAAACCAAAAACTTTAATTAATTAAAATCTTAATAGAGGTTAAAGTTAAATATTACACAACTTTGACAAGAAATTGACAAAAAAACAGAAGAAATACCAATGATAATTAAATACTAAACCCAAAACTATGTAAAAAACGGAGGCAAGTGAGTTGTTTGAAAACAAAGTGGCTTTAATGAGACAATTTCATGGTCTGTGAATTGATTGATGATATGTCAACGATTGAAAAAAGATCAAAAATAAATAGAAAAAGTATAGAAAGGGTATTATTTATTGAAAAAAAAACCTAAGACAAAAGGCGGGGAAAGTTTTTAGGGTGAGGTAGGTGATATAAATATATAAAAAATAAAAAAGAAATGATATATTGTTTATCAAAAGGGATTTAAAGACAAGAAGCTTAGAGATTTAAATATTTTAGTTAGTATATTTAGTTAATATTAGTAGCTATAACATAAATCTTGACATTGCCCTAGAATTTACCACTCGTAAACTTGACCATTACATTTGTCACTGATTGAAGTTTACTTATTGACCCTCTCGGCCAGTTTGTGTCTTAAGTCTTTTGTTTTTTTTTTTTCTAATCTGCCTCTTGCCTTTGTTCACACATTGTGTGGTCGCCTCATCTTGTTTTTTTTTTTTTAGGTTTTACAATTTTTTTAGTTTAAATTTAAAAGCTCATGTTAAGGCGCAAATTACGCGTGTTAACGATGCGCACTCCATTAGCGCCGTCTTCAATCATCAATCAAGCTGCATTTGCATCGTCTTATGTCATTTGACCCGGTTGGGATCATTAGACGCCACAGAAACCAAAAAAAAAATAAAATAAAAACATCAAATCATTTTGCAGAAATCCCAAAAACCAGCAAGAAACTGGGGCACGCAATACACTTTTGCCAACTGCAACTAGTTTTCATGAGCAAACGTTGCAACATCGCATGGAATGCTTCTTTTTGGCATCACCTTTGCGTGACAAATGCTCATAAGTTGTTTGGTCAGAGATTTTTCTCAAAATTTTTGCAACAAAACTAGTAGTGTATATATATATATTAGTTTTTTGTTTAATTTTAGAAAGGCTACTCTGCCAGAGGCTTATCAGTGGCGCGGTGGCCTTCACCAACAGGTGGATCAGTTCGTTTTCGGCGTTTTTTCGTTTTCAACCGAAAAGTAATCGCACCCACGGGCTTGGCCTGCACAACAATTTCACACTTAATATGTCTCGCTTTTAAAAAATGGATTTTTATCTTAAAACTACTAAGAAGAAAAGGCAACAAGGGGGAATCACTAAAATTCAACGCCCTTTTGCAATTTTGTGCTAAACTCAATTAAACGCATCAATAGGCGCTGAGGGGCGTGGCCCCAACAGCCACAAGCAGCGAAAGGCGTTAAAAAATATATAGATAGATAGATAAAAAATAAAAAACCAAAACCTTTCACCAACCGACAGTGAACAAAAATAGTTATTACAAAAAGAAACTGGGAATACACTTGCAAATTTTCAGGCCACAAGGTCGCATTCCAATGGCTTTTCAAATTAATTTTTGTTGGACAATAATTTGGTTTAGTTTTTAAACGGAAACTGATAACAAAAGCTATAAGGTTTGGCAATGTTTTTTGGTAAAAGGTAGTTTGTTTACAAAAACTCTCAAGACAATCACTTTATTTATTTTATTAATAAACAACCTATTACACCATTTTTTTCAGTTTCAACCTCAATTGCTCCTCTTAATCCTGGCCCTGGCCACTGCACAGGCCGTACTGACCCCGCCTGGCTATGATGACGATCGCTCTCCACTTCCCCTGCGTCTGGAGGACTTGGAACGGGAGCAGGAACAACAGCAACAGCATCAACTGCACTTGCAGGACCTCAACAGACCGCCCCTCCTGCCGAATCACTACGAATGGCGACCGGATGTAGCGGCCAGTCTGCCGCCCAGCTATGTCCAAGATGCCGCTTTGCGAGAACGGGAGAGGGAGCGGGAACTGGAGGAGCTGCGGCAACTGCAGCGCCAGCATCAGCAGCTAAGCGCCGGCTACGCCTTTCCCGCCCGCCTGCCGGGAGTGCTTTATGTGTGAGTATTTTTGCAAAACTTTAGTAGATTTTTTGGTATTTTTTGTGAAATCTGGTTTTGAAAGAAAGCTTTGAAAAGCTTAGAGTGCTTTTTAGTCTGAGGTTTGTAAACTTTAATAAAAGCTTCTTGAAAACAAAAGACTTAAGACACGAACTTGGGTTTTTGAAAACTTCAAAGCTTAGGAGCTTGTGGGAGAATTAAAATATTGACTTATATTAGAAGATAAGTATTTTTAAAAGGGGAATATCTTTGAAATATATATGTTTCTTTTATAAAAAATTTAATAATTGAACTTTAAATTGAATTTAGTTATAGTTTTTTAACTGAAACTACTTCAAAACAATGTGTTTAACTTACTAAACTTTAGTAATTACTTAAGTACTTTAAATTAAAGTTCAGACTATTGTTAATTTTATTTATATATTAAATTTTAAAGTTTAAAGATTAAATACCAAGTTTGGTTTCAGAAAAAATCCTTAAAACCTAAGTTTCGAACTTGAAACTTTGTACAAAACTTAAAGCTTGGCTTGAAGTTTAAAATAAAAGCTATAAATTATAGCTTAAATACAAGCTTTTCTTTTAAAAACCACTTAGAGGTTTCCTAACGACCTTTTTCTACTACTTCTAAGATTGATTTGTATCTCTTAATGGGTCTATATTTATTACATTAATGCAGTAAAAGCTTCATTGTTTTTTTAACAAGTTTTAAAAATGATTAAATTTTGGTTAAATCTTACTTTACTTTTAAACTTTTAACTTTAAATCTTTCTTTAAAAAACCTTCTCTATTTTAGTTTAAATTATCTTTACACAGTCATTCTTTTTATTTAAAAGCCTTAACTTAACCCAAGAAACACTATTTTAAAGCCCTTAGTAAGCCCCACTTAGTGAAAAGCTAATAACGATTATCAGGATGCCCTGATTGATATGCAAAGAGCCCCTAATGATCGACTTGATTGGCCATTCGATTGACGTGCAAATTAGCGCTTGGGGAATCGGAAATGGAAATGAAAATGAAAATACTGGAAGAAATGGGCTAATCATGCACCCCATTCCCTCTATTCCCGCTTTGCAAAACAACCGCTTTCAACCGACTAATGACTGATGACTAAACTAGTTAGCTAGTTAGTTAGTTAGTTGCTAGTAGTTGCGATTAGTTAGTGGCTGTGGAAATAAAAGTGTTGAAATAATGCCTCGTTTATTTTCACTTACAATCAATGCCCATTGGCTTCCGACAAATGGTCGGCTATTATTTCCCTTTTTTAACTTAATCTTTTCCCCCGATTTCTTTCTCTTTTTAGGGGACCCACTGCCACGCCCACTGTTGCAACGCCCACAACTGCCACAAGTACGGTGGCGAATAGATTTCTGAAACCCATAGTGCCTTATGATCTGGAATTGGGCTTGAACAGTGTTCCATATGTGGCAAGTAATGCTCTGCCCTTGCCACTGCCGCTGCCACTGCCAGTGCCACGCCCCCTGCCACCGCCCGGCAATGGAAGGCCACCGTTTATATACGGTTTCACCCAGGGACGACCATCGAAGGTGCCGGCTGCCCCCCTGGTGGTGCAGCAGTCCAAACAATTCGCCTACGCCCCGGCCACGCCCCCGCAACGACACTACGCCAACGGACCCCGTATCCCCCTGCCATATCCCCCCAGTTTCGTCAGCATTACGACCCGAAGGCCCCCCTCCTCATTCCGCCCGTCGCAGCCGGATCCCACGCCGGACTTGTTTGCCGGACGGAACTCCAAGTCCCTACTGGACTCTTACATCCCCAGTTGGGAAGTGATCCGGTTGACGCGGGAGCAGCGGGGAGAGACCGGAAGTACGGGGGGTTTCCGACCCATTCATCGACAGACCTTGGCGTATCCAGCTCCGCCACATTTGCGATTATTCAAGAGGGACTCGAAGGACCCACAGGATATCAACCGAACGAGAATCGTTAAGAAAGCTCTGAGGCCCTTGAACGAAAATGTTTAGTGTTTTGTTTTCTATTTTTTTTTATTTTTATAGTTTAATAATTTTTTATTTTATTACGAAATATATTAAAACGAATATTTATTGCAGCAAACAGACATAAGTGGGTTTCTATTGCCAAATACTGCTTGGATTAATTACAGACCATGCCTTTGATCGAAGATATCCGAAAAATCAGGTTAAGCAAGGCACCTCGTGTTAATATTTAATATGTATGTTTAACCGCATCTGCGATTAATTAAACTGGGCTAAGTAGCCAATCATCTTGTTAGCTTCAAAGCTGTTTTGGTTTGACAAATATGCTCAAGGGGTACGGAAATTTGCAAGACCATTTTATTAAAGGGTATATGGGAGAGTTTATGGAAGAGTTTTCTTGGGTTAGTTCGGTTATGAATGTAAATCTTCTCTAAAATAGTGGAGGAATACAATATCAAATATTAAAGCAAAATCTTGAAAGCTTTTCCAACCAAAAACTAGCTTCCTCGACCGTCAAAATTAGCTACCTCTGGCAGATCACATAACCCAGGCCAAGCAGTAGCATCTTTGGTGGCCAATCTCCGGCGCTTCATCTCGAGATGGCAGAGCCTCTCCATTTAGAGCCAGGCCAAAAGCGAAGCCAATCGAATCAAATGTGCAATATGTGACTTTGTCAATGAGCTCAACTCGAATCTATCCACTATATAGATACTTATATGTATAGCTTTGATGTTGCTCACGTAATCGCGACCATAAACCAAACAGCAAGCAATAGCAAACAATTACGATGCCACTGCCGAGTGGCCACAAAAATTATGATTTGTGTGGCAGTGTGCCTTACTCTGAAGATGCAGCCTCCAAATCCGTAGAAGAAAAAAAAAAAGTATCCAAATAAAAATAAAAATAAAGAAGCAAAAAATACAGAAATCCAAAAGCCAGACGTCTGGTGAAGATTTATGCAAGTAGGAAGCAAAGATGCTGCAAAATGTAATGTTTTTGTTTGTGTTGCCTGTGTTGCAGTGGCAACATCATCATCATCATCATCATGATCATCACTATAGTGGAAGCTGAAGCTGTGTACTGAATGTGTTGCGTTTCAGCCATCTCATGGCTGTTAATGAAGCTGCCACAGGCAAAATTGCCACAAAATTGCTGCATTGTTTGTCACCCATTAAGTATGCTTGGGAGAGAAGATGCCCTGCCCCGGCTTAAAGGGTGTGATAGCTACCTGATGGTAGCTTCCTGGCTGCAAAATATATTCCGGTGCACTGAAAGAAACCTCGACATAAACCTTATAAGAAATCCGAAAGTCTTGATCAGGCCAGTGACCTTCTTTTGGGGTCAAATATTAAGCTCTAGTTTGTGTCAACTTTGCCATAAATCTGACCCTTTTGTTCCGGCCCACGGTCAGCCCTTTCATACCACAAAACGTAGGCTTTACTTTAAGCCTCATGATAATAATAAATAAAATAATAATAATAATTATAATAATAATAATAAAGCGGCAGTATGACCAAGTGACATTGTTGCAGCTTTATGGAGTAAACAATGAACTAAGGTTGAGGCTTCCAGATTGTGAAATTTATGGGTATTTGCTTAGCTGCCTCTTCGATTCGTTTTGGTTTATTGTTGCATTGAAAGATTGGATATTTCTATATATATATCTGTTTATATCTCTGATTGAAAGTCTGTGGGTTAAAAGAGCACAAAAGATTGAAAAACTTGCTGGCAATTGCTTTTATTTCTATGATCAAGGCAAGCAAAAAACAGAAAATGCAATTATTGAAACGATTTGAAGATACCCTGTAGATACCCAGAGTTCGAAATACTTTCATTGTTATTACGAACGAGTTGGAAGTTATCTTTAAGTTTTTATCGGTTTTTGTGACAAAACATCTTACAAAATGAGTTTGAAACACAGTTTGTTATGCCATTTCTTCTCTCTCTCTACTACTACTTTTTGGCTTTAAACCCGGGCTAAGCCAAGCCCAAGAGCGAAGACAAGTTAATGCGCCAATTAAACTACTCTCACTCCGACATATCCCCCTCGACCTGTTCCTCATCTGCAATCTGCAATTGTTTTCATGCAAATTTTGTGTTTCTATTTCGATTGGATCTGTGTGGTGGCTGGGCTCCATTATAATGAAACCCACAACAACATCGCCCCAGCCAGACCAGACATACAAAAGCAGACCAACCATTAAATCTATTCACTCAAAATGAAAGGCAAAAATGCTGGAATCGGACATCCCAGTTAATGTTGGAACAGAAAATATATACGTATATACCTTTTGTCATTTTGTTTAAAAAGTTGCGCCAATTTTTCGTATCTGTCTTTATGACTTTGAACTTGAACTGGAAAAACTTATATCTTGTCTCTTGAAGAAATTCGAAAGGTTTTTCGATCTGCTTTTGTTTTTTTTTTGGTTTTTTTCTTTCATTTTTTCAGAGCCCTTTTGTGAAAGGTAGCTCTCCCATGGCATCACAAGGTCGTTTTATAAATAATTCTCATCGTGTGAAACATATATTGATTAACAATGGTTTTCTGATTCACTTTCAAGTTTATTAAGTTTATTAAAATGATTAAAAAGTGATTTTTTATAAGGTTCTTTAGAGTTGGAAGTGGGATAATAGTTCCTTATATGAAGGGTTATTTTAGTTTCTTTTTTTGGTTTTTAAGAGTTTAGGGATATATATTCTGTTATCCAACAAACCGGCTCATAATACTTACGTGTGCAAGTTTTAAGAAGACTAGTCTAAAAAAAACTATATTTTTAAGAGTTAGAAGTGAATTGACGGTTCCTTACATAAGTGGTTTTTGAGTTTCTTGCCTACGTTTTTTTTTTTGTAAAGAAAAATGTTTAAAATCTATTTAACTAGATTTTAATACATATCTGTAAAAGTTTTTAGAAGACTAGGTCTATTGCTTAATTCTTTAGACTAAAAAAGCAAGCTAATTATATTAATGAATACTAGTTTCTTTCTTATAATTTTCCATAATCAATACTGTATTTATAATCCTTATTCTAGTCAGAAAACTACTACAAACATTAATAAACACTTCCCTATTTTATTAAAAAACCATTTCCCTAAGAAATTTTTTAATTTTTTAAAACCAAAAAGAAAAATAAACTTCTCTTAGACAACATTTCCCTTTTTTGTTGCATTTTGTTTACTGTTTTCTTTTTTTGGGGCAATCCCAGGCAACCTACACCTTCAGTTATGCCCGTATATCTTTCAGATGTCGAGACAATAAACACAGATACAGATACAACTACGTGCTACGTGCTGTGTCATTGGTCGTTCCGCAAAAAGAAAAAAAAAACTCTATTTTTTTGCTTTTAGTCTCTAGTTTTAGTTTTAAGCTTTAGCTTTATTTTTAGCTTCTTCTTTAAGTTATTTTTTTGGCTAACCAACTCCAACTTCGTTTACGAATCTGAAACTGAAAATCCGATTCCATTTTGATGCAACCCGAAGACCGAAGACCAAGTTGTTGATGTTGCTGTATGTAGTCGGGGTGGTGCTACGGTCGCCATATAAAAACCGCGAACATCGTCAGCGCCATCCGCAGTAAGAGGCGCGACTTTTGAACGCCGACATCGCTCCTCCGATCTAATTTCTATATAATTTATAAATCCAAAAACTATAAACCCCATACAAAATAAAACCTCTCGATCGAAAAAGAATCGTATAATCCACGGCTCTTGTGATTTATTTTTTTATAAAAAATAAGTGTTTTTTTATTATTTTTTTTGTGCCAAAAAAGACTTTTCTTCCAAAAAAAAATCAACGAAAGTGTTTAAATAAAATTAATATTTTTATCTGAAAAACCAGTAGTGTGTTCACATCATGAGATTAGCTTTGATTTTGGTAAGATTGCACAATCTCCGAATGAAAAAAAAATACGGAAATCATTCCACCCACTCCCCCGTCTATAAAAAAATAAAAAAAACTCCCACAAAAAAAAAATTGTGCAAAACTGGCTGACAAATTAATTTGCATTCAAGTGGCGGCACAGTTGCCTAGCCGGCTTGGTCAGCTGGGAAAGCTGTTGCAAGTTGCTGGCTGGATGTTGCACATTGTGGCTTGCAATGTGTGGGGTTCACTCAACCCCCTTGGTTTAGAGTGTTGGATCCACAAATGCAATGAACCCCGGAAAGATTCCATACCTCCCTCCCACCACCAACAAAAAATCATGTAAACCTGAAAATCTTGACCTCTTCCTTGACGCTTGGTTGCCCTTACAACTGTAGACCCTGCCCTTGCCCCTTTTACTTTTTCCTGTTGCAAGTTTTTTATTTCTAGCTTTTTTTTTTTCTTATTTTTTAATCATCAATCTCTTGGTGGGCTATCTGGCATTTTTATCCGCTTATCGTCTGCTAATTGGACGGGCTTGGTTAAGTCTCAAGCTCTCTTAGGGGTTTCCTATTAAGACCTGATCTTGTAAGTAGTTTAGTGGCGGGGGGTTATAGTATGCTTTTTTGTTCTGGTATGAAAAATGCGAAAGACATCCGTTTATGTTAATTAAAACACTGTAAATAATATTTAATTGGCTGGAAAGTTTATAGAAAAATTACTTAAGATTGGGTTGGAAACTTTTCTTAGGGGGCTTGTTGAAGGAAATGGCTAGAAGGGTTTTATTTAAATATCTTTTTAAATAAACATATATCTTTAGGCTTTTTTGATAATTTTTAATATTTCCTTCTTTAAATTAACTAGAGAATTAATGGCCTTTACTTATTTTATATTTTAAACTTCAAACTCCATTAATTAGTCAAACCAAATCATTCAACTTGTGCGTATTTTAACCCCAATAATTAAAACTATTCAAACAATATTAATTAATCATATATATGGAATATTAGTATTTTAAAGGCTAAAATAATTAAATAAACCACTTCTTCAAAGTTTCATAGTAGTTCTGGTATATTTTAAAGCAATTTTAAACAAAAAGAGGAACTAATTTAAAAAAGAAACCCATTAAAAGCCTTAGACCGTAGACCTTTGGTATTATTTCTTAATATTTGAAACCAAAATTTAGACCATGATATAGATAAGACAAGGAAACTTAACTTTTAGTTTTGAAAATTAGGAAAACTTGACTAACATTTCCACCTATTACCCTATTTATTTATTTAATTTGGAGAATAAGCCCCCACTTATTCTATTTCAACTTGCAGTTTCTTTCCTTGCACTGTTTTTAAGGAAAAAAACTTTAAAACCAGAACTTGTTTTGTGGCTTTTGTGTGCCCCACTCGTATGGTTACATAAAGTTATTACACTGGCAACTAGAAAAATAGAAGAAAGGCGGCTCAGTGCCTGAATAGCAAATGCCAAAGTGCCCGCCACTGGCAGGATAATCAGTAGTTGTCTAATTTACATTTTATTGTTGCTTTGATGCTGATGTTGCTGTTGCTGTTGCTCTGATGCGGATGATGCAACAATGAAAGCCAAGCAGCAACATCAAAGACTGACAAAAAAAAAAACAATAAACCAAAAAAAAACCGACTGAGAAATAAAAAAACAACTAATTTGCACGCGTTGCGTGACGTTCATTTGCCTCAAGTTGTTACTATTTCAGTTAATTTTTTTTGTTTTATTTTTTTATCTAGAAAGTTCATTAGCAGAATCTGCTTAAATGAATCAGATTCTGTTTTATGGTCATTTGTTGTAATAATTTAGTGACCCAAGTGAAAGGCAAACGACTGATGCAATTAAACTAAATTATTACTCAAAATAGTTGGCAGAGATAAATCAATGCGAAAAAGCAGACAGATCCAACTAGTTGCTTATATAACTTACAAAAAAAAAAAAAAAGAAGGGGAGGGGGAAACTCTTCTGTTTCGGATCCCATAGCAAAAAGCACATTTGACAAAAAATTGTTGTGCTTTGTTGCTAGTTTAGTGGTTGTGTGGCAAGTCTGCCGAAAAAGTCTTCCTGCTACATAAGCAACATGAGCCGACAACGACTATTAAAATGACTTGACACAGTGTCCCAGTTTTCCAATTTTTATTTTTTTTCTTTTTTTTAATCACACACACTCTCTTTTTAATTGAGTGACAAAATGCAATTAAAAGTTAACTATCCGACAGATACGCGAATTTAAATGCCGAACATCGGGAGAGGTGTGGGTATGGGTTGCACAAAAATTAATGCCACGATTAGTGTGGCAATTACTAATTATTTAACAACGAGTATTCGGCAATAATGAAGATAAAATAAAATACTAAATTAAAGACTATTTAAAGGGATAATATTTTTTTAAAATTAAAACATAATTGACCATAACCCATCGCGAACCATCACCCAGATAATCGTTTATTTGACGCATCTGATCGATGAATGGCCAACAACCATTAGCCATTAAACATTATCTGTCACCATCTGCAGAAAAAATAAAAAAACGAAAGACTCAAGACACAAACGCGACTGAAATGGTAGCCCAACCACAAGAGATTCAATTACAAAACCCAAAAACACAACCATCAACACAACTTACTTGATGAAATGTCAAATGTGAAACTCCAACGTGTGTATCCAAGTATTTATATTGATGGCTTTACGATCGATATTGAGATCGAAATCGAAATCGAGACCATTCGATGGCCCACAGCTTTTGTGCTTCGACTCCCCTTTTGTCTTTGCCTCGTCACCTTGAGCCCCAAAAAAAAAAACATAAATAGAGACTCCAACCTAAAGAAATAAATAAAGAAAATCAAACAAAGATCCAAGCCTGAACAAAAGCCGGGGATTTGCACAATCCATTGCATTGCAAACTCTATTATTTTTATGGTTTTAACTCTGAAACATGGTGGTTTTATAAATTAAAAAGAAATTCTCACGGGAAAGTTAAAAATTAAATATTTAAAATAAATTTTACAAACTTTGAAAATTTATTTCCCTTTCCAGGGCACTCTAAGTGCTCTACTGTGCTTGGCCAATGGTCTCAGCCAATCGGAGCCCAGCGGCTCCAAAGGCTCCAGTGGCTATCCCAAAAAGGTAACCACTCTGAAAAAGCGACCCACCAAGACCCCCACCACCGTGGCAGCCAGCACCAGCACCAGCCGGGGCACCACCACCAAGCCCAGTAAGCCACGAGTGAAGATCACAAAAGCGGGCACCCGGACTACCACCACGAAAGCTCCAGGATCAGCACCAGCTTTGGCGGAGAGTTTCGGAAATCTGCCAGCAGATGATCTGGAATTCATTAAGGAATTGGACAGGCAGTTCAAGTTGCATGGAAATAAAATCAAGATCAAGGTGGAGAGGGATAACTCCACGACGTCAGGTGGTGGAAAGAATAGCAAGAGGACTATTGAAGGAGATTTGGGGTAAGCTTTGGAGACTGTTTCCATAAGACTGTATAGAGTGTAATATTTTATTTCTCATTCCAGCTATGGCTACTCCCATCCTGGCTATGATTACACACCACCCAAGTTCATGTTCTATCCCTACTCCCAGCATGACATTCCATCGGGCTTTGCTCATCCACAGCCACTGCCGGAGGAGTTGGAAGAGGAGGCCCCACCACCACCACAGCAGCAGCCACAGCAACACCACTCGCCACAGAAACCCCACAACCATGAACATGTGACGAGTGTTACGATTGAACCGTCCTACTCCTACGAACTGAAGCCCCAAACCAGTTACGAAACCCAAGCACCACAGCACACGGCACCTGAGCAACCGCAAATCGACTTGCCACACGACGAGGCCGAGGCTGGTGGCTACCAGGAGCCAGTGATAGTGCTGCGGATTCCAGGACCGGCCAAGTATGCCGCCCATTTGCAGACACTCCTCCAGCAGTACCTGGAGATTCGGGCAGCTCAGTATCTCAGTCTGTTGCAAGAGGCCGAGCAGCAGCAGCAGCAACAACAGCACCAGCCAGTCCATCAGCAACATGTCCCAGAGCCCCAGCAATACGGTCCTCCCGAGCCGGTGGCCTATCAGCCGGAGGTGAGCTACACCCACCAGCTGACGGCTGCACCACAACCAGTACAGTATGCCCCCATCGATGATGTCTACCAGAGCTACAAGGGTCGCCATCAGCAGCAACTGCAACAGCCACAGTACGAGCCGCAGCAGTACTACACACCCATGGAGTACCAGCAACCCACTCAGTTCTACTACGCACAACCGCAATCGCACTTGCAACAGCAACCGCAGCTCTACTTGATAGCCATGGCCCAGCCAGAACCGGAGCAACATCAGCAACTGCAGCAGCCACATCATCACCATCACCAACAGCAGCAGCAAGAGCCCATATATGTGCCGGAGGGAGAGGCACCCACTGCCCCGGAACAGCAACCCGAACCGGAAGTGGAACCCGAACACAACCTTCCCATTACGGAGAACAATCCCCGACCCACTCACACGAAAGTCATCTTCAATCCCTATCCCTACCAGCAACAGCAACAGCATCAGCAGCAGCAGCATCAGCAACACCAGCAACATGTCCAGGAACAGGAGCAACATGCCGCCAATCTGGAGGAGGAATCTCAAGCGGAGGGCGATCGTCCCTTCAACTACCATGCCCATGCCCTGAAAGTGAGGCCCGGAAAGAGGGCGGCCAAGCCGGAGCCATCCGAGGGCACCAGTGGGGGAGATAAGCGACTCCAGCAGATCAGAGAGTACGTGAGGGAGAAGCTGGGTGCCGAAATGGGTTCTGCGGTGGAATACAAAACGACACAGTTGTTAGAGGGCTAGAATCAGGAATCCTGGGGGAAAAGGGGGGCTTTGGAATTCACATTACAGGAAGTTCACCTAAAAGTATGCAACAGCAATTGATTTTATTCTTACAGGAGGTTCTTCAATTACTATCCTTAGGGATCTATCTTGAACCCTAGAGATCTTAAAGTTTAACAAAAACTTAAGATTATTTTAAGTTAAGTCTGATTTTAGTGAATACCCCTCAGCCCCCTTAAACTTTAACTCTTTACACACAATTGTGGTTGCTTCTTGTGCCTAAAAAAAACGAAAAAATAACCCCAACCCTTCATTAGTATTTATTCCAAGTAAGTTGAAAAGCAGAAGAGAGAGGTTTACTTGCTTCATTTCCATATCATTACCCAAAAAAGAAACAAAACTCATGTCCACGATCCTTGCATACTTTCGGGCCGGGGCCAGTGTAAATAGGAACGCCGGAAAGCATGCCACATTTTTGTATTCAATGTGGCATGTCTCTTAGGCAGAGTTTCACATTCGCTTTTCATTTATTTTTAAAGTTTAAACATATATGTGTATTTTTTTGTTTGTTTTGTTTTCTTTGTGTTGTTTTTTTTGTATTGTTAACCAAGAAAATAAAGCTGCTGCTGATCATGTGTGCAATATTTAGTCTTTAATGAAAGATGTGCTTCTTGAATTTACTTACTTGTACTTTTATTTTTTATAACGATTAAAAACGAAAGTAAAATTATAAACAAAAATAATATTAAAAATATCAAAATCAAGTCTTTTTTTTAAATATTTATTTAGCTTTTCAGGAAGTCACGCATTATAGCCATAAAAATAACTCGATTGCTAAATGGTAACTAAATATTTTTTGGCTTTAAAGGCAAAAAGCTCATGCTAACATGCAATTAGTTGGATTTAAAAATGTGGGAGGGGAAAATTCCAAAAAAAAAAGGTTCATTATTCAATGGTTTTAAATAAGATGATGGATTTTATTATCTCATAATTTTTATGGCAAATACTTGTAGAGTGAACGATGCCAGAAAGGCTTACGATGGGGAATAAGAGAGAATGATCTGGTATCAGTCATACAGTCATTCTTCTATCAGTTTTCTAACATTCTTCTATCATTACCTTGTCATATATTATCATTTAGTTACAGGTATAGAGTAAGTATAGAAAGAAGTATCGTGTATCATACAGTCACCTTTCTATGCTTATCCTATCATACAGCATCATATAAGTATCATACAGGTATCATACAATAATTATGTATAAATATTAAATGCTGGCTTTTATTATTTCTTACTTTTTATACCCAGTACTTGTTTTATACTCAGAGTATTATAAGATAAAGAGGTTTTACGACTGAAAAGTAGTGAAAAGTAGCGGATATTACACTTTTATACCTCTCCTATCAAACAGTATCATACAAGTATCATACTCCTTCAAAAGTAAAAATGTCTTTATAATAATCTCTTTAAGAGAAAATAATGTTTTAGAGGGAAAAGTCCAGACCTTTTTTAAGAAAAAACCTAGAATATTACAAAAACCTTTAAAAATTGACTTTTAAACTTTGACTATTTAAAGAAACAATCCATTTTTAAACAAAAATACTATAATTTTTATTTCTCCCCAACATATTCCAAACCAAACCCCTTGAAAATTAGGTTATTTTAATCCCCTAACCATTAGGATTGCTCCAGTGATCCAAAAGCGATTTAGGAAATTATCAGCCTCAACGAGCAATGGGAGAAGGCACTTTCAAATCAGCTGTCGGCTGTCTCTTCCTTTTGCCGTATTTGCCGCATTTGCCACATTTGCCACATCGCTTGCCACATGTTGGGGCAATGTTTACGTAAAGATCCCAGTAAGATACTGTGGCCAACAATTAGCATAATCAGCTGCCGCAATGGCTGGTAAATTGTGCCAATTTCTATAATTTTGAAATGCGGCAGCGTCTCTCTCGACTTTCCACTCGAATTAAAAAAGTGGTCTCTTAGACAAGAGACTCTCCAACTTCCGCAAAGTTTTTTTCTTTTTTTGAAAAGATATGCATTCGCATTCACATTTCAATTTGCATGATCCTATCAAAGTCTTACCCAAAAAAAAAAAATAAATTACCTGAAATTTCTTGGAGATCTGCCCGGAATATATTTTCCATATTACATTACTCTTTATTTTTTGTGGCCCCGCCCTGGAGTTGAAATTGGAAAGTACCATTGTTGTCACTTTGGATATTTGCCAAGTTTATTTCTTAATAAAAAAAAATAAAAAAAAACCATCCTAAAAGAAAGGTAAAACAAAGCTTCCCTGTCCGGTATCTTATCAATCATTTTGGGGCTCACTTCCCTTCCGTCTAATATCAAGTGGTGAAAACTGACTGCTTTATGATCTAAACGATGATCTTGCATCAACAATGCACCCATAAACCACCACCACATGCCACATGCCACGAGCGGCAACTGCAACTGCAACTGCTGTGCCAGAAAATTAATAACTTAAACTGTTTGGAAAACAAAAGGCGGAGGGGGGATCTGCAGACAGTCTGAACCACAAAACGTAACATTTGTAGTTACAGTGGGATGAATACGAGTAATATTAGGTACATTTATATAAAATAAATTTGGGTGATATTTTAAAATAAAGGAATTCTTATAAAGTAAAGAAATTGTTTAAAGGTTTGTGGTTGCCATTCCTCTGTAAATGTAATAGACCGTGAGTTCCTTCTATAAGTATATTTTTCCTTAAGACTTTTTATCTATTAGAGCTATTAGAAACCTATTCCATAAGGTTTCTTGTCCGCGAGACCGTGTGTCCGCCAGTCTTCTTGTCCGCTAATTCGTAAAACTATTCAAACTTTTAACATATATTATTAAAAACTATAATTTACGCCTCTTTGACTTTGAAACTTCATTAAAACTAAAGCTCAAATAGCTTATCATTAAATGTCATTGGTTATCTGATTGAAATGCTGAAAATTCAGTGGATTTCGTTGTGGATTTGGTGGCATCAGTTATCAGTGTTTTTGCCACATAACGGGGCATGAATCGCAATAGCCAACAGTAACAAAAATATCAAAAAATAGCAATCGCATTCGACTGCTTGGCAAGGTTGTTGATCTTCATACATGTTTTGAGAGGCCGAAACGCTTTGGCAGCTATTGCTTTTTTAGTTTTTTCTGCTTTTTTAGGTTTTTTTTCAGTTTTGTGATAGGCTTTTGTTTTGTTTTGTGGACTGAGAAAATTGTTTCGCTTTTATTATTATGGCCATTATCGTTAGCTTTGTTAAGTGTGGCAAGTGTTTGTGTTTCAATTTCGGTTTCAGTTTCAATTCAGGGTATCGGTATCGAATATTAAAATATAAATCATACGCCCTGTGAGCCAGGCTGTCTGCCATAAAGATATCTCTTCCAAAGCACGTCAAGAAAATTAATTAGATGGGCGAATGCAATTCCAAGTCCATTAATAGGGATACCCCCTTTCTTTTTTCCCGTTTTTTGTATGAATCTCTTTATCGAAATTAAAATCCGTTTTTTTGTGGCTTTTTTTTGGCACTGAGAAACTCCAACTCTGTTTAAAATGATCATAAATCTTGGCTAGTGAACATTTTTCCTTTTTTTTTTTGCTATTTTTACAGCTCTGCTTGGCTCCTTGTTAATTATTATGCACTGAATCAGTGACCATGAAGCCACAGACACCATCGGGCTTTGAAACAGATACCACCGAAAAAAAAATCCACCACTGGCTCTAAAAAAAAACATCATCATCTCATCTTAAAACCATCTCCCTTGGCGGTTTTGGGAATTTCTCTAGTGGTTTTTTGCTAATTTAGCCCGGGCTTCAGGCTAATACTTCAGGTAATGCCCTCAAAGTATTTAATTTGGCTTTTTATAAAAGATTATAATCATAAAATATAAGGTAAATATAATAAATTAAATATAAACCACATATAAATAAGTTAAAACCTTTTATAAGAATTTTTTTATCATCTAGATGATAGATTATATCTTTCTAAAAGTATCATCTTTCTTTTAGGCACTAAACAAACTCTTTCTAGTAACTCTATAATGAAAACAAAATAATATATGTAAAATAATCTAAACAATAAACTGATAAAATCTATATAACCTTTCATATTATAGAAGTTAGATCCTAATTATCTAGATTTTAATGTTCCAGATCTTAACTATCTAGATCCTAAAACTTTAGATACTTCCAATCCCAATAGATCTTAAATAACTCTAAGTTTGAATCATCTAGATCCTATCTATCTTGATCTCTAACTATCCAGATCCCAAGTCCTAATCCTAATTGTTTAGATCTATAACCTTCCAGATCCTTACTATTTACATCTTTGTTATCAAGATTTTAACTATCTAGATCCTAAATGTCTAAACCTTATTTATAAAGATCCTAACTATCAGATCCTAATCTAGATCCTTACCATATAGATCCTATCTATTCAAATCCTAACTATCTTGATCTCTAAATACCCAGATCCCAAATATACAGATCCTAACTATTCAGATCTATAACCTTCTAGAATCTAGATCCTAGAAAACTAGATTTTTCCTATCTACGTATATCTTAATTACAGAGATCTAGATCCTGCCTATACAGAACCTAACCATCTTACTCATCTTACCCTCCAAAATAAAACCAAATATAAAACATTTAAAGCACTAGTCCCCTACAAACTCTCAACAAAGTAACACAAAAGAAAGCATTTCGATAAACATTTCCCCAATTATTAGTGGCGATACTGGGTTAGTTCACTGCTTGAAGCCCCTTGGGGGCATAATTTTAATTTGTCGTTTATAACAATAAATGCTTTGAGGCTATTGAGGATTTTACAAGTCAATTACGGGTGTTACGAGCCCGGGTAAACCCCTACCACCTGCCAGCCAGCTCCTCTCCTCTCCGGCCTCCTCGCCAAAAACCATTTCATTGAACCATAAGCCGTGTGTATTTGTTCGTTTGTTTGGCCTGGCTGTTGGCTTAATTGGCCATCAAAGTGGCTAAAATCGAAACTGAGAGCCACTAAAGCCAACTAAACCAGTTGTCCACCCCTCCTGTCCCCTCCCTCCACATTAGCCACATCTTTCTCTTTCTCTCAGTCTGTTGCTGTCTCTTTTTGTAAACTTATCACGCATACGCAGTGTTGTCTTATTACGATTTGAATTGTCATCGAAAGTGAAGCGATCTGCCACATTGCCCCTCCACTCTTTCTATTTCTTTCTACCTCTTTCTTTCTCTTTCTGTGTTGGTGCTTTTCTTTGGGCCGCAAATTCGCATAAATTTTCCGCTGCAACGGTCCGCATCATTATAAAAGCCGCACCTCGCCAGCTGGCCGCCAACAATTCCATCCGAGTCTCTGACGCGCCACCATGTCCGCGTCTTGCCACAAAAAAAAGCCGCAGCATCACCATGCCGCACCAACAGCATCACGTCCCCCCCGATGCCAGCTGCCACATCCCCTCTTGCAATACCGGCTGCAATGGGGCATCTGTCTAGTGCTAGCCGTAAGTATCTTTCAAAACCGAAAGGATAAAGCTCCCAAAAAAAAAGGATTACTTCTTATGTTTGTTTTTTTACTGTGTATTTGTGATCAAGTGAAGTGATTTTCCAAAATATGAAAAGAGGAAATAATATTCTGTTATTTTTTTGAGTGTTACTATTTTGAAAAACCTTTTCTTTGAAATTCTGAAAATATTCTTTTAAGCTATAAGGGAACTAAAGTTTGAAGGAATAAACCAAAACCTACCAAGATGTGCTTCTAAAACACTTAATATTTAAAAAATTGCTTTGAAAATTTAAAATAATATAAAGAAATCATTTAAAGACCACTTCTAATAATAAAAAACACATAAGATGTGTTTTAAGATCCAAAAGTGAATAGAAATATTCTTTCTTAACTTTTATTTCAACTCTTCAAGTTACCTCAATATAATGTCTATGAGTTTTCTAAAATTAATCTTATATTCAATAATTCAATATATAGAAAAATATAATAAAAATCAGCTACTCATTCAAGAAGATATGGTAAAATATAATATTAAAAATATTTTTCAAAATTGCATTTTGGGCTCCAAATATTTTCCAAGAGCTTTTCAAAACCAGCGTTTTTCAAGAAACTTCCCTCTAGGAGAAATATTTTTTTCAGACTAAGAACTTAAATACCGAAACTTTTTAACAAAAAATATAATTTTTTAACTAATATTTAGTCTAAAAAAATTTAAATTCAAGTATATTCCTCAACTAAACTTAAATAAAACAAGATATAACATTTAAATCATTAGAACGAGCTTAATATACTAAGAATTGGGACACTTTCTTATAAAATCAACGATCAAGGATGCAGAAAGGAGTAAATTAATTTGGGAAACACAATTAAAACTATTAAATGGCTTAGACTTTATAGAATAGACCTTAAAAAATCGTATAAGTGATATATATTTTATAAATATTATATAAAAATAAACAACAACCCTCTCTGCACCTCCCCTTATAACAACAAGATTGCGTGCCAGAGTCTCTGCTGCATTCCATGCTGATGTTTCATTGCCCTCTTTCGGCCATTTTGGGCCATTGAACTTGGCCAACTAAACACCAGCTTCAATCAAACAAAAATCGAGCCGTCAGTCATCTCTTGCCATCCCCTCCCATTACCCTCCCGTTTCTCTCTCTCTCGCGAAAAGCGAAAGTGAGTTGGCTAAGTTTAATTAGTTTAATTGCAAAGTGGGTACAAATAAATGGGCCTAAAAGCAAGTGGCCGAGCGCTACCAGCTGTGGTCATTAGCATTGGCCAATAGGCTCTCCGATTAAGACAAAAATATTTATTATTGTTTATAAAACATAACACTCCTTGTTTCTTAGATCCTGACCCTGAGCAGTGCCGTCTCTGTGACCTCTGGCACTTCGGGCCACAACCGGCGTCGGGCTGGCGGAGCCAGTGCAGCTTCCCTGGAGGACACCAGCGATAAATCCGTTCCTGATCAACTGGCCCTAGCTGCCAGTCGACGAGCATCCGATGATAACAGGCCCTACTCCAGGAGGGGATCCGTACTTCAAAGCAGAACCAAAGAAGCTCCCAACAAAGGTTTGTAAGAAATACGGGAATATTTTGAAGGAATTGAATACCTTTGGGCTTCAGGATTAAGTAAAGGTATTCCTCTTGAGAATCGGATGAGAATTGGCAGAGATATAGCCTCTGGCATGGTCGATATGTGGAAATCCGGGATTTTTCAGGGGTCTCCCCACAAAAAATGGAAAAAAATCCAAAAAATATTTCGTCTCCAGATTTTGATGCAGATTAGTGCAAAATCACTCCACAAATCGTTTAAGGTATTCCTTTTGAGAATCGGTTAAGAATTGGCAAAGATATAGCCTTCGGCAGGGGCTCTATGTGGAAATCCGGGATTTTGCAGGGGTCTCCCCATAAAAAATGGAAAAAAATCCAAAAAATATTTCCACTTCAGATTTTTATGCAATTTAGTGCAGAATCACTCCACAAATCGTTTAGGGTATTCCTTTTAAGAATCGGTTAAGAATTGGCAAAGATATGCCCATCGGCAGGGGCCCTATGTGGAAATCCGGGATTTCGCAGGGGTCTCCCCATAAAAAATGGAAAAAAATCCAAAAAATATTTCGTCTCCAGCTTTTGATGCAGATTAGTGCAAAATCACTCCACAAATCGTTTAAGGTATTCCTCTTGAGAATCGGATGAGAATTGGCAGAGATATAGCCTTCGGGAGGGGCCCTATGTGGAAATCCTGGATTTTGCAGGGGTCTCCCCACAAAAAATGGAAAAAAATCCAAAAAATATTTCGTCTCCATATTTTGATGCAGATTAGTGGAGAATCACTCCACAAATCGTTTAAGGTATTCCTCTTGAGAATCAAATGAGAATTGGCAGAGATAAAGCCTTCGGGAGGGGCCCTATGTGGAAATCCTGGATTTTGCAGGGGTCTCCCCACAAAAAATGGAAAAAAATCCAAAAAATATTTCGTCTCCAGATTTTGATGCAGATTAGTGCAGAATCACTCCACAAATCGTTTAAGGTATTCCTTTTGAGAATCGGATAAGAATTGGCAAAGATATAGCCTTCGGCAGGGGCCCTATGTGGAAATCCGGGATTTTGCAGGGGTCTCCCCATAAAAAATGGAAAAAAATCCAAAAAATATTTCCACTTCAGATTTTTATGCAATTTAGTGCAGAATCACTCCACAAATCGTTTAGGGTATTCCTTTTAAGAATCGGTTAAGAATTGGCAAAGATATGCCCATCGGCAGGGGCCCTATGTGGAAATCCGGGATTTCGCAGGGGTCTCCCCATAAAAAATGGAAAAAAATCCAAAAAATATTTCGTCTCCAGATTTTGATGCAGATTAGTGCAAAATCACTCCACAAATCGTTTAAGGTATTCCTTTTGAGAATCGGTTAAGAATTGGCAAAGATATAGCCTTCGGCAGGGGCTCTATGTGGAAATCCGGGATTTTGCAGGGGTCTCCCCATAAAAAATGGAAAAAAATCCAAAAAATATTTCCACTTCAGATTTTTATGCAATTTAGTGCAGAATCACTCCACAAATCGTTTAGGGTATTCCTTTTAAGAATCGGTTAAGAATTGGCAAAGATATGCCCATCGGCAGGGGCCCTATGTGGAAATCCGGGATTTCGCAGGGGTCTCCCCATAAAAAATGGAAAAAATCCAAAAAATATTTCGTCTCCAGCTTTTGATGCAGATTAGTGCAAAATCACTCCACAAATCGTTTAAGGTATTCCTCTTGAGAATCGGATGAGAATTGGCAGAGATATAGCCTTCGGGAGGGGCCCTATGTGGAAATCCTGGATTTTGCAGGGGTCTCCCCACAAAAAATGGAAAAAAATCCAAAAAATATTTCGTCTCCATATTTTGATGCAGATTAGTGGAGAATCACTCCACAAATCGTTTAAGGTATTCCTTTTGAGAATCGGATAAGAATTGGCAAAGATATAGCCTTCGGCAGGGGCCCTATGTGGAAATCCGGGATTTTGCAGGGGTCTCCCCATAAAAAATGGAAAAAAATCCAAAAAATATTTCCACTTCAGATTTTTATGCAATTTAGTGCAGAATCACTCCACAAATCGTTTAGGGTATTCCTTTTAAGAATCGGTTAAGAATTGGCAAAGATATGCCCATCGGCAGGGGCCCTATGTGGAAATCCGGGATTTCGCAGGGGTCTCCCCATAAAAAATGGAAAAAAATCCAAAAAATATTTCGTCTCCAGCTTTTGATGCAGATTAGTGCAAAATCACTCCACAAATCGTTTAAGGTATTCCTCTTGAGAATCGGATGAGAATTGGCAGAGATATAGCCTTCGGGAGGGGCCCTATGTGGAAATCCTGGATTTTGCAGGGGTCTCCCCACAAAAAATGGAAAAAAATCCAAAAAATATTTCGTCTCCATATTTTGATGCAGATTAGTGGAGAATCACTCCACAAATCGTTTAAGGTATTCCTCTTGAGAATCAAATGAGAATTGGCAGAGATAAAGCCTTCGGGAGGGGCCCTATGTGGAAATCCTGGATTTTGCAGGGGTCTCCCCACAAAAAATGGAAAAAAATCCAAAAAATATTTCGTCTCCAGATTTTGATGCAGATTAGTGCAGAATCACTCCACAAATCGTTTAAGGTATTCCTTTTGAGAATCGGATAAGAATTGGCAAAGATATAGCCTTCGGCAGGGGCCCTATGTGGAAATCCGGGATTTTGCAGGGGTCTCCCCATAAAAAATGGAAAAAAATCCAAAAAATATTTCCACTTCAGATTTTTATGCAATTTAGTGCAGAATCACTCCACAAATCGTTTAGGGTATTCCTTTTAAGAATCGGTTAAGAATTGGCAAAGATATGCCCATCGGCAGGGGCCCTATGTGGAAATCCGGGATTTCGCAGGGGTCTCCCCATAAAAAATGGAAAAAAATCCAAAAAATATTTCGTCTCCAGCTTTTGATGCAGATTAGTGCAAAATCACTCCACAAATCGTTTAAGGTATTCCTCTTGAGAATCGGATAAGAATTGGCAGAGATATAGCCTTCGGGAGGGGCCCTATGTGGAAATCCTGGATTTTGCAGGGGTCTCCCCACAAAAAATGGAAAAAATCCAAAAAATATTTCGTCTCCATATTTTGATGCAGATTAGTGGAGAATCACTCCACAAATCGTTTAAGGTATTCCTCTTGAGAATCAAATGAGAATTGGCAGAGATATAGCCTTCGGGAGGGGCCCTATGTGGAAATCCTGGATTTTGCAGGGGTCTCCCCACAAAAAATGGAAAAAAATCCAAAAAATATTTCTTCTCCAGATTTTGATGCAGATTAGTGCAGAATCACTCCACAAATCGTTTAAGGTATTCCTCTTGAGAATCGGATAAGAATTGGCAGAGATATAGCCTTCGGGAGGGGCCCTATGTGGAAATCCTGGATTTTGCAGGGGTCTCCCCACAAAAAATGGAAAAAAATCCAAAAAATATTTCGTCTCCATATTTTGATGCAGATTAGTGGAGAATCACTCCACAAATCGTTTAAGGTATTCCTCTTGAGAATCAAATGAGAATTGGCAGAGATATAGCCTTCGGGAGGGGCCCTATGTGGAAATCCTGGATTTTGCAGGGGTCTCCCCACAAAAAATGGAAAAAAATCCAAAAAATATTTCGTCTCCAGCTTTTGATGCAGATTAGTGCAAAATCACTCCACAAATCGTTTAAGGTATTCCTCTTGAGAATCGGATGAGAATTGGCAGAGATAAAGCCTTCGGGAGGGGCCCTATGTGGAAATCCTGGATTTTGCAGGGGTCTCCCCACAAAAAATGGAAAAAAATCCAAAAAATATTTCGTCTCCAGATTCTGATGCAGATTAGTGTAGAATCGTTTAAGGTCACAAATCGTTTAAGGTATTCCTCTTGAGAATCGGATTAGAATTGGCAGAGATATAGACACGAAGAGGGCGTATATGGGGAACTCCACAGATTACCCCAAAGAACCTTGTAGATCTACATTTTATTTTAAAACTTTAAACTAAAAGCACGTTTTAATAAATATATAAAACAGAAATGCCCAAAAGTATGTGATGAAATGGTTAAATATTTAATAATTAATATATTTATTTTAAGATTTCAACTACGGCCATGTGGAGCTGAATCTCGTGAGACCGGAGCATGAGTCGCATCCGAAACTGATCTTAAGCACAACGACGGCAGCCTCGGGTTCTGGAGGATCTGCAGGTCCTGTCAACCTGGAGGACTCTCAGTCGGCGGCGGAGTACGTGGCCAATGCCATCAAGCTGGCCTACAAGCAGCCACCGGTTCCGGTGAAGAGTCCTGCGCCAAATCACCTCCAAGCACCAAAGGACCTGCCCTCGTCCTCCACCCAAAGGAGCTACAACGAACACAGGGAGAGAGAGCGGGAAATCCTAGAACACCAGGCTCTGATCCTGGGAGGAGCTCCTGCCTCTGCTGCTGCATCATCCTCGTCCCCGGGTTCACCTCATTCCTCGCCACCCTCACCCGCCCTGGCACCGGCTCCCGTCTACGAAAAGGATCCTGTGACTCGGAGCTACGAGCTATATGAGGCTTCCACCGAAGGCGACGTACATATACCCGTTCAGGAGGACATCGAACGGCACTATCGTCCCAAGTACAACAGCTACAACTACCAGCCCTACCAACCGCCCACGATCTACCGCAACCTGGAGGCCGAGGCCGAAGAAAAGGTACGAGTTTCCGCCTCCACAGAGATCCCCAAGTCGGAAATAATGAAACAGATCGAGAAGTCGGTGATCAAGTATATGAAAGAGCTGGAGGCGGAGGGTAAAATAATCAGTACACCCCAAGAACCGGCCACACCACCGCCGCCACCACCACCACCGCCCTCGCCAGTTCAGCAAATAACCAAGACCTATTACAAAACGCAATCGAATGGGATATCCAATGGGATTTCAGGTGGAATTTCTGGGGGAATCTCTGAAGAAAAGCGCTATAGCAGCAGTACAGTGAGACCCAAGTACACAGCACCACCGCCCCAGAAACAACAGCAATCACAGACCCATCATCAACATCAGCATCAACATCAACATCAGCAGGTCTATCACCAGCCCCAGCATCATCATCAGACAGTACATCATCAGAATGTGGGTATTACTGCGAAGTTGAGGAACTCCCCATCAGTTTCCAGCCAGAAGCCCCTGCAACATTTTCAATCGGAAACGGAAACCGCCTATCAGGCTCCAGATCTTCCAGTCGATGAACTATCACCCAATGTGGAATTCATCTATAAAATCAAGACGAGAGCTCCGCTGCAAACGGCTACAGTGAAAACAGTCTCCAAGCCCTATACTTTGCCACTAAAAAGTGCCGAGCACTTTGATCATGGAGCGGCCCTCAAGAATATCGAAGAATTCGATCTATCGCATGTGGTGCCCACTCCCGAAAGAGTAGAAAGAGAAAGGGAGAGGGAGAGGGAAAGGGAACGAGATTCTCGAGAGGATCAGAAGCCCCACAAGCTGTACTTCAATTCAGAAATCTATCATGACATCAACTCACTGCCCTACAAAAGCAAAGAGGCGGCTCTGCAGGAATATCGTCACAAGTTGAAGAATTCCAACGAAAATCTTCATCCGGACTATAAGGGCTATTCCGGATACTTTGCCGAACCGGAAGTCGAGGAAGTGGATCCCAATGAATCGAAACTAATCCTAAATGAGGAGGGTTATCCCTATCATTACCTTTTGAAAAAGGAACCTCTAGAGGATCATGATCCTTGGCTGGAACAGCAACAACAACAACAGCAACCGTTGCGTCTAAACCACGCCCACACGCACAACCATGCCGCCCACCATGGCCAGCATCATGGCCACGGCCACACCCACTCACACGCCCACAAACATGGCGGCAGTAGTCTGGAATACGATAGCTATAGTCCAAAGTTTAATAATAATCCAGAGGGATATGGATACCAACACACCTATAAGCTAAGGCCAGGACAATCGGGTCAAGGAGGCGGAGGCGGAGGAGGAGGAGGTGGAGGTTCTAGTGTGGCCGTGGCCACTGCTGTGGTGGGTGGGAAGCGGGGTAAGCGCGGCGGTGGCGTTCATCCCCGTCAGGAGGCTATCAAGAAGCAGCTGCGAGGATCGGAGGTCAAGGATCTGGAAGCCAGCTTGGCCCTGAGACCGCCACCCAAATAGTTGACCTCCCTGGTCATTAACCCTTAACCCCATAGCCCCCCCTAATAGCTGATTTTGTAGGCCACACATGTCCAAGTGCTTGGTTATAATATGTATATGCTATTGTGTTTTTTTTTTTGTGTTGTTGTTGTTAATCAGTGTGTTGTCAGTTATGAAGCTAATTCTAAGTCTAAGTATGATTATTTATTTAATAGAAAAACGAAAACAAATTATGCAATTAAACAAGTAAATAAATTAATAAATAATAAAGTTAAAAAAAAGTAGTTTTAATTAGAGGTTCTTGTGTTGGATATTTAAAATGGAAAGAGAGACTTAACGATAAAGCTTAATAATGAAACTTATTTCCCAAAAAAAAATAGAATTTTAGATCTAAAATCTTAATTTAAATCCTTATCTTTAGGAATATATCATTAGGGTCTTATGGTAGGGACTGCAAGGATCTCTGTATAAGAACTTCTTATTAAGAAGTTTCTATACTTCTTCTAGGTAAGAACTCTCTCTCTAAAAGCGTCCCTTGGTCTTTTAGAAAGGACTTGCCCTGTAATATTTATCATAAAATAGATATAATAACTATTAATAATCTTTTTTAAAAATTTAATAAACAAATAACATAGGCCCAAAAAACAAGTGCTGCCCATTATTATGATAGTTTTCTTTTCTTTCTTTTATTTTATATTTCATTTTTTACTCTCATTACTCTTTTGTTTTGCTTTGTATTTCGCTTTCATTGAAACAAAAAATAAAAAAAATTCATAAATACATAAATGATATAATTAAATATGTTAAACCACCCACACTTACCAAAAATCCCCAAAAAAAAGATGCACAGATTCAGCCTCGAATTGTGTAATTTTAACAAAAAAATAAACCAAAACCTTATTTTACTTTAATTTTAATTAATTCCAAGTCTCTTCCAGAGTAGAACTAAGCCAAAACTAAATGCCAAGTTCATTACATTTCCGGTGAACTTGATTTAACTAAAGATTCACTTACAAATGGTGTGTAAATAGAGAAAATAGTCGCCTCAAATGAAGAGTTACGTGAGATTTGGCCGATTTATCGCCAGTACACCTGCAACATTGTCTTTTTTTTTCATACAATTATATATATTTTATATCTTATATATAGTTTTTTTTTTGTTTGTGGCTCCAATTCCATCAACGCTCACGCACAGATTATTCAAGATCATAGATCATTGTTGGCGTTGCCCGGGCGTTCGGCCGGGTTTTGGGTATAAAAACTATTTGTTTTGGCCACAACTAGCCATTGCTCACTCAGCACTCAGCCCTCCAATCACACGCCAAACCATGAAGCTCAGAGCTTGTCAGGTAAGCCTACTACATTACTAACTAATCCTTGGCTAGTTCATCTTAAATATTAAATTATTATTCACAGATATTCGTGTTAGTTGCCCTCTTGGGGATACACGCCCTGGAAGCGGTAGTTGTTGCCGGCGGCGGTGGACATCAGCAGTTGCACAACAATAACCGGAATGGCTATCGATACAATGGACCCGCCCACAAGTACTTGCCGGTGGAGCAGCCAGAACATCATCAGGAGCATCAGGATCATCAGCAGAATGGTTACAATGGACCCTATAACTCCCAGCACTACCAGGAACAGAGGCAGCAGGGCGGCAAGGAGCAGGCCTGGCAGCCGGTCTTCTCCCAGGGTGTCTCTCAGGGACATCAGATATCCGGAGGACAGCAGTCACATCATCAGATTCATGAAGGTCATCAGATCCAGGGAGGACAATACCAGCAGCAACATCATCACAACAACGAACACTCCTATGAACCTGTGTCTTCCCACCATTTCGAAGGAGAATCCTGGAACTCCCATCAGGGACAGCATGGACATCACTCCCAGTCTGGACATCAAGGCCACCAGAAGGTAGAGTCCTGGCCCTCGAACCAGGTCCAGTATGAAACCCAACGAGGAGAGTCGTGGCAGACCAACCAAGGTCATCAGGGCAGCCAAAGGGGAGAGTCTTGGCAGTCGCATTCTGGCCAACATGATAACCAAAAAGGACAGTCCTGGAACTCCCAACTGGGCGGAGAATCCTGGCAGTCCAACCAAGGACATCAGGGCAACCTTCGTGGTGACTCTTACGGCTCTCATTCCGGACACCAAGGCAACCACCAGGAAGAATCCTACAGCTCCCATTCCGGACACCAAGGCCACCAAAGACAAGAAGGACAGAAGGGCGGAGAGTCCTGGAACTCGCAGCGTGGCGAATCCTGGCAAGGTCACCACAATGGCCAGGAAAACCAGTATCGTGGAGATCTCTGGCAGCCCATCCGAGAGTACGACCTGGAGAAACTGCCCTCTGCCGAGGCGCATGCTTCTAGCCACAAAACCTTTGCCAATCCCGGCAAGAACTCGAAACTAGTGCCAGCCTATACCCTATCCAGTGACGCCGAGCACGATCGCTTCATTGGCCTGGACTCCTTGGACACTCGTCTGTTGTCCCAATCCCTGCCAGATGCCTACCGTAAAGTGCCCTTTACCTCGCCCTCTGGCCCGGCATCTCAGCGCCATGAACAGCAACTGGGAGGATCCACATCCTCGGGTTACTTGCAAATGCAATCCCATTCGTATCAGCTGCCCTCCACCCAGAGCACTCACAGGGAGTATCCCCAGGAGCAGCAGCAACAGCAGCATTCCGGTAATCGGCAGTACTCCGCCAATGCCTATGCTGTATCGCCTTCGTATCTTCATGGTTCCCAATCCCAATCCCATTCTTTGAGTCCTTCAGGTCAGTTCCCATCGTACTCCCAACACTCCCAATCTTCTGAGTTCCAATCTCACTCCCAAAACCCTTCTTCTCAGTTCCAATCTCACTCCCAAAACCCATCGTCTGAGTTCCAATCCCACTCCTCTCCCAATAGCTTGAATCATCCCAGCCGGGAGTTCCAGCCTCCATATTACTAAATATTTCATTCCAAACTACTATTATTTATTCTTTTTTTTTTTACATCCAAAATTATTCATTTTCAGAGTTTGCATTTCTTGAGAAAAGCATCTAAACTGAGCCCTATTTTTATAAAAATAAAGTTTTTTTTTTAAAATAAAATAAATCTTAAAAAATAATCCAAAACTAACAGACTTTTCTTGATGATATCATTTGAAAACGGGAAGTTGCGATGACCTTGTCTCTAATCCCATCATTAATTTGGCCAAAATGCGATCGTAGCTAATTTGATTACGATTTCGTTGGATAATTGCGAGAATTTTGTAATTTTCTCATGAGGTTTGCTGTTGGTTGTGTTTTTGATTCAAATTAAATGCGATTAGAGACCCAAATTAAAGACGTTTCGGTTCTTGACTTGGCTTCCTCTCCCCACAAGTGAAGGTAAAACCAACAAACCAAATACCAAAAAAAAAAAAAAACAGAAACAATACCTTACTGAAATGATAACAAACAGCAGTAACTTTCATTGCAGCTGCAGTAGCAGTAGCAGGAAGCAACATTAAAATAAATATTGCATTCACATTCAGACGGCTATGCTCTCTTTTTGGCACACTATTTGTCATGATCACAAGCTTCAATCCAAGTCGTTTCCAAGTCAAGTCGAGTCATCGAAATTGAAATGTAGCTGTCGTTCGAAAGCCAGCAACCAGCAACGAACAACCAGCAACCAGCAACTATAGTAGCAACATCAGCAACAACTGCCCACAGCTGAGGGCAACTGTTATAGCCGATTGTTATGGAGGCGCCACTTTCATTTTCATTGGGCGAATTTTTTAACACGGAAGTCAATGGGCTTTTTAATAAATTATGAGACTTGAAAGCTAGCAGGGGTTATACTATATATATAGGGTTATATAGTAAAGACTATAACGAAAGATCTAAACTTTAAAAGACATCTTTGTAAAAGTTATAGATTCTGCAACTTAAGATTGAATACTTTAAAGAGAAGAGGATTATCTAGTATGGTATTTGATAGAGAGAATTGCTATTTCTTTATAATATTAAGCATGTTTTTTTAAGAAATTGTTAGTAGTATTGTATATAATTTCATAAAATAACTATCTACCATTTAAAAATGTATATTTAAAAGATCTAAAGGCTTTAAAGACTATTAAAAGGTTAAGGATATACATTAGTATAGAATAGTTATCAAGGAGAATCAATAGACTTTATAAAGAGCTTCACTTAAGTACTTAATATTAGCTTTGGATTAGGAATGGATCATACAGTTAAAATCTAAAATTTAAGTATTTATTTTTATGAAATTTATAAGCTTTGAAGAGATTACGTATAAAGTGCAGTTTTTGGTAGTTCAGAAGAATCTATGACCTTATAAAGAGAGCTTTCTGAAGAAATCTCCATCAAAATTATATAGAATTCTTAAGAAGAATTCATTACTTTATTTTATAGCGAGTTTCCACAAGAAATCTCTATCAAAAACGCTCTTGTAAAACGAGTTCCCTTAAGAAATCTTTACCAAAATAATAAGAAATTATTAGGAAGAATCCAAAACTTTATAATGCCAGTTCCCTCAAGAAATGTCTACCAAAATGATTAGGAATTATAAGTTTTATATCCATAGCTTTATAATGACAGTTTCCTCAAGAAATCTTTATCAAAATATCGCTTATAAAGGAGGTCTTTAAAAGAACTACAAATATTAATGACTTCCTCAAGAAATCTCTCCTAAAGTCAAACCCCCCTTTGGATTAAGCAATACCATCAAATACCATATAATGTCATACAATTGTAAGCTATATATAGTATCAATGACTTAAGGTTAACACCATTTAATACCAAACCACACCAAAAGAGCCGCTATAAGATGGTATAAAAGTCTATGAAAGAGAAAGAGACACATCTCTTAGAAACCGAAGCTACAATACACTTTCAAAAGTTACAAATAGTACAAGAGCTAAAATTAAAGTTCTATTTAAAAGATAAGCAAGTCATGAGCTTTAAAAATTAGGACAAGTTTTAACAAAATACTCCTAAAACCCCATATACCTCTTGGAAGAGTATAAAAACCCCCTCAACTGTAAAATATTACCTTCGAAGGGCAACCAAGAGCAGTCAACTTGGGGTTCGGTTACATGGCTTGTTGACTTCTTCCAGCATTAATGGTAATTTTCAAACTTGCAACATTGCAACTTCATTTTCCAACAAATCATTAAATAATTTTCAAAATACTAAGCTTATAAGAAATATGACTATATAGTATTGAAAACTAAAAGTGATATGAAAATTGGCAAGTTGCGTAACCAAAAGAAAGAGGCTGGAAAGGAAGTGGCAACTGGATATCAGTTACAGCGGAACCAGGGATATCGGATATCAGAGTTACTTTCTTATATAGTCGTGGGTCGGCAGTGTCGGGGCCAACATTTGCAAAAGCCAACAATCTTGGGCAACATGTTCAAGGTTGTCCACCTCCACGTCTTGATCCTGGTCTGTTGTTTCTGTTGCCCGGAGGCCCAGCATCCTGCCTGGCTGTATCCGATGCCTTGGCGTCCTCTGATCCTGCCTAGACCAGTTCCTACGCCAGTGGCCAGTGGTGTTTCACAACTAAGTCCGGGTTATACAGGTCCACAGACGTTTCCTTCAGCGCCGCAGGATCAGCAACAAGGACAACAGAAACCGCAGTATTCAGAGCAGTATCAGCAGCAATATCCACAGCAGCAGCAACAGCAATATCCTCAGCAACCTGTCCTCTTTGGCCTATTTGCACCGCAGTTGCAAGTTCATCCTCTGGCCGCTCCACCCCAGGCAGGACACTTTACTCTGCCCTTCCGGCCATCACCCTTTGCCGGCTACACGGACGATGAGGTGGACAACGAAGTCCAGGAGAGTCCCGAACAGCAGCAACATCCACAACAGCTAGAACCTCCTTTCCATGCCCATCCTTACAGAGTGGCAGAGAGATCGGAGCAAAGTCCTAGAGGGGTTCAGCCTGAGAGATCAGGATCAGGATCAGGATCAGGAAATACTCCTCTGGGTTATGTCTATCTATCGCCAAGTAATATCTATAATCTAGTAAGGTCTTAAAGGTCTAAAGACTAAGTCTTAATCATAGTTCTTATTTTATTTTTTTTTTGTACTTACTTTCAAGAGTTTAAGGTTTGAAACCTCAGAAATAAAACAACATTTATATATTTTTTTTTTATAAAATTATAATATATACTTAACTTGCTAATATTGGAAAGGTCTTCCCACACACTCTCCTCCATTACCACCGACTGGGGGGTCTGGGAATTCAAGACCCAATGCCCCAAAGTCTAGACCGTGTAATGCCGCTATGATGATGACTACTCGCCCACCGAGTCGGCTCTTTGTGGTTATTTATGATATTTGGGGCTTTCTGGGCCAAACTTTTACCATGGGCGGTGGATGGATTAGATCTCTGGCAATTTGCTGCCAATTACTGGGCGTCTCGCACAAGTCGCAAATCGGCGAAATTATAACTCGATCGACGTGGCAGGTGTGACCTTGGCTGCCTGTGGATTATGCAACAGGCAGGGGCCCGAGTGCCACACAATTACATCAACTAAAAGCTAGACACACGGTGGCACACGACTCGCAAAAAAAAAAAAAAAAACCGAAAATTACAGACAAAGATGAAGAAGTATGGGGTTTAATGGGGTCTCTCTTTGAAGCTTATGACCCTACCAGATAGTCTATAACTCGAAATATTTATAGTTTATAGTTTTAAAATTAATTTATTCATTTAAGGTTAGTTTTTATAAAAAATGAGGTTATTTTTTACACAAATACTTACCAAAATCATCATTTATTCAAGTTCACAATAAGTGAAAGTATTTTTTTGGTATCTAGTATTTAATAATGTCTCAGTATTTGAGTTAAGTACCGGGTATCTCAAACATGCAAGGTATTTTTTAGATAAAGAGTATCTTTTAGACAAATTACAGACTTGAACTACATATGACCCATATCAAGGTCAATATTACTATAAATATAGATATACTTACAAAGATTATATATATATATCTAGTATTTAAATACATTATTTGTTTTTTTTTTCAGGGCCAAGAAGTTAGAGACAAAACATAGCTTTACATTTTGTATATTTTGCATTCATAAATTCCCCACCAAGATCGGGCCAAGTCCATTAGTTAGCCATGATGGGTCTGGGGCCATTAGCGGAAAGCCCCGTGTAGCTTGGAGACTGGCAGAAGAAGTCGGTACGAAGTCTGGTATTGCCAAATCACTGTCCAATCCACAAAACATCAGACTACGTTGCGGCAAAGACCCAAATTAAGATCCCGAATGTCGGCGGTGGCAAAACAAATCGCTTTTCGACTTGCAACAATTTTGCGCAGCTGAGAAAACAGGCGTAGAAAGGGGGCAGAGTGGCAGGGTGGCAGAGGTAGAGTGGCAGAGGCATGTTACTGTAAATTAAATGCAATTTACGCATAAGCCATGCCGACTTGCCGAGGAAAAGGGGAGCAGATGGGCTGGGAAAAACCCAGCACAAAGTGGCAAGGCCAAGGGGGCAGCGTGGAGGAGGCGTGGCCCAGCGGACATGTGATATGAAAAAGTGTCACTTGAACTTGAGAGGCGCTTGTCAAGTGGCTGGCACTCGCTGGCACAGTGGAACGAAAAGCCGAGGAAGGGGATGAAAAATTTCAGTAAAAGTAGAGGAGAGAAAAGTCAATAAGAGGGGGGTTTAAAGGTAAAGAAATTATAAAAGATTAAATAAAAAACAAAATATGAGCATAAAATAAACCTGAAAGAAATTAAAATATCAAGGGAATATATAAATATTACTCATATAATATATGTTGTTTTTTTTTTTTAGAAATTATAGCTTTACAAGGCTATGTATACGTAATATTTAGGAAAATATTAAATTAAGATAGAGTTTTTAGCTTTTTAGTTATATTTTTTATGTTTTTAAATACCTTATATTAAGAATTTATGAGAGATTGTGTGATTTAAACTTGAAAAGCATGAAATCATGTTCATAAAATACAACACTGCGTATACTTAATATTTTTAAATGGCATTTGAAAATTTGCAATGTTTTTAAAAAAAATAAAGAATAGGTATTAATTATATTCAACAAAATAAAGGACTATTTTGATGAAAAATACAAGAAAATGTAAAAAAATAACTAAATTTAAGATTAAAATCCAAGGCGTATACGTAATATTTTCATAGTTGGAAGTTTTACAATGAAAAACTCAAGAAAATTATACTTCAACCCTTGTAAAACAAGCCACAAATAAATAAGAGCTTGTTTAAGCCAAAATTAAATATTTAAATATTAAAAATAGCATAAAATATAATAAAATATATCAAAATTAAGCATTAAATATATTAAAAACCCAAAGTTCAAAAAGCAAAAACTTGAAAAATATAGAAAGAAATAATTTAAAACAAGTCCCATTAAAATACAAAAAAAAATACATTTTAAATAAATATTTGACTATAAATAACCCACCAAGCCCACTGTTCCACTCTGCCCCCCGAGTGAGAGTGAGAGTGGAAGAGTGGAAAGGTGTGCCGACCCGACCAGGTGTATGCGTGCGTGAGCGACAGAGAGAGAGATATATAAAGAGAGACGGTATGCAAAACCGTTTGCGCATCGCTGCCGGCGACGCGACGTCTCAGCTTGGGCGGCTGACAGCTGCCGCCGGCAGCGAAGCCCCCCTCGTACGCCCCTCCCTTTTTGGGGAGTTTTGAGTGGAAATGGAGTTTTGATTTTTTTTTTTTTTTTTTTTGAGTTTTGGAGCCGAGTTCGGCTTCTTCGCGGTTGTTTTTGAGTGGAAGCGTATAAAAGGGTTGCCACTGGCAGAGGGCGTCCACAAACCGTCGACGGCAGCGCAACATTACGGATTAAGAGCGAGAAGGTGCCACAAAAAGAAAGAGAGAGAGAACAAGACAGAGTGTACAAGGATAACGGTTTACAGAAGAAAGCTTACCTTTCTTTTTACAATTTTTTTTTAATTTTTTTTTTTGTTGTTTTTTGTGTAAAATCTTAAAAAATTTATTTAAAAAAAAAACGAAATGAGATACGCCGGATTACCGTTAGCAGTTCTACTGCTCTTCTGCTGCTACTGGGCCGCCTCTGCTGCTGCTGCGTCTGCTTCTTCTTCTTCTTCTGCCACTCCGGTTGCAAGTCCCGTTAGTTCATCGAAACCCAAACGTGATGCCGCCTTGAGCTTCGGGAGCCTGTCCAGCTACCACGGCCCCTCCCACAAGTACCTGCCGCCCGCCTACGAGAACCACCTGAGCTTCGGCGGGGTGGGAGGAGGTGGTGGAGGTTATCATGGCAATGCCTTGGGTTCCGGCCACGCCTACACGGAATATGCCCACCTGGAGGGCGGTGATCATCACTACGGCTCGTCGCACGGTCACGGGTACGGGTACTCCAGTGGCAGTTCCAGTTCCCATGGCAGCAGGCCGCATCACTATAGTTCCGGAGGATCCGGTGGTCCCAAGATCGAGACGTACATTGTCCAAACGAGCAGCGGTTCTGCCGGAAGTCACGGTTACGCAGGTGCCCATGGACTGAGTCACGGGGGAAGTCACGGGCTGAGCCATGGACTGAGCCACGGAGTGAGTCACGGCCACGGTTCCGGTTTGGGCTACAAGTACGGAGCACCTTCGTCCGGAGCAGCATCCTCTTACCTGAATCTCCTCGGAAACGGACACAAGACCAGCACCTATATAGTGGCCACGCCGGAGTACTCCGGAGCTGGAGGCAGTCACGGCATCGGCTACGGATCGGGACCAGTCCATGGCAGACCCTCGTTCAGTGCCCACGGTTCCCATGGCTACAGTCACGGCTTCGGGCATCAAATCAGCCACGGACCACCGAGTCACGGACCCAGTCACAGCCTGGATCACAGCCTGGAACACGCTCTGGAGCACGGACTGACCCAGGCCTTGGGATTGGGTGGACACGGCTCATCCTCCGCCGGCGGTGGCGGTCACTACGCCCAGCATCCCATTCCCGAAGAGCACTCCGGCTATACCTACGATGCTCCCGCGACGCCCTTCGGCAAGGGAACTCCCCTCACCAGCTACGGTGTCCCGCTGATCCCCGGCTACGATCATCAGGAGTCGCTGCATCAGGATTCCCCCGTCCAGGTCCAGATCCTCGAGCAATCCGATCACAAGGTGGAACGCGAACGTGACCAGGAACGCGAAACACCGGTATATGCTCTGGGGCACAAGGGTCTGGGCCACTTCACGTACACGGCCAGCAAGCCGCAAGCCCTCCACACGGACATCCATGCCGGCTCCTCCTCCTCCTCCTCCGCGTCCTCCGGCCATGATCTGGAACTCAGCAAGGCCCCATTCAAGCCGAGCGCCTTCCTCGGCGCCAAGCACGAGAGCTCCGGTTCGAATGCCATTTCCGGTTCCGGTTACGACTATGCCACGCCCACATCTCCATTCTTGCAGTCGTCGCCGGGCTACGATTATCCAGCACCGGCGCAACTTTACGGTCCACCCGGGCACTCTGGTGACTCGGCCACGCCCATTTTTGAGCCGGAGGCAACCTATCTGCCACCCGCCAGCAGCTACTTGCCACCGGCCACGCCCACCCATGGCTATCATTAAATTATTAAAAAAAAAATAATAATAATTTTAAGAACGAAATATTTTCTGTATTTTTTTTCCCACTTTCTCTCTATCTCCTTCTAATTGTTTTTTAAATTTAAGATTAAGAAAATTAAATAAAAATAAAGTAAAAAAAAAAAGAAGAATAATATATTTTTGAGTTAAAAAAAAGGGAAATTTTTTGTAGCCTTTCTCCCTGTTTTTTTCCATCTGGATAGTCTCCAAAGAAAATGGTTAATATTCCAAACATATACCACGATTTTGCCAGTTTTCTCTCCGAATTATACTTTCCGATTACGGATTTCGATGGATTTCGCTTGAAACTTGTGATTCGCATTTGTTGCGAGAAACTATAGCACTACGCCACTGGCATTCCAAATTTATTTAAAAAAAAAGACACCCAAACTACCCAAAAAAAAATAGTCAAAAAAAAGGTTAAATTAAACGAGTGATTCGAGCAATCCCCTCAAAGTAATGCCATCCAGTTGGTTAACGTTTGGAATCCGGTTGGATTAGCTTGATTAAAGGAGATTAATAATAAGGAGAGGGGCCAGGCCAGTAATTCCATAACAAGTCCATCATCCATCCACGTTACAAAAATTAGTTTTAATCAGCTCCCAATTGGCTGTTTTTGTTGAGCTCTGGAAGAGGTAATTTTTGAACGAATTTATGGATAATCGGGAGAACGAGTCCCATTTAGATTTCGGGTTTGGAAAAAAAATGAAATCATTAAAAAAAAAGAGAAAGGTAAAGCTAATCAGTTGCTATGCTCTTTAATAGTATACTAAAATGTAGTTACTAAAAAATGGTTATAGCTTTGAATCATTTGTTGTAAGATTTTAAAGATTGTATTTAAAAAGAGTTAAATATTTTTAAAGAAAAAACAATATTGTTTGTCTTATAACCGGGTTCGTATTCCTTCATATACCTCAGCTTAAAAAGTGAAGATTTTCTTAAAAAAATATAGCTCAGCGTAGTCGAACCCGTTCATATACAAAAGCCTTCATATTCAGCCTTAAAGGTAGATTTTTTTCTAGAAGGAAGAGAGGAAAAATTCCTCTACAAAAAGGAGTAAGCCTAAGAGCCTATCATATACATATACACCATCAAATACATACCTTAGCTTAGAGACTAAAGATTTTCATTAAAAAAATATATATATTTGAAAAACTCCTAACCGTAGTCGAACCTCACACCTCGAATTTTTTCGACTTTATAAACCTCAGCTTAATAGGCAAAGATTTTTAAATAAACAACCATAAAAACCTACATTATGACCATGTCTTACCTAAAATAAGGCTTCAAAGTCTTTTAAGTTTCAAAATTTTAATATAAAATAAAACCCCAATTCTATCAGAAAGCAAACTTACTCTTCAAGCAACAAAAAAAATCCCTCAACAAGATGAAAGTTTTATTTGAAATTCGAATCACAAATCCGAGCTACAATCAAATGTGGGTGAAACCCATTAGTATACCAGACCGAACCTCCTAATAGATCATTGTGCTGGAATGCAGAATGGGGTTTTGCAGGTGGAGTTGGACATAACATTCACTCCTGGAATTCAAGATGATGAATGGTCTTCGGATTAATCATCTTGAAAGATGGAAGCATCAACTCCAATTCCCATTTCCAATCCAATCTCTGTTGCGCAATCGGTGGCTGGTGATTCGCTCAACCAGTTTTTGGCCATTTGATCCTTAAGTCGCTGACCTACATCAAAGAAATGAGACGCACAGCGACGTAACGAAAGTGAAAGGATGACATGACAGGCGCCCGGCCCCAGTTGATAAGCCTCCGATCATGGGGATTATACTGGTGCGGTATAGTATACGATATCTGTCAGATCAAATAACCTGACCTAGGCCTACACCGCTTTATGAACTTGACGCCCGGTCCCCCAGCTCCCACGTTTGCATAATACTGCCATGAATCCCAGAGCTATCAGAGCATCGCCACATCCGTCACGGAAGTGTCTAGAATTCGCCATCAAGACGTGAGCCAGCTCTTGGTAGTGCATCACAGAAATCTCAGGTTCATTGTCTTTGGGTTTCTATTATTATGCTATTATGGGAATTATTTGTGTCTCTGAATAGGCACGAAATCTCTCTGAATTTGTTATCGTAAAAAAAAACAAATAAATAAAACTTAAGAAACCCGAGCCTAAGCCGAAATGGTGATGAAATTAAAATATACGATTGTAATTCATGTCAGACAGATGGGTGGAGAGTATGAGGTTGTGGAGTAACCCCTCTTCACAATATATACTTGAATTAAATTAAATTACCCGGTAGTGGTCTGCTAATTAGGTAATTACTAGAGTTCTAGGTGGGTTTTTGTAGGTAAAGTTATTTAAAATATATTAAGATTTAGGGAAACAAATAAGAACTTTATTGAGGATTGAACTCTAAACTAAAAATTATTGAAAAACTAACCATTTTTTTATCAAAGTTTTAACCTTTAAAGTCAAATATTAGAAGTAATATTGGAAAGTAATACCATAGTCTAACTCCTTTACATATTCAAGCTCAAAAATTACTTCAAAAGCTAGACTAAATAAAATTTATCTTAAATACTATGTTTTTAACTATATATTTTTAATAAAGACACCTTTTTTTTACCAAAATTTTAGGTTTCTAAGTCAAATATTTTGAAATAAACAAAAAATACTTCATCCTCCTCAGCCAGAGTCAAACCCAAGGCCAAAAATTTAATATTAGTCTCTTTCAGCTAAACTAAGAACAAAAACTTGTCAGTTAATCATTTATTTTTAAAAAGCTTACTTTTTTAGCATATTTTGTAAGCTTTTAAGTCAAATATTTAAAAAAAAAAAGATTATCGTCCACTAAACTGAGTCGAACTCGAGCTTAAGCCTTACAATATTAAATTAAAAGCTACAGCGAACTAAAGTAACCCCTAAAAATAACCTTTTAACGATTTGTTTAAAAATTACGAGATTTTTGTATTTATGATTTAAGCTTTTAGGTGAAATATTAAAAAAAAATATACATTTCTAATAATTTTCCACTAAGCGTAATCGAGCCTTAGACCAGAAATTAAATTTCAAAGCTAAAATAAACTAAACTAAACCTAATTATAAGAAAATAACCATTTATTTTTAACAAAAATTATATATTTTAATCAAAGTTTCAAGTTTTTAGGTCATATATTTTAAAATAAAAAAATAATAGAAAATTTTCCTCTAACAGAGTCGAACCCCAGACCTAAAATATCATCAAAAAGATGAAATCAACTAAACTAAGTCATAAAATAAAACAATTAACAATTTAATTTTACAAAATTACAATTTTTTACCAAGTTTTAAGCCTTTAAATAAAATATTTTCCAAAAAAAGTGAATCACAGTCGAACCCCTTCCTAAACCATAACCCAAAAATGTCATTTAAAAGCTAAACTTGATAAAATATACCCCCTTTACATGGTTAACCCCATAAAACCACATACCTGTGACTGAGGTAATATCTTAAATAAAAGAAAGAAGAGGAAGAAAAACGAACTTTGGGGCAGGGTCAAAAACAACTTGGGCAATCTTCTTTCTTTCTTTCTTGGAATCCTAACTGTGTCGACAAGTTCATTCAGGCACAACAATCGAAAGGCGGACAACAACAATAAATTAGATAATTTAACAATGGGTTAAGCTTTTCAAAGGGGCGGGGATCAGAGAGGGGGCTAAGGGCACACTTATGACAGCTTTATGGCTGACCATGATTGGGTAGCCAATCGATCGATCAATATGGGTAGGGAATTATGTGCGAAATATCGAGTGGAGATGGACCCCTTTAGAGAGGGCAAGTAACTGTCGTGGCGGGGTCAAGCCACAGACATTAACACTATAGCCAAATGAGCCATAAAAAAAGGTGTTAAATAATTTCATTTCAACGTTATTGTTGCAACCAGTTGTTGTTAGGCCCCCCCTCCCATTATATGTTTTATGATTTTTTTTGGTTAATTTTTTAAAGGAAAGTGGCGAGGCAGGAGTGGGGGTGAGAGAGGCCTCTACATACATTTCGTTTTACATTTTTTTTTTGTATATTTTTTTTGTATATTTTTTTTATTTAAGTGCAACGGCGACATTCACTTTTTCATTCGCTAGTTGCTTTTTTTTTTTATTTTTTTTTTTAACTTCATGCTTTGCATGCCGTAATATATTTTTGTTATTTTTCGTTATATTGTGATTTTTCATTCATTTCCAGCTGTTTGTTTGGTACTGAATGGATATATGTAGTTATAAAGAGTTATAGGTTTATATTTATAGCTTAATAAATTATATATTTAATTATTTATACAAAATGCCTCATGCTTATCAGTTAGAGAAAGATAACTGCCCTGAGATAATCTTAATTACTTTCATACCTGTTGAAAGTATCAAGTATCAAGTATCATACTCTTGCAATTCTTTCAAGAACTCATCTTCTATATTGGTTGTGGAACTAAGCTCTTCTACGAGAGACGTCTCTTGGTAGAGCACCTTGTCAGTCTTCTCAGTCTCCTCAGCGGTATTCTTAATAGGTCTCTGGGTAAAAACGGCACTAAATTGCGGCTTTTGTCGCACAATTGGCTCGTTGTGGTGACCACTAGTGGCACTATGCTGGATCAACTGCTGACGTCGCATATAGCCCGATCCGCAAACGGAGCACTCGTACGCCTTGCAGACACTGTGCACAAACAGGTGGACATCCCGGTTTTCGGGAGCATTGAACGACTTGCCACATATCGGACAGCCAAAGGACTTGACCTCAGTGTGGGTCAGCAGGTGCTTCTTGTAGTTTATGGGATGACTGAAGGTGGCCTGGCACACATCACAGATCAGATCCCGTTCACCTTGGTGGATGGTCTTAACGTGCTGATCGCGCTCCCGTCGCCGGGCAAAGTGCCGATCGCATCCCGGCTCCGGACAGGCGAACTGACGCAGCTTGAGGTGGGTGTTCCGCACATGAGTTTCTCGATTGCAGCGCTGGGCAAACCGTGCCGGGCAATGTGGGCAGGGGAAGTTCCTGGCACCGGTATGGACGCTCATGTGATACTCCAGAGCATGCCGGCGTTGAAACACCTTGCCGCACGTGCCACAAGATAGGTCAGTGATGGTATCTTTGTTACTTGGATCCCGGTGTACGATACGATGGGCAGAGAGTTGTTTCAAAGTGAGATAGCTCTTCGGGCAGTGCCGGCATGCAAAGGGGAGCTGGTCCTCAGGCAGTGTATCCTCTGCTAGCTGCTGGACATCTTCCTCTTCGACTTCCGGTGGCTCTGATTCCAAGGAGTTGGTTCTTTTCCTCCGAAGTTGTTGCTTTTCGGAAAGAATGCAACGACGACGGAATCTTATGGCTCCCTCCAAGTCCACCATGCACGTTTGGCACATCCAGCCGGGCCAGTCCGAGTTCTGGATCAACTGTTGGATGTAATACATAGGTCTTAGAAAAGATATAGTAGCTATAGATAGTAAGGTTACCTCGATTCCTGTTATGGAGCGAATCTGTCGCAATAGATGTCCATTTTGTGGCAAAAATATATCGATTTTAGTCTCAGGACTCGAGCAAATACGGCAACAGCTCTGCGACATGGTTGGAGGCCACGATGTCCACCAGGAGCCTCACAAAAAATGGTGTCCTTTACCGTTAGAATCTTAATTGTGGATTCTAACAATGTTTTTCAAAGCATTTCGTGGTTTTTCACTTTTCCGAATGTCCTTCTTCGTTTCACACGCGTATTTATTCTAAAATCACAATCACTTTACTATTTTTAATTAAAAAAATACGAATTTAAATAAAAACTTGGCGTTCTGCGAAATGCTTTGATTCTATTCCAAGTTATCGATAAAAGTCCATCTCTAATTAGCAGCTCTGACAACTCTGCAGGAAAAAGGCTAGAAAAAAATACCAGAAATCGATATATTTTATCAAGTCTTTTGGCTTTAAACTTCATTGTAAAAATATATATAAAAATAATTTGTTTATTAATTAAACATTTATATTGAAATCTTTTAACTGAAACCAAATATTTTCTAAAAAATATACCGTTACGGTATTATTGCGCGTACAGCCGGCTTCTTATCGATAACCCGGACAGCTGATAATCCAAGCCATTTTTTAATTTTTGGTTTCTCCTGTTTTTGTGACGCCTAACGATTTTAGCCAAAAGAAAATGGGCAAACGACGCAGCCGTGAACGAGAACGGCGTTCATCCAGCGCCACCGACGAGGCGGTGGCCACAAAACCCAAGAAGAGCAAGCGCCGGGAACGCGACAACTCCAATTCATCGTCGAGCAGCCGCCACAGCAACAGCTCCGCCAAGAGCGACCACAGCAGTCAGCAGAAGAAACGGAACAGCAGCAAGATGGAGAAGTCAGAGAAGCAGGAGAAACGCTCCAAGCCCCAGCCGGCGGAGGAGAAACCAACGGAGGAGCTGCAAGAGCAGCGTTCCAAATGGGATAGCCCAGAACGGGGCAATTCCAGTCGCCAGAATGTGAAGCAACGTCGCCACAGTCATAGTCGTTCCAGGGAAAGGGAGAGGGAACGGGAGCGAGATCGTGATCGGGATAGGGACCGCCACGACCGTAGCGGACGGGAGAGGGAAAGAGAACGAGAACGGGAGCGTAGCAAGGAGCGGCGGCCCCGGAGTAACGATCGCCGGGATCGAGACAGAGATAGAGACAGGGACCGTCAGCGTAGATCCCCCGAAAGACGACCAGCCAGGTGGGCATTGTAATCCTTATGTTTCCATTCAGAACACCACTAATTCCATGAAATATTCCCCTTTCCAGACGCAGTCGTAGTCGCAGCCCTCGAGATCGCAAGCCGCGTGGTGGTCGCGACTTTGGACGCAATCGTAACCAGCGCCGGGACAACCGGAATCGCAACGACGACGAACAGTACGAGTGGGGCAAGCAGGGCGACGAGAAATCCCACAAACCCGACGACGACGAGCCCGTGGAGAAGGAGAAACCCAATTTCGGACTGAGCGGTGCCCTCACCGAGGACACCAACAAGGTGAATGGTGTGGTGGTTAAATACTCAGAACCTCCGGAGGCCCGCAAGCCCAAACGCCGCTGGCGTCTGTATCCCTTCAAGGGCGAAACGGCCCTGCCCACGCTCCACATTCATCGGCAGAGCTGCTTCCTGGTGGGACGCGATCGCAAGGTGGTCGACCTGGCGGTGGATCATCCCAGTTGCTCCAAACAGCATGCCGCCCTGCAGTATCGTCTGGTGCCGTTCGAGCGCGACGACGGCAGTCAGGGGAAGCGTGTCCGATTGTACCTCATCGATCTGGAGTCGGCGAACGGGACGTTTCTGAACAACAAGAAGATCGATGGCCGGAAGTACTATGAACTCATGGAGAAGGATGTCATTAAGTTTGGCTTCAGTTCCCGGGAATACGTGCTGTTGCACGAGAACAGCAAGGAGGACCAGGAGGACGATGATGTTCATATCAAGGACGAGCCCCAAGATGCACCTGCCGAGGAAGTTAATCCCTAGACATTATAGTTAATTGTGTTCCCCTTCAAATCCCCCATCCAAGATTTTTTATTTTATTTTTATTTTACTTAAATATTTTAGTTTTGTTTTAAAACCAGACGAATTGTAAAAAAAAACAAAACAAGATTATGTTCAAGACCGATGTTTGTAGAACACAGTTTTTCGTGTTCACTGCCACAAAAAATAAATTCTCACATTGTAAATTCTTCCAAAAGACCACGTTTTTCACATTCCGTGATCCACCACGTCTTTGTGGTAATCTTCTTCCGGAAATCGGATCATTCCATCTCGAACAACATGCGCTGGCAGTTGATGATCTTGTGGCTGGGCCTGGTGGCTGCGGCTCCGGTCAAGTGGCGTCGTCAGGTGGTGGCTCCCACTTGGCTGCTGGGACCTACAGTGCCGCCATCATCGCAGGTCGTCCGGGTGGTGGTCACCCAACAGAATCTACGCGAAGCTGCTGCTCTGAGGGCTCAGATACAGAAGGCCGTCAACGAGGATACCTTTGTGGTGGCTGCTCCACCAAGTCAGGTGAGTTTTTTTTTAAGGATTTTAGGGATATAGGAGATATAATATTTAAATTAAGTTTATTTTTGGTATTCTTTGGTGTTTTAATTAAAAATATTTTAAGATAATAAAGGTTTAAGTTTGTTTATAAAAATGTTGGATAGGTTTTGGAAAAATATCCCTTAAAAGAGGTTCTTTAAAGGGTTCTTGTTTCTTAAAATAAATCAATATTTTGATATAATAATTCAAAATATCAAAATATAATTAAATAATTCAAGTAAAATCTTAACAATTTTAGATAAATAATAAATAATAGAGATTTTATAAATATTATAAAGTGATTTTTAACGAAGTTGCTTGCAAATTAATTCAGTTAAAGTTTTTAATAAAAAAAAGTAGATGGAAAGGACTTCTTTAAGAAGGTTCTATAAAGGTTTTTACAGAAGTTTTGTAAATTTTGAGTAAATGATAATATGTAGTTTTTTTAAATGGAATTTTTAAAGATTTAATCGGTTTAAACTTCAGAAATAAAAGTATAACAGTATTAAATGAAATAATATTAGTTTTTACAAAGAAAACTTTGTTAAAAGATGATCTATAAAGGTCTTTAAAGACGTTTTATAAATTTTTAATAAATAATATAGTAATTTTTTTAACTATTCTCGAGTTATTTTTAAAGGCATTTTAAGGTAAAATCAATTAAAAGTATTTTTTAAAAAAATATATAGATTTCAGGAGGAAGTTCTTCAAAAGAAGGGTCCATCAAGGTTCTATATCTTGAAAATAAATCAATATTTGGAGATAATGTCTAATATTTCAAAAAGAATGTTTATAATTTTAAAACAATAATACATAATGGAGATTTGTTAAATACTTTTAAGTGATTTTAGAAGAAACCGTTTAAAGTTTAAATCAGTTATAAACTTGTATACTAAAATAGATGGAAGAACTTTTTTAAAGGTTCTGGAGAGGTTCTATAAAGGTCTTTTCTTTATAATGTTTTTGAAAGAGCTTAATGCATTTTGGATAAATCATAAAATATAGTTACTTTTTAAAAATATTATTGAGGGATTCGTAAATAAGAGATCCAAAGGACATAACTTTTTATAGAAAAATAGATAGATTTCAGATCGCACTTCTTCAAAAGCTGATAAAGTCTACCTTCATCTATAAATCCCTTTATAGTTCTTTAAAATAAATCAATATTTTAATAAAATCTTAATTATTTCAGCAATTTCTAAGCCAACTTGGAGGTCGAAGTGCTGTCCCATCCTTTCCCGTCTGGAACTTTACCATGTCCTGGCCCCAAATGGGATGATATATATCAGAGTCCTACCTATAAACCAACCCTGGATCAACGCTCGAAAAGGTGCTGTAAGCGTAGGAGCTTGGAGCCACGCCTTTTGAGGAACTAGAATAGCAGAATATCAGAAAAGTTATACAATATCCCGGAAATGAAAACATTTAAGCACCAACTAGCATTCGTTTAGATTTTATTTGTTTTACAATCCGAAATGAAATAGAAAACGTGTATCTTTCGGTGTATGTGTGTGTGTGTTTAGGGGTTACATGAATTAAACTACGGCTTGAAAACGATTCTAGCAAATTGTATCTTTTTTTTTTTGTCTCGATTTCTGTACACAATGATCACAAAAACAAACAAAAAAAAACAACGATTCTTAATTCACTAATTATTCAATTAATTCTAACACTAAATATAAAGTACAATGAACAAAAAAAATCAGTATATATATATTCTAAAATATATCGTATGTTAACCACTAGATAGTATATATATGTTTTGTTAAATATGTGTCTTTTTTTTCTTTAATTTTGTGGGGAATTTTTGCAAATCAAAGTTTACATTCAACATTTTTGGGGGTTTTCTGGCGACAACAACGATTTCCTTTTTTTTTTTTTGTAAACTAGCCCATATATATGGATATATAATATATATATATAATATAATATATTATTTCTAGGCGCAATATATCAACTTTATATTTTTTAAAAAACATTTCTTCGACATGTGGCTTTATAAGTTTTGTTCCCTTTGCAATGAAAAAACGAATGACAATTTGTATAAAACATAATTTTAAATAATAATTTACAAAAAAAAAACATGAAATAGTCGATATATACGACTATGGAATACCCAGCCCTCTCAAATATATATATCTTTATTATTTTATAGTTTATTTCTATAGTTTTTGTTTGGAAACCTATTTGGAATGGTTGTTGTTTCTTTAAAAAATGCCAAACTAAAACTAATTTGAGCTACAAATCTAAAAACAAACTAACTACTTAACAAAACAATTTATGAATTTCTATATAATTTCGAGGGCTAGGCTTTTACATAATTCAATATTTAACTTTTAATAAGAAAAAGTTTTCTAGTTCAGCTTTTGGGTTCACATTTAGTTGGGTATCTGTGAGTTTTTATAGTTTATAGTTTTAAGTTTAGTATTTTCGTAAGTTTTTAGCTTAAAGTGGGCTTTCCAGTTAAGATAAGGCGAGTCTGCTCTAGAAATAAGTGAACAAGATGAAGCAGCAGATGGTATAGGATGGCCAGGACGAGTCCTGTTTCAAAAAAAAAAAAAAATCAACTAATATGGCTTGTTATTTCTAAACGCTAACACAACAGGTGGCTAGTCTCTTGGTTGCACAAATATATATATATATATTTATATAAATACGGCGGATTAAATAAATATCTCGAAGCAGCTATGGGATGATATTGGATGCTAAATGGTTTATCGATTTTTTCGATTATTTTTTTTTTGGTTTTCTATCTAAAAAAATATTCAACGAGTCTTCCGATTGTCGCTGCTGTCTCCGGGATGCAAGTATAGCTCTCACAATGATGATGGACGATGATGGTTCTTATTATTAGCATATTTGTGATTCTGATCTGATCTGATCCCATGGTCTTATCTAACCTCATCGATATCCTCGCCCTCCGATGAGCTACGTATCGTATTGTACTGCGAATTGCGGCTGCGCAGCATTCGTAGGAAACTGCCCACGGCGAAGATGGTGCGTCGATGTCGGTGGAATATACCCTGGTATAAGGCCTCTCTCAGTGTCTTGCGATCCTCCACATCCACTGACGATGTCAGCGATGTTTGATGCGGCAAACGTGCTACGAATATACAAATCAAAACCATTTCATAAGTCATTAAAAATCGTAAAAATCGTAAACAGCACCGCCAATCGAATTATTCAAAAAAAAAAATATATATATATACATATATATATAAGAGATAAGAGAATTAATCTAGGGGGAAGGTCATCGCATTTGCGCAAACATTAAAGGCAACATGTGTACATACAATCTATATACATATATACATATATTATATATGCACACAAATATGCTAATGAATAAACAAAAAAAAGAGGCCAAACGTAATAGACTTGACTGATAATGAAACCGGAGCCATAGAAGCCGCAGAAGCCAAAGAATTTTCGTTGAAAACCGATAAAGCAAACACGGTTTGTAATTAAAAACAAAAAAAAAATATAAATATTATGCTATACGTAGAACCAATAGAGCTCAGGATCTAGGGGTTTTTTTTGGAAATATTTTTTCTTTCTAAAAATAAAAAAAGAAAACATTCTCCCGCGGGGGTTTTGAACTTGAACTCATAAATAACAAAGGTATGCAGCTTGCGTCAAAGAAAAAGCTAAAGTTCGGGCTCTTTTTTAAGTCTTTATAGGTATTTTAAACCTCGTTTTTAATTTAAAAAAAATTGTATATTATTTTAGAAGCTTTTATAGGTTTTTTTTTTTTAAAATAAACATTCTGTAGAGTTTTGAACCCGAACATCTAAATAACAAAAATAGGCAGCTTTCGACAAAGAAAAGGCTTAATTTTGTTGCATTTTTTAACTAATTTAAATCTGTATTATCATTTTAAAACTAGTTTTTAATGAGGACACAAATTTTAAGACTATTTTAGAAGATTTAAGAATTTTTTATAAAAAAAGACCATTCTTTCCTCAGGGTTTCGAACCCGAACTGTTTAATAACAAAATGTATGCAGTTTATAACTAAGAGAATACCTTACTTTGAGATTATTTTTAACTTATATGCAAGTGAATTTTACAAATATTTTTCTTAAAAAACAAATTATTTCTTCCTGGTAGTTCGAACCCTAAACTGATACATTTTTAGTAATTGCTGAAACTATAGCCTATTTTTAACTCATTTCTTAAAACGATATATAAAAACCCTTTGAAACTAGTTACCTTTAAAAATTCACAAAATTTGTATAAACTTTGTTTCTTAATCCGAAAAATAATTAAAATGTAAGCCCTAAATATTACAACAAACTTTCAACAAATTCAATTAAAACCTCTAACTATTTTCACAAAACTATAACTAGATTTTTTCTATTTTTTTACACTTTTTGCTGGTAACTGGAAATTTAATTGAAAACTTTACGGTGACGAAACGTAGTGTTGATATTTTGTTGATATTTATTCTGTTTTCGAGACCAAACTAATTAAGCTTTATGGAATTTGAGGCGTCAATTGAGGAGGCGCCAGGCTAACAAGCTCAATGATATATGTATAACCGGTTCCGGTTTCGATTCTCTACAATTTCTTATTAATATTTATGTATGCTATTCTCTATAAACAATTAAATTGGAGACCAGATGGACGGACTTACCAGCTATGGGCGATTTGGGTGATTTGAGGGAGAAGTCGTCGAGATTCTTGCCGCCCAGATCCAGTTTGAGAACCTTTTTGGTCAGCTGTTGGGTGGCCGCCTCCATGTTGCTGGTCTTTTCGATTTTAATATCGACATTACGCTGACTGACGGCGCTCTTGGTGGGCACAATGGCCATACCAGCCAATGGACCCGATCCCGAGCCAGGACTAACCGGTGAACTAGAACTTGTATTTGGATTTGGATTCGAGAGTTTAATAGCATCGCCGCCTGTTTCCTTGCCGGCATCCGTCATATTGTTATTTTGAATATTTTCAATTTCCACTTGAACTTCAGGATTACCTTCTTCAAGATCCTCTTCGAGATTAATCCTAATACTCGTTGTTGTTTGTTTAGAATCCTGGATATCTATCGGATTATTCGTAGTATCTTCCGGGGTATCTTCAGTAGCTTGTGTATCCCTTGGATTGTTATTATGGATAGCTACTTCTATACCGGTCTCTGTGATGGCTTTTAATGCTGCAGGTTCAACAATATTGTTACCAACAACCATTGTTCGCGAGAGCAAAAGCACCAAAGCTATTTTTTATTAGGTTTTTTATTTTTTTTTATTTGTATTTAGCATATAAACGATTTCCGCTGACGTGCGCGCGCCTTTCAGATTCGTTACGTTCTGTTTTCGGTTTTTTATTTTTTTTTCTTCCTATATTGTTCGGTTCGATTCGATTCTGTTCTGTTCTGGTGCTCTGGTGACTCTGGTGACTCTGGTGGCTCTGTTTGGCTCTGGGTACTCTCTATTCTGTAGCTCTACAGCTCTCTATCTATGTATTTTGTCTATCTATCTATCGGTTACGTTTCGATTCAATTTCCGATTGCCGCCAAATACCAAAAAAAAAGAGTCTAACAAAAAAATTAAAACAAAAAAAAAACAATTAAAGCTTCTCCCAAAAACTTAGTCTCTATTCGGTGGTCTGGCTTCGTTGGGTATTTGCAACTGAATGATATCGAAGCTGGCACTATAGAGCGCCACCTGTTGAGCGGTACAGTCGGTTAGCGTTATCTGCGGTAGTGGTGGGCGACGTTCACCACTTTCTCCGATACTCAAATGACTTAGGTTATCAATGATTTCGTAAATACACCGATGATCCGGTCCAGCACCATCAATGGCTGGTACTCGTGTGGCAATCGCTTCCAGAGTAACGGCCGTGGCCTCTACAGTGGCGCCCAATGTAGCTGAAGTGGCACCCAGGGTCTGGGAACTTGGCAATCGTGACTGGGATACTTGTTTCGCGTCCTCAGCATAATAATCACACATGCTATTCCCAGGAGATGAAGGAGATGATTCGTTCTTGACCTGCTGATCTTCTTCAAGTGGATGATAGTCGTTGTCCTCCGGATTCTCCTCCTGATCTTCTTGTGTCTTTAAATTTCGAATATCCACTCGTATTCCTGGCTCGGGACTAGTTCTCCTTTTAATCACCTTGCTCTTTAGACTCTTCAGTAAAGTGAGCAAGCGACCCGTCAACTTCTGGCCGGGAATAGCCAATGCCTGAGTGGATGGTGTGTCCAAGAATAAACCTGGCAATGGGGCCTTTATTGCATTACGTGGCGGCTCTAGCTGTTGCTGCCGGTGGTGGTGGTGGTTGTGGTGCTTTTGCCGGCCAATCGATTCCAGGTAGGCGATATTGGCCAGAACACCGTGCTCATAATAGCCACTGGCCAATTGCAAATAACCGTAAAAATCAACCGGTTGCTGATTCTGGTTGGGACTTTGTTGGGTTTCCGTGGTTGCAGCAGCAATATTATTAATATTTAGCTGATAATTGACGGCACGGTCGTTGATGTTGTCGCTACTTTGGCTTCGCCACCGATTGCTGTTCTTCCCATGGCTGCTACGACTGCTCCACGGACGACTATACTCAGTTTCACAATCGCTATTAGTTAACCCAATGATTCGGGATGACAACAATTGACGTTGCACCAACTGACGTAGCTGGGAACAGCTCTGAGAGCTACGGATGCGACGCACTGCGTCGTTATATGGCTCGTCCGGTGGCTCACCGGAGCACACTGTCCTCCGGCCGCGGCTCGTAAACGTATCGTCGAATCTGTAATTAGTGAAAGGCACCAATTAGTTAAAGGCAGGACTCGGACTCGGACTCCGGGTCACTCTGGATGGTTGAAAATAGAACTGCGCGTCCAAACAAAACATTAATTACAATGGCGAATGCAAACACGTACGACAAACAAGCGGGTAAACAATCCATTCCATACCCGCACCCCAAAAAAAAATATATACTCGTACTTTCATTTTCACTTTCACCGGAGCCCTAACCGTAGCTGTCCGTAGACCGTAGTCCGGAGACCGTAGTCCGGAGTGGTCCGGGTAATATAATTAAAAAAGCCAACCCTCTGGGGCAAAGAACTGACACTGCCACTACTTACTACTCGGAGGGCTCGGAGTCGTCCTCTCTTTTGTTTGTCGAGCTTTAATTTTTGTTACAAAAAATGAAACAAACGATAAAAAAAAAGGCAAATTATTGGGTTACGAGTTCAAGGACTTCCTCTATAAGGCTTGTATTAAAAATAAGGAGCCTCGAGGGAGATTTTTTGGCAAATTATTACTTAAATAAACTAAAGAATCTATCTGTTAGGGTAGATTTTTATTTAATAATTCTCTAGAGACATAATCCTTTTTTTGGCTACGCTTCAAGGGTAGTTTCTAGTCTACAACAGCGCCCTCTATAAGGCTAATAATAGACTTTAGCGATAGTAGAGCTATTCTGCGGAAAAAATTTAACTGAAAGAAACCATTTATTAAAGGATATTTATATTTCGTAACCCTTTAGAGACTGTAGAACTAGTTTCTAGTGCAAAATAGCGCCCTCTATAAAGCTAATAATAGATTAAAGAGTTTCTAGAGAGATTCCTTTGAAAATTTGTATATCCTTTGAAGTAGAATTCTATTTAAAAATCCTCTAGAGGCATAATCCTTTGTTTTTTGGAGATTTTATAACTAATTTCTACTGCACAATAGCGCCCTCTATAAAGCATATAATACTCAAGAGGTTCTAGAGGTTCTAAATAAACTAAATAAACTATGGATTGAAGAAGATATTTAATATAATATTATTTATTTATATTTATAAACATATTTATTAGAAATCTTTATATTTTAGTACTAGTGCACAATAGAGCCCTCTATAAAGCTAATAATAGACCGAAGAAATTCTAGAAAAATACTAAAACGTTTCCCATCATTTAAAATAGATTTTTCTTTTTAATAAACCCCCAAAATCCTTATACTATTTATAAGATTACTTCAGAACCTATAGCATACTTCTAAACTAGCTATAGACATGAGTTTTAAGAATTTTAAACACAAAAGCGCCCTCTATAAGCCCAAATAGACTCTAGCAAGCAAGATAATCCATGAAAACCAAGTCTATTAAATTAAATTCCCATCTAATAATCCCTCTGAAGACATAATCCTATTTATGGTTTAGACTTTTCAACTCGTTTCCCACAAACAAGTCTCAGTTTCAGAAAATTTTCCCCAACTTCTTGGTTCCCCTTAATTTGTGGGGAAAAGTTTAGCAGCGTTGCTCCTTAATGGAAACTTTAGGAAATTGATAGTTCATTAGCAAAGTCCTGGGCACCGTAATTGCCACAGAAACACAGTGGCTGACAGTGTCGACTTGAAGACATTAAAATAGCATCGCATGCATCCTGCGGGAGGACTCCTGCTTCTGGTGCACCGGTATCCGTATCCGGATTCACATCCGTCCGCATTTTGTGGTTCAACCTCCTCCTTTACCATACTTTCCTTTTATTTTTTTAATTTTTTTTCAGAAACAGACTTTTACTTTAACGAAAGCCGGTGGTCGCTGACGTCAGTTTGCCGCTGACGAGAAGCCAAGGCCGTGTAACTTGAGATGCGGCGGAAATTTCACGCCAACCGCAGCAGATAGCAACCCAACCTATATTTATGGCAGCAACTGTCAAAGAGCCAGCCCCCGAACCCCCAGACACGCCCATGTCGCATTTAAATTGCTTAGGAGGTGCACATCAAGAAAATATTTTATTAGTTTTTGGGGGAAATTAAATATCAATATTTATACCCGGTACTAGGGAGGAAAATTTTCATAATTTGTAATGCTTTAGGATATTTAAACCTTATAAGTATGAGCTATTATACTTTAATCTAATAATACATATGTTTAATACTAGAAACTCAAAAGTATGGGTTATCTTTCTTTGAAAAAATATATATACCCGGTACTTGGGATGAAAATAATCTAGAATATTGAAAGCTTTAGGACCTCAGGACTTTATAAATATAAGGTATTATTCTTCAATCCAATTAAACAAAAGTTTAAAGCAATATGCTTTAAAAAAATGTGAGGAAAAAACTTGTGAGGAAAAAATGTGGGAATTTCGAATGCTTTAAGATCTTAAGAGCTTAAGAATATGAATACACCTCATTATCTATTAATATGTTGAAAAAAATGATATTCCAGAGAATTAGAAGATAAAGAATATCTTCCTTAAAAAAAATAATAATACCCGGTACTTGGAAATAAATAATTTTTAGATTTCTATTCATTTAGAACCTTAAAACCTTAGGAATCGGAAACACCCACTTAAAATAAACTACCCTACCAACCTAAATATCTAATACCTCAACTTTTAGCTCCCCAATTTCTCTCTCTGTAGACCCAATGCTAATGATACTACCTGGGAAAGTTGTGAACATGGGTGGGCCATACATCGCGGAACCGCACACATGCCGACGCTAATGAGCTGCCGGGCACTCGAGTTGTTTCCGATCCGTAAGGACGACGTCGCCTTCTCCGACGCTGGCCACCGGCATTCGAGATATGGTGCTGCTGATGGAGATGCTGTTGCAACTTGTAGTCCCGATAATGGTTGGCCACCTCATGCCGATAGCGTTCGGGACGAAAACACTTGGTGTTGTAGACCCTTTTCATGGTCAGTCGTGGCGTAAACTGGCGGCCCATACCCAGAGGTATGCCCTCGACGATCAGGCCATTGCCGGCGGATGAGCACATCTGGTGTCTGGTTAGCGGAGACAACCGGCCCGAAGTGGACAAAAGAGGACAGAACAATGGCAGACAGGATGGAGGACTTTGGTCCTTTTTTTTTTGTAGAGACCGCTAGCTGAAGTTGCCCCGCGGAGGCAACGAAGCAAACTACACGAGTTGACATTGATGGCACCTCCTCCATCGACAGCGACATCGACATCGACATCGTCATCGTCGTCATAGACCATTGTTGCACGGGATGAGCTGGGTAGCGGTGGCAAGTAGTGGGGGCAAGCAGTGGGGGCAAATACTAACGGAATGCCAATGGGGCGCATCAAATTATGTACATTTATTGAACAACCGAACAATAGGAACTCTCTGTTGGCAACAAGGGTTTGCGGTTATTTGTTATCACGTCAGGCCGCGATTTGTAGTCGTTTGTTCGACATTGCAATGAAGCAATAAACCAAGGTCTTTTTCAATAGTCTCGAAGTTGGTAATACCTTTGGAAACAAATAGTTCATAAAGTCAAGATACTCCTTAAAAAAAACAAGCATACTTTCTAGGGCTTCATGAAGGGCTTAATGAAAAACTACCAAACATTATACCTTTAAATATACCCTCTTATATATCCATTTCAGATTCCCAACAAACACACCCACTCCTCCACTCCCACTCTACTCCTCCAATCAAAGCCCTCTCGGTTAAGTGGGTGTGGGCGGCGGGCGGTGGCTCTCAATAGAAAAATTAGTAGTATTCATGTCGTTAACCATTGTAACTGGTACATCTTTTGTACCCCTTCGACCATCAGCTCCAATTTGCATATTTCGGCTCACGATAAACAACGTTGAAATACGGCTAGCAGTGTCATCGGAAAACGTTAGAAAGGAACCACTGGCATATAGCAGAAGCCCGAATACCCTTTTTCGAATCACGAAGTGGAGGTTCAATATCTTTTCTAATTTTCATCAGATTCTCAAGAGGAATACCTCAAACGATTTGTGATTGGATTCTCCATCATTCTGCATCAAAACCTGACAACAAAATATTTTTTGGATTTTTTTCCAAATTTTCCTGGGGAGACCCCTTCAAAAAGTGGGTTTTTGGCTTATAGCCCCCTGGGAAGGCCATATCTTGGCCAATTCTGATCCGATTCTTGCGAGGAATACCTCAAACGATTTGTGATTGGATTCTCCATCGTTCTGCATCAAAACCTGACAACAAAATATTTTTTGGATTTTTTTCAAAATTTTCCTGGGCAGACCCCTTCAAAAAGTGGGTTTTTGGCTTCCAGCCCCCTGGGAAGGCCATATCTTGGCCAATTCTCATCCGATTCTTACGAGGAATACCTCAAACGATTTGTGATTGGATTCTCCATCGTTCTGCATCAAAACCTGACAACAAAATATTTTTTCGATTTTTTTCCAAATTTTCCTGGGCGGACCCCTTCAAAAAGTGGGTTTTTGGCTTATAGCCCCCTGAGAAGACCATTTCAAAGTACGTTTATCTTTTTTAAAAATTAAGAAGTACCTCAAGGAAGGGTATAAAACTGGACTGGGCTAGGTTCAGAGCCGCCTGTTGGAAAAGTCGTCGACACCCTGCTCAGGTCCCTGGCACCCGCCCACGCCCCGTAATTATAATTTTGATAGATGTATCTACATATTGATAGGAGTGTGAGTTTTTTTTTCTATTTTCTATATTCTACTTATCTATTCAGGCATGAGCAAAAAATTGACGAGTTGACATTCGAATAAGTAAATAAATGTACATATGTACGAAAACAAAAAAAAATACAGTGATACAGTGAGTAGTCATTGAAATTCGTGGGCATATCGGGGGATATGAGTGCAATATATGACAGTTGTATGATTGAAGTGAACATGGGTTTTTGCTAATGCACTAAACCATTATCGGAAATGTCAGCCCGTGTGGTATATGGAGAATATTTCTAGAATATTATTAAACTTTAAAAGTTCTAAATTGAATCAAAATGATTTATTTCAATTTTTGATTACAATGCCATCATGCAATACGGAAGAGGAGAATCATAAAAGAGGCCTTTAACAAGGACCGACAACGATTTGAGTGAAATTAATGCGTCTGCATGTGTATTCTCTTGTTTGTGGCGATTTGCCATCAATCAATCAATCAATCAATCAACAGTTGAATCAACAAGAACACGCTTCTACCGGCTTCAATGGCCTGTTTTTTTTTTTGTTCAAACGGAATAATTTATATGGTAGTTTTTTATCAATTTTTTAAACGGCTAAGGACTGAGTAACTTTAATTTTTTGTATAAAATATAAAAAACATCATTAAAAACCTTCAAAAAGGTCAGCCATCTTAAGTTTATGGAATTAGAGGCTAAGTAACAGTGTTGTAAAGGGATATTTCATTTCACAATAAAGGATCTTAAGTTTAATAAATAATAAAAGTATTGGAAAACTAAATATAATTTCATGTGCTTCTTATTAAATATTTTTATTAAAAAAGGATTTTATATTTAAGAAATATACATATATTTCAAACTAAATCCTTAAGTTTAAATGCTTCAGCTAGTGTTGAAAAATGATCTATGATTCAATAAACTTCTGCTTCTTTCAAGACAGGATCTAACCTTCTAAAAAATGAAAAATAAAGTGCTTTAAAATTAAATATGATTTAATGGGCTCTATTAAATACTGCAGACATATACAGCTGTGTTCACTAAAATAGCAGTGCAATAGCAACGAAGTAAAAGGACGGTAATTTTTGCATTTTCCTTTTCGTTAGTTCATCGCTTGATCATTATTTTTGTAAAATGGGATATAGAGATAGGAAAACTAAAAAAATTTCGTAAGATTTGCTTTTTATTTGCGTTTTCTGGGCATTTTTGTTCAAAATCACAAGTTTTTGGCTGTTCATTAAAATAGCAGTTTTTCATTTTGATCCCCAAAAAGCGCCGAAAACATTAAAAATTAGGTGAAAAGTAAGTTTTCTTAAGTTCATTTATTTAATTTAAATGAAAATACACAATAACCATGCAAAAATGTTCATTTTAGTGGGTAAAGGACACCACTGTTCAAAGGAAGAGAGGAATTTGATAGTTTAGCTTAGAAAGCAGGAAAAACCCTATAAAAAATCTAAAATACGGTACATTTTTCTGCCAAAATGGTATCCAATGCCATAAAATATGAGGGGAAATCCGAATCACGTGGGTCCAAACGAAAAACCACCGATATTGGGGGCCGAAGAAAGGTGCGCTTCAGCAAAGCGAATCCTTTTGCGTCTTCTATGGCTGTTAAAACGGTCCTGAAGTTAAGGATCAGCGTCGTCACCATTCGCCGTCGATTAGTAAATGAAAATATAAATACGCGAAGCCCACGAAAGGTGCCATTACTTGGTACAAGGCATATCCATGCTCGATTGGAGTTTGCCAAAAGCCATTTGAAGTGGCCAGTGACGAAATGGCGCAATATTCTTGGGATAAATGAGTCCAACCTGGACTTGTTTGGTGGGACAGGCTCAAGACAGTATGTCTGACGACCCTCAAACACTGAGAACCACCCAAACCCCACTTTTAAGACCGTTATGCACGGTGGCCCTAAAATATTGGTATGGGCTCGTTTTTCGTACAGTGGCATGGTCCCATACATATGATGGATGGGATCATGGACCAAGACGTCTATGTCGACATACTCAAAAAAGTAGTGCTTTCTTATGCACAGTGAGATATGTCCTTAAAATGGACGTTTCAGCAGGATAACGATCCAAAAAATACCAGCAAATTGGCTAAGAGTTGGGTTAGTCAACCAAACATTGATGCAATGTCGTGGCCAGCACAGTCGCCGGATTTAAATCCGATTGAAAATTTATGGGGGGACATCAAGGGATATGTGGCAAAGAAATATCCGACTTCAAAACCGCAGCTTTGGCAATTTTTACAGGACGAGTGGGCCCAGATTCCCCTCAAGCGTTGCCAGGACTTGGTGGACTCCTTGCCACGTAGGTGTGAAGCTGTTATTGCCAATAAAGGCTTTACGACAAAATATTAGTTTATATTTATAATTTCTGTTGTTTGTATTAATTAATTTTTAAGATTAAATGAATTTCTTAGATTTTTTTGGTAACACTGCTATTTTAATGAACAGCACATTTTGTCGATGTTATTTTGTTATTGTCTATATTTTCAAAAAAAACGCAGTAATTAGACTGAAACAAATGTTAACATAATTAAAAATAAATATATTATGTGGATGTAAACCAAATTTGTCCCATTTTGGTGTTTATGCTACGATTTTTCGATCTTAAACATTTATGTCATGAGCACTGCTATTTTCATGAACACAGCTGTATATATATATTTTGATATTTACTTGCCTCCCCCTCAAGCCCCTTGAATGTATGTGCGTGCACAAATAATTGGCGTGTTTATTTGCGGCGGAAAGGCGGCGAAGGCAGGCTAGAACACAATTGTGCCACAAAGTAGGCAATGCCAAATGAGGCGCAAAAAGGGTTGACCGGACAGGTGGGGGGTGCAGGGATTCTAGGGGGTTCTAAGCCATAGAAAATGCCACTTGAATATGAGTTTTTTTTTTTTTTTTTTTTTTTTTTTTTTGAAAAACCATGCACAATTAGAAATTGTGCTAATGCTAATGCGCCTTTCCCAACGAATGACAACATGTGACATATGTGTGTGAGTCACTTGTGTGTGTTTCTGTTTGTTTGTTTATTTGTGTGTGTATTGCCCTTTCACTCACTCATACAAACAAAGGGACCCTAAGCCGCCGAAAGGTTTTCTGTTTTTCTGCTCCACTTTGACACAAAAGCCAAAAGCAACTGTCTGTGGAAAGCAGGGGCAGAGCCAAGGGGGGCTTTTGTTTTTCTTAAAACTTAAATACTATAAGGGGGTGTTTTTTTGTTTAATATTTCAAGGTAAAATGGCTTCTTTTGAAGAAACTAATGGTCCTATAGGTCATATTTTCAATAAGAAATTTTAGAACCTTAAAAATAATATTAAAATTAAAGATTTAAAAAAATATTTATATATTTTTAAAATTAATTTTAAACCAAAAACCCCCTTTAAAAAGTCCTGCCTACACCACTGGTGACACACTTATTGCGCCTTATCACACACACACACACACACACAGTTAGAACACACAAACAAAAAAATGGTGAGAGTGGATGAGCGAGAGAGAGTGGCACGTAGGCCTTTTCACTTGTCGGTCAATAAACCGTAAGGAAACTGCGATGACAGTGGTGCCGTCAGCATCAGCAGGCATCAGTATCAGCATCAACAGGAAGAAACATTGCATTGAATAATTAATTTGAAACGGAATGCAAACGTTGTAAGACAAAAACCGTCACAGGTTCTGGTTCTCTGGTTTCTGGTTCACGTTCTGGGGGAGTCCCCCTGCCCCTGCCAAGTAAACCGTTCTTATTGATTGCTTACCACGAAAGTAATATACCGCTAGGTGGTCTGCAACATCTGGCCAAAAGGTCCTTTGCCAAGCCCCCACCACAACTCAACGTCAACGATTGTGTTGTGCTTGCCTTTTTAATTATCAAAATTTTAGCAATGACTACGGTATGTTTTTTATTTTTTTTTTTGAAAACTCAGCTGTGCCAGCGCTTCCGTTCAATTCACTTTCGTTCGACAGTAATACGGTCAAGTGTGGCAAAACACCTGCACACGACGCTCCACTTGTTTTGAATTTGTCCTAGGGATGTCGAAAGTACACATTCCTATCGAATTATCGACATCGACAAGAATATACCAAAATCTTAGTATTATTTCAGTCAAATAACGTATATCGATATATTTATCTATAGTTTTTAGCACATCACTATCCGCTGCCTCTGTTTGCCTTAGGTTAGAGATGAAAGCAGTGATTTCATGCCACATCGATAAATCAGTGCTGGAAAATGCCAGACAAATATCGATAAATTTTTAGCTATGCTCAAAAAATAAAATACTGTTAAAAAAGGCTAAAAATTCAGATCCTAGAATGAATATAATAGCCATTAATTTTACTGTAAAATATGTATACTTTTCGTAACAGCCATTTTTATATTCTGTTATTCTTCTGTTAATATGTTTTTTTATGCATAATTTTAAAATTTATTTATTTTTATAATTTTCCAACAATAAATTTTAAAAGAAAGCCCTTTTGATTCCTTTAAATAAATATAAAAACAAAATAATATTTCACTTTAAAATCTAGAAGAGCTGCCAACCTTTCACAACTAAATGTCATTTGACGTTTTCCCACACTGTGTTTGGGTAGTCCCTTTCTCTTCTTCTTTCAACATTTCCTGGCGCGTCGTTTCATTTCTTTTTCTGTGAAATTTTCCGACGACAAGTACAATTTTCATCTTGTATTAATTTTCAATCGTCAGAAAAAATGAATCAATATACGCCCACGGGGCATTTGGAGACGCCGGATGCGGAGCAGTTTGGATTTCCCTATGAACCATATGAAATCCAGAAAAATTTGATGCAAGACCTCTTCAAGGTGCTGGAGAAATGTGAGGTGGGCATCTTTGAGAGTCCCACCGGCACCGGTAAGTCTCTGACCCTCACGTGCGGGGCACTCACATGGCTGGAGCGCCACCATAAGCTGGTCAGAAACGAACTGGAGGAGAAGGTCGAATCGCTGGGTAACGAACAGAAAAAACTGGATCTGGATGGCCAGGAGGTCAAAGATTGGTTGGCAGTGCAAGGCCGGTCTCATCAGGTGGCACGCGAACTGAATCGTTTAAAGTATCTCAAGACATTGCTGGACCTCAAGGATTTCCATATGAAGGAGGTCGACAATCGTGTTAAAATTTATGCCAGAAAAAGAAAAATTACAATTCCAAAGCCCAAGCTGGATAGTTTGGAGAAAGACAATGACTCTGATACGGATAATGAGACGGTGCACGAAACTAAGGATGAAGAGGATCCATCACAAGACCATAAATTCCGTTCAGCGCAGGTATTTTTCTGCAGCCGCACCCACTCCCAATTAGCCCAGATTTTGACGGAAGTCAAGAAGACTCGCCACCTCGACTGGGTGCGTTGCGTATCGCTGGGCTCCCGCCAGCAATTGTGCTGCAACAAAGAAGTTCGGGCCCTCAAGAGTGTCAATCTAATGAATGAACGCTGTTTGGACCTAATCTCCAAGTCCAAGGCATCCGCATCCGCATCCGAGACGAGTAGCAAGAAGATCCGCACCAGCGACAAGCCCAGTGGATGTCCATTAAAGCGTCAATATCTCGTTGAATCTCTTAGTGAATTCGCACTGACTAAACCGATGGATATCGAGGATTTGGCCGCCGAGGGAGCTGCCACCGGAGCCTGCGCCTATTACGCCTCGCGAGCTGCTCTACATGATGCCGATTTGGTACTGCTTCCCTATCAGTTGTTGCTGGATAAATCGGCACGCGATCAGCTGGGCATTGATTTGAACGGTTCCATCGTTATAGTTGATGAAGCCCACAATCTACTCGATACTGTGTCTCAGATACACGGCGTTGAGATAACCAAACAGGAGCTGGAATTCGCCAGAAAAGAGATGATCGATTATAAAGATCGGTATAAAAAACATTTCAGTCCCCCCACTATGCTGAAGATCACCCAACTGATTTTCATAGCCAAGATCCTGATCGAGGTGTTGAACACCACCGATGTCTCAACAGTGGTGGATACTTCTGCTCTCACCGGCAGGGGAGAGTTCTTCCAACTGGACATAGCCGGTCTCATTCAGTTTACGGAAAAGAATCGTTTCGCCCGTAAGGTTCAAACCTTGACCAAGAAGCTTCAACAGAAACCCGAACAAGATGAAAATGTCGAACCGACAACATCGGCCCGTAGCCAGATGCTCCAGAAACTGGCCAAGGAGCAGGTAGAAAAGGAACAATCGAAGCCGGGCAAGCGTAAGCTACAAGAGATGAAGTCCAATGATGAAAACCAGCCAGCCAGCCAGATGCTCCTGAAACTGGCCAAGGAGCCGGAAGAGCAGGAACAACCGAAGCCGGGCAAGCGAGCGCTGGAAGAGATGAAGACCAATGTACCATCGGATGAAACCATCAAGGTGAAGAAGGTCAACCCACCAAAGAAGTCCACAGAACCCTCGCAGGTGCGAAAGTACTTGGCATTTCTGGCCACACTCTTGTACCCGAAGGAGGATGGCAGGATAATTGTGAGCAACCAAGGATTTAAATACTTCCTCCTCGAGCCGGCGGATAAATTTCGAGATATAATCCAAATGTCCAGATCAGTAAGTATGGATTTCCAATCCCCATCCGCCCTAGTAACCGTTTTCCATTCGCTCGCAGTTGATAGTCGCCGGTGGAACCATGAAGCCAACCGAGGAGTTGAAGGAGCAGCTTTTTTCCAGCTGCTACAGCCGCATAGTTGAGCATTCCTACAGTCATGTGGTGCCGGACAATGCTGTCCTGCCATTCGTGATCACCCAGGGTCCCATGGGAAACAACCTGAGGTACAATTTCGTCCAACGAGGCACTACAGTAATGGTACGAATGCACAGGATTGACAAGATGTCCTGGCAGAAAATAATATCCGTTTGATTTCTCTTTCAGCTTATGGAATTGTCCATGGTACTGCAGAATCTATGCCAGGTGATACCCGGAGGATTTGTGTGCTTCCTACCTAGCTATGACTATCTGGAGGATGTTTATACGCATCTGAAGTCATCTGGAGCTCTGGAGAAGATTTCGTGGCACAAGAAGATCTTCAAGGAAGAATCGGGATCTGTGGAACAGCTCCTAGAACAATATGGCATCGCGGCAAAGGACAAAAAATCTGGGGGTGCCCTCCTGCTCAGCGTTGTTGGCGGAAAACTCTCCGAGGGTTTAAACTTTACGGATGACCTGGGCCGAGGCGTTCTGGTTGTGGGCCTACCCTATCCCAATCGCAACTCTTTAGAGCTGCAGACAAGGATGTCTCACCTGGATGTCAAGCTGGGCAAGAGATCTGGAGAAGAGTTCTATGAGAACATCTGCATGAAGGCGGTGAATCAGTGCATCGGCAGGGCCATTCGTCATATCGGCGACTATGCATGTGTGTATCTCCTGGACGAGCGGTATGCCTGGAAGAATATCCAATCGAAGCTACCGAATTGGATTGCCAGTCACATTGTAGAGGCGCGATCGAACAACGGAGGCTTTGGACCTGTCCAGGCCCGTACGGCACGGTTCTTTAAGGGCCGTGAAAAGCAGTAAAAAACCCATTGGGGTATATATAGTACAAATCACAATCTCAAAGGGAATAATATAATTATTCCAAAATGTTAATTGTTATGAAATTTTTTTTTGGCTTGTTCTTGATTATTTTTTAAAATAATAGACACCATTGTACCTTTTTCCAAATTTATAGTATTATTACTATTCTGGTATTATTATTTTATAATCTATATTAATTATAAAATTATATAATTATTATTTTATAATCTATATTAATTATAAAATTGAATTAATAAAATTATACTTTAATTCAAACAAAGAAATTAGTTTTTTATTGAATTATAAAGTTTTATTCTTTAAATTTTATTAGTGAAAGTATTTAAATTAATAAATATTCTTTTAAAATATTTAAAAGCCTACATATTTCAGTGAGAAACGTGTTTTTTTTTTAGATTTTATTAATTTTATATATTTAGGTAGTAAAATGAACAAATTAAAAAAACTTTACATATTTTTAATAGATTATTATTAGATATTTTGAAAACTATTATTTGGAACTATTATTCATATTATATTATTCAACTATTATTCATAGAAAAGTGATATATGAATGTGCATAATTGTCTAAATTACAAAAATAAATATTATATTCAATCAATAAATAATAATACAATAATAATTCAAATAATAATTCAATTCAATAAATAATTTCAATCGCTTTTTCATTGAATTCTCGTGTGGGATGCACATCTTTTCGGTATTTTTGATATTTAATACCATTTATTAAAGGCAAATCTTTTTTCAAAGAATTCAAGACAATTTCTAATATAATTTTAGTCATATTTGTTCTCTTGTCTTACCAGAACCTTGCTATTAAAATATAGAAAACAAATAATGCACAAATATGAATTTTACTGAGCTACATAGTCAGGCCACACTGTAACAATCGCAAGTTTTATAGATGCCTATCGATAGTACTTCAAGTATTAAATTTTTTAAAAGATTTAAAATATATATTCAATATTAAATAAAGTTTATATTAATGATTTATTTGGTAGGATATAATTATCTTATTATATATAAACTTTTAAAATTTTATTCCTTAAAACATTATTTATAAAATATATCGATAGCTATAGCTATGTAACTATAGAAATACCTTTATCGATAATCACTTGGACGTTACTTCCACCTCTAGTGGTTTCGGTTCCGAGATTCTCCACTATTTTAAGAGTTGAAAAGTCTTTTCTAAATTAAACTGAACATGTAAATCGCCATTGAATCGGGAATCGGGCTCGGGAATCAATAATACGCTATTAAAAGGTGTGAAATACAGCTAATTGTGGCCCTCTAACTGGGCCCTGTGTGTATATGCGTTCAGTGGGAAGGCGTTTTTCTTTTTTTCTGCATTTGTTTGTCCTTTTTTCCACTCGTTTAGCAAATATTTGCTAAAAATAAAAACACATTCAAGAATAGCCAAGTTCAAGTATAAAATTCCACTTATTTGATGAATGGAATTCATTTAATTTAAAGTTTTTTCTTTTTATTTACACATCACATGTGCGTTCCTTGATAAGGGAAGGGTGCTGGTACTTCTTCGTATGGTACTATGTGCGTGTGAGTGATTCTATTATCATCACCAACGAATGCAACAAAACCAAAAAAAAAAAAACAACAAAAACAATAAACATGAGTCACCGCCATTGAACAAATATTTATTGTTAATAATCATATTCCTCGACCGATAAAAAAAAAAAACAGAAGAAACCGAAAACTACAACGACGCCAGTCGAAGAATTTCTAGTGCCTCGAATTACAAAAAAAAAAAAAAGAAAAACCTGAAGAAGTAGAAGGGGAGCCTGGGCATGCAACTCCCCCCGCCCTTACACTAGGAGAAATTTTTGAAAAGAAATACCTAAGATTTTTTAGTTTATAATCTTATCTTATACTAAGTTTTGTTTTTTATTTTATAGCCTCAATAAAAAATTAAGGTATAAAAAAAATAATAGAAAAACAAATAATAATAATTTTTTATGGTGTGTGTGCTTTTTTGTTTAAAGCGGTTATTCTCGTTAGTTGTTGTCGCCATTGTAGTTGTTATTGTGTTTTTAGTTTCTGCTGGCAAACTCGTTTTGCTTGACTTTGATACTAAAACTACAAAAAAAAACAACAAAAAAACTACATAAATCCCCAGCTATAAATAAAAACTCTCGACGAGGAAGAGACCTCCGAACTGGCACAGACATTTCTACAAAAAAAAAAAATATATATATATAATATTTAAATCTGAATTATCAGCAAATAAAAACAAAACCAGCTTGCAATTGCATTTTATAATTATGCAAAAAATAAAATAAATAAAAAAAAAGAGTTCAAGTTGCAGTTCCTATATATCGTTATCGATAGTCTGCTCTCTCTCTCTCGCTCTCTTTCCAATTCTTTCTTCTTGTTTACTTCTTAAGACTACGCTACAACTCTTTGATGAATCCCCATCCTACCACGCCTCCTTTACGCCTACCCGTTGTGCAGTTCTTGCACTTTGCACCCTACAATTGGGGCATATTAGTTGCGTCAATTTTTCTAATAAAATTTAAGACATATTTTTATTTTTTTTCTTAAAAGCTCGAATTTTTTTATTCAAATTTTTCAAATTCCTATCCCTAAGATATAGCATCTTAAAGATAAAGTATCTACAGGTCGGTAGTCTAGGATTTTGCTTGTCTCTCTCTCTCTCTCCGCTACTCTGCCGCGAGAGAGGGCGTGGGAGAGCAAAAGAGAGCACTGTTTGGGGCCTGCCGCTGGCACGGCTTGTTCTCGGTCTCGGTTCTAACGGTTCATTCTCTCTTCGAAACTCATCGAGTAAGGTTGGTTTTTGTTGCGGCGCGTAGGACGTTCAAAAAAAACAAATATAGCGAAATAGAAGAGGAAGAGATCCAGGAGGCGCAGGAGTTTCGCAAAAAACGGAACAAATCGGAAACGAAACGGGTCGCGGCTCGAAACAAAACGGTAAATGAAACAACGCCCTGGACTCGACGTTAAATCCTCTAAAAAAAAAACTGATTAAAAAACCAAAAGATCGGCATTACGTGATAACCTTTAAAAAATAAACAAAAATTAACAAAAAAAAAAAACAAATCGGTACCGGGTGGAAACAAAATATTATTTAAAAACATGTGCCGGATGTAAGCTCCAGAAAAACAATAATTAAAAAAATCAAAACAAACCCCAGGCAATAGTTGTATGAGTGTCGTCCTTTGTTGTCGTCCTTTTTTTTTAAAAAATTTTTTTTAAATCTAAAAAGAAAACCCGCATTTCTACAATCTATGGCTGAACTTCTATAATTTTTTTTTTGGTTGTTTTCCAAAATTTTTTTTTTGGGTGTGTGAAAAGTGAAAGTGAAAATTTAGAGCAGCGTACAGGACGCGTTTAAAGAGAGAGAGAGAGTGTGTGTGAGAAAAAGAGACCTAGTAGAGAGTGGGTGTGAGAGCATGCGTTGTTGTTGTTAAAAGGACAACGCTCTCCCCCGCAAACTGCCACCGTGTTCTCTCTCTCTTGCCGCATCTCTAACGCTCTCTCTCTTGTTTTTTTTGGCTTACAGCCGTGTTTGAAAACGCGCTCTCTCTCAGCGGCGTGTTTTGTGACGTCAAAAGCAGCGACGTCCTTCGCTGGCAGACACTCGCACGCACACACACACAGACGCACACACGCGGGCGCGCACAAACACCGACACACCGACACACACACACACGTGCAATTTACACACAGACACAATACACAATACACGCACGCATTGAGAGAAAATCCTGCCACCCCTCCCCCACCGCACCCGCACCCGGGAGCAGTGGTGTGTAGAGTGAGAGAGCGAGTCCTTTGTGGCCGCGCGTGCCGTGCATGTGTGTGTGTGCACTAGTACAACTACAACGGTAAAAAAAAAAAACAACAAAACACAGGAGGAAAAGAAAAGAAAAAAAAGGAAAAAAAAATGGAACAGCCGAGCATCCTCGTCAAAATCCTGCACTCGATTCCGCACGTGAATTATACATTCCGTCGGGTTAACGACACCTTCAATCCCGACAGCGATGTTTACCTCGAGGTGAGTACTGTTGCACCGATAACATACATATATAACATATAACATATAACGGTAATGCTAATGCTAGTCTGGGAATCGGGAAAGGGGGGGAAGCCATTTGCAATCTGGAGCATTAAATGAGTCATGCGTGAGGTACTTTACGAGTGGAAATTGCAGGGAATTTCGCAAAAACTCCATAATTGTTGGGATTTCATTCATAGTTAAGGGATATTCGGTCAGATTTTGGTATTTAAAATTTAAGGAATTAAGAGTTGAGAATTTTAGGGGATCTAGAGCTCGTTTTTACAACAAAAGTATAAACTTAGATAGTTCTTAATATTCTTAATTTTATCAAAAGCTTCGACTTGGAATAAGTTTTCAAGTTTTGATAAGTATTTTTGGTTAAGAAGACTGTCTAGTTAGGAATTCTAACACTTAGAAAGGTTTAATAAACCAAAAAGTTGGAAATTATAAGACTTTATAAGGTAGTTTTGAGGCTTGGTTTATATAAAAAATGCTCTAAAAAGCATTAAAAATAGCGTAAAAGATTGTAGAGGTAGAGAGATAGTAGTTTAGAGGATTAGAGGTAAAGAAAAGAGGTAAATTAGAGGGTTAGTTTATATAGAAATGATCAAAAAAGCTTTAAAAACTAAACAGTTGGGAATTATAACCACCAGAAACGTTTCAATTACGAAAAAGTAAAGAGTTCTCACTAAAATTGAAGAGATTAGAGCTTAAAAAGATAAAAAAGGGCTTTGTAAATAAAACATTTATGAATTCTTACTAAAATTTAAAATTTTAGAGTTGAAAAAGTTTTAAAAAACTAAAGAATTTTAATAAAGAAAGCGAAAATGTTTAAAAAAAACTAGAAAGTTAAGAATTATAGAAGCAATTAACTAAAAAGAACTAAACTATGAAGAGTTTAAACTTAAATTAGAGATTATAGAGTTAAAAAGCTTATAAAATAAACAACAAATAAAAAAAAACTAAGGTCTAGTTAAGAAGTTAAGATTTCTAACTAAAATTTGAGACTAAAAAGTTAAAAAAGTTCATTCAAAAAATAGCAAAAATTAAAGTTTAGATAAGAAGCTAAGAATTTTAATTAAAATTTTAGGTTAATAAAGCTTAAATATCAAATACTAAAGTTAATTTAGGAGTTCTTTCAAAAATTTCAGGGTTAAGAGCTAAAAAATCCTTTAAAAACGTTTAATTTGGGAATTATAAACTCCAAAAAGCATCCAAAACCAAAAAATTGCGAATTATAAACCGAAAAATATTAAAAAAAAAGAAATACTTAAGATAGTTAAGAACTCCAACTACTCTCAAGTCTATTTCCCACGCACTTACCACAAAATGATAAACAAACTTGGGCCCTGAAGTGGAAGTGGGAACCCTCCCTAGGCCCGAATAGTTCGACTCTATTATTATGGAGTTTAGGGAATAGGGAATACTTAACGCATAATGGGGCATTCCAGTTTCCCGCTTCCCCACTCGTAAGTGCCACTTGAGCTCAACTCGAGCATTTCCACTTGAGAATTGGAGTTTTTCTTTTTTTTTTTTGAGAGAGAGAGACTGTCTATTTTGGAATTTTTGGATGCGATGCGTGTTTTGTGTCTTTTGTTTCTTTCTTTTCTTTTCTTACTTTCTCCCACCCCTCGAATATTTCTGTACTTCCCCCATTTCGTCTCGCCCTCTCTCTTTTTGGCTTTAGGGTTTTGTGTAATTTTTACCTGCCCCCGTGTGGCATGCCCCTGTGTCCTGTGTCCCATTTGCAATTGCAATAAAAAAAAAAAAGAGGAAGAGGAACAAAAGCCGAAAAAAAGGGAGCGAATAGAAGAAAAGGAAAAACGCGTGGATAATTCCTTTTTTTTTTTTTGTTCTCCCTGCCTCCTGGCTAACTGTTTCATTTCTCATTTTGTTCCACAGTTAGCTCCTGATTTATTTGGCTCTCTTGCTGGCCTCGCTCTCTCTTGCTCTCTGCATCTCTCCTTTTTGCAGCTGTTCCGTTTCCTTATCGTACCGCCATGTGCGCTACATGTGACGCCTCTGGTCGCGACTTAAGGGGGCGGGGCTATACGTAGGAGTGGGCTCTAGGGGCAGCAGCAGCAGCTGCACACTTCCGGCTTCCTTTTTCGTCATTTTTTTTCGGTTTTCTCCCTCTTTCGTTTATTATTTTCAACTATTATCTTCCACCAACCGATCGGTTCTTATCTGCCGTCTTCTCTTAACATATTTTGCCGCCTATTGTGGTGTGGTTAGGGGGGGGAAGGAGATGGTGGGGGCGGGGGCGTGACAGGACGACGCCCTTTTAACCGGTTTCCCAATCAACATATGCAAATTTCAAGTTCCTTTTTTTAGGATTTTCAGCAAAAAAATCCCAAAGGGAAAATTTGATTAAAATTAGCAGACATCCTCCCAGTTACTACATACCTTCCTCCCTACCTCCCTCCCTTCCTCTCTGGGAAAAATGCCGGTATTTTCCAACGTCCGCCGCCGTGAAAATTCAGGTCAGCAGCAGAGCTCTATGGCTTCGGGTTTTTCTTTTTCGATTGTTCTTGTTGTTGTAGTTGTTGTTGTTGTTGTTGTAATCGCGAATCATGGATGTAGGTCAGGCTGCACTGGAGCAGCCACCATCCTCCCCCCTTAGCCCACCCCCTTAGTTGCAATATATTAGAGGAGGCAAGAGGAGGAGGGAGGAGATTGGGTTGGATTTTAGGGCGTAGCTTTTACGCGCGTCAGCAAAAGTTGGGGACTACACTGAAAAAAAAGAAAGATTATTTTTAAAAAGTCAAAAAAGAGCTTGAAGAGACAAATTAGGACATATTTCTAGTCTTTTTTTTGAAAAATATCTTCAATATCATCTTTAACCCTATAATTTCTCTCAGTGCTGTTGGACCATTGACTGCCTAATTGGTGGGGCAGGGCAGGGCTTCCAAGTTTTTGGACTCCAAAGCCGGCAAGGGCGTCTTACATCATCCGATTAACACTTGAGGCAGGATTGTCCTCCAACACAGCGCTGGTCCTTGAGGTTCCCGCTCAGTTCCTAATCAACGCTCTGTTATCTAGTCTGTGGAGGGACTCTAACCTACCATCATACCATCATACCATCATAGCATCATGGCATCCCAACATTATTCATCCGAATAGCCACTCATTGCATTGATTATGTGCCGCTGGTGGCGATGATCAATTCAACCTTCCAGTGCCAGTACCAGTGCCAGTGGCGGACGTGGATGTGGACGTGGTCGTGGTTGTGGACAATAATAACCCTCTCACATCTCTCATCTTTATAGATAGTGCGGGTGGATGGGTAGGGAAGGGCACTGAAGCCCGCATCGACCAGATGAATCCATAGATTGAGTTAAAATTAAAAACAGGGCCGCCCCAGCACTTGGCACTTGGGACTGGGACTGGGACTTGGGCACGGGTTGCTTTCATTTCAAGGCGATATTATTCTAAAATTAGGGCTAGCAGAGAGGGCTACTTTGAATAGTGGGAGTAGACCCAATAAATAGTTCCCAAGAGGTCTTTAAAAGGTCTTAAAAGAGAGATTTTTAGCTATAAACTATTTTTGGCAGACAAACGGACAAGGGGGCCAGTGAAGAAACGAAGAAACTCGGCTTGGAAAGATTATTTTAAGACTACAGGGTTACAGTACTCCCTAGATACATATGATTAACTCCCAAAACCCAATAGCTCTTCAAACAACAGAGATATGATCTTAGAAGCTTAGGAGTTAGCTTTTTCTTTAATTAGAGATACAGTACTTTCTAGAGTCTAGACATAGACATACTCCCAAAATTATAACTTAATAGCTCTTGAATCAACAGAGATATACAATAAGAAACTATTTGGCGGACAGACGGACAAGCGGACAGCAGAAAAACGGACAAAGTTAGTTAGAAAGGATGATTATTTTATTAGGGATACAATATATATATTTAAAGACGTATTCTTCCAAAAAATGGATCTAATAGCTCTTCAAACAACAGAGATATATACTTACAAAATATTTGACGGACAGACGGACAGCGGACAAGCTTGCTTAGGAGCTTTGGAGTTAGATTTTACTTCAATTAGAGATACAGTACTCTCTAGAGTCTAGACATAAACATTCTCCCTAAATCTGAACCTTATAGCTCTTGAAACAACAGAGATATACAATTAGAAAGTATTTAGCGGACAGACGGACACACGGACAAGCTTAGTTAGGAAAGCTTATGCTTTAGTTAGGGTTACACTACTTTCTAGACATCCATATACTCCCAAAATCTGAACCTAATATCTCTTTAAACACCAAAGATATAGAATTTTAATTATTTTGGCGGACAGACGGACACACGGACAAGTAAGAACACCGTAAAGCTTGGACATGTCTCTGTTAAAATACCAATTCTATAAAATATATATACCCACTTTGGCTTAAATAAACGAAAATCGAAAATACAGCAAGGTTTACTTAACTCTGTCCTGGTTTCATGGTTTACTTTTGGCCCAAGAGCTATATATAGCTTCAAAGATACATATAACTGTATCTGTATCTGTATCTGTATCTGCTAGTGTATTTGTATCTGTATCTCTCTCTCTGGTGAATTGTCAACCTTTTGTGACTGGCATCAACACTTTCCCAACTCTCGAAAGACGCTTGGGGATTTTTCGGATATGCATTTCTGTATTTCTGCATTTCTGCATCTGTCTTTGCATCTGTATCTGTGAGGCCTTTGGTTGTGGGTTATGCCAACTGCAATCTGTCAGACTACTTTCCCCCCTCTCCCTCTCCCTCTCCCTCTCCCTCTCTCTTATCTGTTGGAAAAACAGGAGCTGCCTGCCTGCCTGCCTGCCTGACTTTGTATCTGAGACAGACAGCTGGCCTCACATTTGCCAGATGTTGTTGTTGTTGTCCACTTACTACAGATTGTTTTGTATCTTTGTATCTATGGAAGGGGGCACTTCTAGAAGTCAATGGGATTATTTCGATTCTATATATTTTTGTTTATATATCGAATTTAAAATCGAAAAGG